TGGAAAAAAAAAGTCGGGCGAGAGAGGTCGGTGTGGGCATTCGATTTGATTTGCGGGGATCATCATCATCTGGGGAATGTAAGACAGGAGGGAACCGGCGGAAACACGCGGGCGAAGATTAGCTGTTCTTCTCACTGGGATCATGCCATATCTTGGGGTGTTGTAGCACTTGCGATCATATATTAGGCTTCCGTAATCTTGTATCACTTGCCATCATCTTCATACTTGGATACCAAAAACATTAAACCTTGGATAAAAAAAAAAATTAAACCTTGGATATACATACAATGATGTAAACCTGGTTCAAAAACTTACACTTCTTACCTAAACTTATAAACAAACTACAAAAAACATACACACACACACGAAAAAAAAAAAAAAAAAGCTTGAAAAAAAAAACACTCATGAATAAAAGCCAAAAAAACGGAGTAAATGGAAGAAGGGTTCTTCTGCCTGGAGGCTCGAGGCTCGACCAGATCCTCCACCCACACACACCCACACACAGCCACCTGCACTAAAAAAAAGCGCTGCTCATCGTTGATGGGAGGCGAATCCTCCTCGACGAACCGATCCCTTTCTTTTGTTGTTGTTGAAGAAAGAGGTTCCACTAGAGGTTGATGATTACGTGACGTGGGATCCCCATGAAGTCCACCGTTTGATGTTGGTAACGGGATCTTGGAAAGACCCGCGGGATACACATCTCCCGTCCCGTCCCGACAAGACCAAACAATGACCACCGGGCCCGACACCTTTGTCGGCCCGGGCCTCCCCGGCTTATTCATTCCTTCATGAGTGAGTGAGTGAGTGAGTGAGTGGACATAGCAGTCACCCCCCCATCCACAAAAACATGAATCTAAATAGGCTATGAGAGAGAGACGCTTCTTTTTTTGGTGGGGGTGGATGGATTCGAGGAGAGGTGGGGACATCTCGAGTATGTCGATCGGGGATGGCAGAGTGGCCATCCTCCGAATCGATCCGATCTCTCATGAAACCCGGTGGGATTTGGGTACGATGACGGTTAGTTTGATGGATGGCAATATGCAGTGATGGGAAGAAGTAGGATATTTATGAGTGGTGGGGAGGGATGTACACATACAAAGCAGGTTAAGATTAAGAAGCGGAAGAAGAATAAAGATCAGAGAGATGAAAAGAAGATGGAGTAGTGTAGGCAGGATCAAGAGCGTGGGGCGAGGGAGGAGCCGTCCGATCTAGAAACCCGTGTGGGTGCGTCGCCGCACCTCCAACAGGCCCAGGGGCTCACGAGATGGGTCTCTCTCCAAGCGAGGATGTCGTGGAGGAGACAAGAGTAGCAGTAGAGGCCTTGGCAACAGTCGACCTGGTAGGCGATCTTGAGCGCGCAGTCTTCGGGCGGATGGGTCCGGCCGTCGGCGCCCTGACGGTCCGGCCGGTGGCTCGGGTCCGCCAGCAGTGACCCCGCGCCGTTCGTCGGCAGCCGGCGGGCGACACATATCGGACATCGGTCCCGGCCCACTCCTCCGCCCAGCCGCTTCTTCCTCATCCTGTCTTCTCCTTCTCCTTCTCCCTCCTCTTCGGCCGATCTTCCCGTCATGATGCTGTGCAAGCCCGTCGATCGGCCCGATAGGAGCGCTTGGAGGCGATACCCCAGGGCTCGTAGCCGTAGACGTAGACGGCGGAAGTCGATCAATGGGAGGATGAAGAGGATGAAGTCCTACGGATGGACAAGTCAGCGATCTTCCAAAAGCACCGACGATAGTCCTGGAAAGCAAAGCGAGAGGAGGGAAGGGACTGAGACTGTAAGGGCCTGCCAGAGGAGCTGGCGATTCAGGAACTCGAACGCGACGGTCCGTCGAAGCTGGGAGGAGATGGGGACGAGTCTGATCCGGAGGAGCCGCTCGAGCGGGGAGCGGAAGCTCCCTTTGACGAGGAAGGCCAGGAAGTTGAGCAGCCCAAGCAGCCGGCCGACCAGCCCCAGTCGCTCCACTCCCTCCCACACCGTCCGACGCCAATGTCGCCCACTCAGTAGCTGCCCCAACCCGTACCCCGACGCCCGGGGAGTTTCGTTGTATCCCCGACTGATCATCGCGTCCCGGAGTCGGCCTTGCAGGTATCCTGGGACGACTGATAGGAGAATGTAGAGCGCCATCTTCCTCCTCGAGATCCCTGTACACACAGTTCACTCTCAGTGACTCCCCCTTCCAGCTTGGAGTTGATGAACAGAGAAAGAAAGAAAGAGGGGACGGACGATGAGGATGATCGAGCCATTGCAGGTTCTCCAGCCGACTGCCATAGGTGCTAGGATGATTCTGGAGGAGGAGAGAGCTTCCGAGGATGAGCAGCTGGCCGAGCATCCAGAGCTCGTCTGTCGATTGGTGTCTGCCCAGTAAGGGCCCCAGACTGGTGCTCAGTGGGGCCAGCAGAAGCTCGCTCAGCTCGTCGTCTAATAAACCCGCATCCAGCTGGTTCACTCTTCTCGTCGCTATCGTTCTTCTTCTGCTCGTCATCTTCTTCTTTTGTGGTCGGTTTCTGGCGCTGGTCTTCTTCTATGTGCCCGGGGGGGTTTTGCTTGTGTGGCGGTGTTGATCGTGGGGGGTGTTGTGTCTTGCTTGGGATAGTTCAACTGGGTTGTGTTTTTTTTGATGGGTTGGTTTTGAATTTGTTTTCAGTCGAATCCTCCAACTCCCCTTGTGTTTCTTTTTTTTTTTTTTGTGTTTTTTTATTTTTTTTTTCCCTTTTGTGGTAAGATGATCATCATCAGAGCACTCTCCAGATTCACAGCAACAGCAAAACCAACAACAACCACCACCAAAAACAACTACATTCCCACTTCCACACAACAACCACCAACAACAACAACAACCACCCAGAACAACAACACCAACCGAACCATCTGCCAGTCCGATGTCTAACCATCACTCTGCTGGCCCTGAGTCTAGGAACACTCTTAACACTGTGGGCGCACACCGGAGGAGGCAGACCGGCGGACAGGATCGATCTCTCCGAACTGCCGACCATCAGCACAGATCCAGACTCCTCCTCCTCCGATCACGACCCCTGCGACCCCTTCCTCAGCCCCGGCTATCTCCGCTTCGACCCCATCGATCCGCTCGATAATAATTGGCTCCCCTTCGACCACAGTTGTCCCCCCGTCAGTCTCCTCAAACCGCTCTCCAACGACCTCCAACAATTCGTCACTCGCAACGCTTCGCCGGCTCGCAATCATCCTTCCTCCTTCGCTTTGCCTTGGTTGGTCAATCGGACAGTCGTCCTTATTGGCGACTCCATCGAACGGTAATCCTTCTTTGGGCTCTCCAAACCAAAAAAAAAATAACAAACAACTGATGTGTATAAATATGTAGATTCCATGCGCGTGATTTCTGCGACTTATTATCCTCGTCGACCGAGCCGCCGTTCCACGGGATATCCGAGAACGGCTTCAGTCCGAGTCCCTCGAACAGCACGACCCCGTCGCGCTCGTTCTATGTGAGCACGGCCGAGACGCCCGAGCTGAAGCGACGGCCATCGTATCTGTTCGACCCCGATCGTCCCGACGCCGTCCCGCCCACCTGGCCCGTCGACCAACGCCAACGCTATCTGGACCATCATCGCGAATGGGCCGATCGGTCCGTCTTCCTCTTTTTCTTCCGTCCTCATTTACTCCCGCTCATCATTGTTTTTTGCTCTCTCTCTTGGGTGGATCGGTTAGCGATAATATTCGCACTAGTCCTTGGGTCTGCGAGGTCCCTAGCTACGGATTCACTATCGTCACTCTCTTCACTTTCGGGCTCGAGCCTTACCAAGCTGGCTCCTACTACTCCGACCAAGACTGGTGTCCGTCTCTTTCTAGTCCCCACAAAAATGTCGATCAAAGAAAAGAAAAAACTAATGGATCGGGAAATTGGTTGTAGTTATCACGCCGTCGTCGTTTGAGGACAAGCTAGACCAGACGCTAGTTCCGTTACTGAAGCGTCTAGCGGAACAGCGGGGAGCACCAAGGCTTCTGGCCCCGGATTTGATTGAGGTGTCCAGCGGACTATGGGACCTGCGCCAATGGTCGGAAGAAGACAGTCGGGAGTTGAAGCTGCCGCTGGACGACAGCACCGAGGAAGTCTATCTTCCGCTCTCGGAGGCCCGACTAGACTGGTGGAGCGAGCGGGCCCGCAAGGCGCTCCGCCACGTCGACAGGCTCTTCACCACTAACGCTACCATTCTGTGGAGATCGCTCCATCATACCAGAAGACACTCCGTAGCCCCGTACTCTAGAGTCCAGCAACTCGACCAATTCGCCGCTTATCTCGTCCGCTCTATCATCGCCAATCCTAAGGAATTTCCATCCTTGGCTCGACGGTTGAAAATCGACACTTGGGGTATTTCCACCCCTTCTCTTTTGATCTTCAAAATCGGAGATTGACCTTGGATTCTTTTTTTTGGGTGGGGTTGATACAGGCCAGAAGATGCTCGGGTTCGAGAACCATTTCCGCGACCCCGTGCATCCCAAAGCGATCCCTGGAAGCGTGTTATGGAGCGACATGATGTTATGGGAGTCCGTCCCCTTCCTCTTCTTTTTTTTTGGGTGGGTGGGTTGTTGATGTGTTCGTCTTGGGTTGGGTTGGTAGGTTGAGGAAGTCGGTCGCTAAACTGACACAGAGAGACGGCGGATCCCGGAATCGCAGGGCTTGAAGACAGTCTTGAAAGCTGGATGGACTGCAAACAAACCGAGAGCTCGTCACCACAAAGTTCTCTGGCGCTTGCCTCATAGCCCCGCTTTCTATCCTCTCACATCTGGCCCCGTCTTGTCGAATACCTCTGATCCTCTCCTCTCATTCACTTCGATTTCTCTTTTTTTTGTTTTTGTCGGCTGCTTCCAATCACTTTCTTTTCTTTCCTCTGTGGCTCTTTCCTTTCGGGGCCCTGTCTTGTTCTCGTCTTAGTAGGTCCACTATCCAAACAAAAAAAAAACCCATCGTCTTCGTTTCTCTTGTTTGTGGGGGATCTCGTTCGATCAGTCTCGCATGTTTCGGGGTGGCTCGTTGCCCCGGTATTAAGGGTTGGTTTGTGGGTCCAGTTTGGGGGGGTGGGGGGTTGCTTGAATCCACAATGTACAGACTTCTTGGTTTCTTTTGGTTTTGCCAATCAGTTCTCACTCTCATCTCGAATCCATCTTACACAAAGACATGCACTTCTACCTCTCCGCTTTTTTCGGCTCACTGAAAGTCAAACAGCTGGATCCGGCACTATGTATAGCTACAATCAGCCAAAATTGGCGAGCTTTTCACTGTTGTAGTGCAAGTGTCTGACGCTATTGGCAAACCCGTGCCGAAAGAGTATGTGTAGAGAGGTTCTTGACAACCCTCTTCTGGCAGTCGAATTTCCCTGGTATGTAGTGCATACATAGCCAGTCCGGACTCTGTTCAACGGTTTTTTCTGGGACATAATAAATCAGTGGGGATCAGCTCAGTCTTTATAATAGGCTCCTGGAAACGGCAGCGCAGTCCCCACCCCAATCCTACATGCTTCTCCCTTTCCCCAATCGGCGGCTTACAAGATATCGCCGCTTTCTTGCGTGAAAGCTTCCCCCCAAATCCGCGGCTTTTTTGGGAATAAAAGGGGGAGTACATAAGAGTGCAACCCATAGATTAAGGTGAGGATCCGCAGCAGCATGGGTCTGAGCATCTGCTTCATACCACCGAGATGGATCTCAATCGAGGCTCTAGTCTCTCTCTTGTACACAGATTTTTTTGGCACACATTGTACTCTCGCATCATGCATCCAGCTTCTGGGCTCCTGACACACCGAGATGGACAGCTTTGGATCAGAGGGGAAAGGATGCAGTGAATGAAGATAGGGCTGCTTGGCACTGGAAACAAAAGAGTAGATTCAGGCCTTCGATTGGGGACCTATAAAGACACAAAGAATTCATGGGCAGAAGAATATACTACATAGATAGAGTCAACATTGTAAAGGATGTACCAAAACATCATTGCTTTACAATTGTCACCTTGTCTGCAGGGAGAGAGATTTATAACACCTCAAGCTGGGGGGGCTTGCCTGAGAGACAATCCGGAAAAGTCTTGGGTTGCACACCCAGTTATAGGCTGTAGCTTGTCATTTTTTTTTTTTTTTTGAGCTACAATACATGCCATCTCACTGGTATTGGAACCTTCGATTTGCTTTTGTTATAAGCTCCATTTTTGTCAAGATAAGTTGTCAAACAAACAAGAAACAGCTAAGGCAGCAATTATAAACGAGCTTTTTTTTTTTTTGAGAATTTTTTGAATTTCTTTTTGATTATTTTCATAAGGTTTTTTTTTATTTTGTTAACCAAAAGCGATCTCAAAAACTTTTTCAAACAACCTCTAGGAGGTTGTTTGAAAAGGTAAAAATCCGAAATCGGCTTATGAGATTTCGTTACAGTCCTTATGACATCCCATTACATCCCTTATGGGCTGTATCCTGCTGTACGACCGTACATCACACAAGCAGTACTCCAACCTCCGACTGGATACTGGATATTAAAGGCAGATAAGTGATAAACTGGCCGCGCGCGTTTGTAATTCCATGTTGTTTGAGTTTTTTTTGAGATGTTTTTGACTATCGTTTCATTTTAAAAACATAAAAAAATCGAATTCAAAAACTTTTAAAAAAAATCTCAAAAGAAATCCAAAAAACGTTTATACAGCCGTTTCGAGAAAGCTTGCTGCTTGGGAGTCGGACTTTTTTATTTTTTTATTTTATTTTTTTATTTTTTTTATTTTTTAGAGTCTGATACAGCCCTGTATGTCGGCTGTATGTCTTCCAATCCTTCGTTTTCTTCTGTAAACGAAGAATTGGAAGTAATCCAGCTCATATACAGGGCTGTATTCAGCCCCTAAAAAATAAAAAAATAAAAAAAATAAAAAAAATAAAAAAAAGTCTGGCTCGCGAACCGCAACCTTTCTCGAAATGGCTGTAATTGCTGCCTAACACAGGAAAGCTTTCGGGCTCCAAAGTTAGAAAATAAAAAAAAATAAAAAAATCTACTGACAACAGCTGGAAGCTTTGGAAGAATACAGGTACATGTATGTATGGATCACCTCCAATCAAATCAGCTATCTTTTTTGTCACTCACTTTCAGGCAATGAGAGTAACACCATCAGAATCCTGATGGAAAGTTCAGTCCATTCCCCCTCCATCCCATGGCCCTGCTGTGGCAGGGCTTCCCCCCCCCCCCAAGGGGGCCGGTTGGGTCCAATCGGTGCTGCTGGTCTGGCTGTACGTCCAAAGAATCAGAAGCTTTGGAAGATGTACAGAACCCTGCATGAGGTAGTAATTTTTTTGGGTCATACAGCCGTTCCCAAAAAGCTTGCGGTTTGGGAGCGGCTGTATTTCCGAAGATTTTCTTTTTGCGCCCCTCTCTCCTGTACGTGGCCCTGTATGGCCACAGTACTTCAGGCAAAATGACCCAACTCCCACAGTTTTTGAGTTGAGTGTGTGGGAGTTGGATCATCGTAATCCTCACAAGTTTTTGGCCTAGAACCGGTCATCACATGGAGGCTCAGCAGGCCCCTGGACCCACCCCGAGGCCTCGGCAGCCAAATCAGAACCTGTACTGTCATCTGTACAGGTTGTGAGGCACTAAAATTCGATGGTGCAAAAAAAAAATCTTCTGAAATACAGCCGCTCCCAAACCGCAAGCTTTTTGGGAACGGCTGTAATTTTCAAGCTCTTGAACCCGCAAGCTTTCCTGTGTTAGCTGAAGATGACATGAGCATTTATGTATCAAGCTTGAGCCTGCAGGCCCAAGCACCGGAGGATGGATGATATATATCTTGACTCAATTTGATAATCATGTTTGTATTTCAACATGAGCTCATGATGAGTTCCAAAAATTGAACCAATACACAAGATTTTGAAATCTCTCTAGCTGTCGACAGCCAGCTTGTCAACCTTGAACAGTAATCTTTCATTGTTTTTTTGGGGTGGTCTCAGGCAAACAGAGGCTCTCTAGACACACAAGTCCCTCCTTGGAGGAGGAGTCAAGCTTGACTAGGCCAACACTAATGTCAACATGTGAGCGAGCCAGAAAATCCGGTCCATGCCAGTGGAGGCTTACTAGTTTTGCTCAGATTAGTATTACAGTGTGCCTGGTTTCTCTGATTTGGCCTGAAAGCCATTTGTTTGCACTTATCTGCTTGCCAACAGAGCTGTGTAGATCTCAAATTATGGAGTACAATTTTATGCTTTCTGTCCATCTTTCCATGTATCCATTTTAGGTGTTGCTTTTTTTATTTATCTTGTCCTTTCTCATGTAAAACGTCCCAGCTATGAGCAATTACAACAGAAAACTATGGTGATCCGCACACTCAATTTCAAAGCTTGTCAAATTTTTCATATCTGACTATTTTCAAAATGCAAGAAGGGAATGATGGAGATTTATGTGTACAGAGGCTGCCCCTGTGTGATCAGAAAGATAAGCAAAGCAGGCCATCTGGAATTCCAGATCAAACATCAAAAAAAAACGTTCAAAATTTTTCTTGGTTCCTCCAATTCTGTCATACCAAATTTGAGCATCTCCCCACGCATGAAGGCAGACTTTGCCTGCAAGTCTCCTGCTTTGCAATTACACACTCAGGTCTTGCCTGCCCTTCTGCAGGAAGGCTTGGTGTCAATTTTGAGGTAGGGACCTCATAGGGTGATTTTGCCACCAGCCAACCTCAGGGTAACTCCACAGGAGTTACTATAATCTCACAATTTCAACCAGAATTCAGAATTTGATGCCCCAAAATGATGCTGCACACACTGTCCTGTTGTTAAGATAGAGGCACTATCTGATTGTGGCGGACTGGTGATGTGTAGTGTTTGGCTTTCACACAAGGAACATGCACAGAATTGGCCTGTGATCATCCTTGGTCCAGAGTTGCTATTGAGTCTTCAAGTTTGGAGACTGGATACAGAATGAGGATGAAAAATGTAAGATGGTGACTCTGACAGCAACTCCAGACTCCAGTGGGTGTTTTTATTATAATTTTGGGTCACTGAATGTGGGATAGTTGCTGTGAAGCCCCACTCAAGACCAACCTCCTGCACAGGGAGGACTTTGTTGAGTTTGTAGGGCTTGGAGGGAGGGGGGGCGGTAAGAGCAAGAACTTGAAGGACCAGCAAGCCACCATTCTGATGTGCACGGTCTTCAATAACCTTGAGTTATCGCAGTTGACCAGGCTTGATGGAAATCTAGACAAAGACAATCCACTCTCATGTCCAAGTTGTTTTTTGGGCACACCTATGGTGGTTTTACATGCAATAATTTTTGTTGGTTTTACAATAATTGTTCAAAATTGGGCTGATTGGGCTACTGCTGAACTCAACGCAAGTCCCACTTGTGCTGATCGCTTCGCGACCGCATCAGTCATTTCGGGCTACTGCGATGGCGGCTTTCCCGGCGAGTCAAACTTCTCAGTCAATCATTTCATGAAGCTTAACATGAAAACCTCTACCCCGGCGTCCCCGCGAAAAGCCGGCCACAGGCGACCGGTCAGCTTTTCATAAGTTCTGACGTTGGTTATGTACCAGCGGGCAGACTTTCGACATCAGAGTTGCGAACGGTTGCAGAGATACAGGACTTGAGGACACAAGCTGTCGAGCATGGAAATAAAACAAATGCCACTGGTTGCAGAACCGGAAATGGGGTGACGGTCTTGATCACACTGACTTACATGTACAGCACCTTTACAGTGCGTCGCTTGAAAGTTTTATAAAGAAGACCGCCTGGTTGCCAGCTGGCAAGTAAGAATTATCGCCGTTGCTTGTTTCAATCGAGGGGTTGTTTCAGAGTCTAGTAGAGAGTATCAGTGATGGTATTAGTTTCAGCTACGCCCTCAAACTAAGATTCTTCCAGGGTAATGGCTGCTGCTCCAGCAACTCATCTGCTGCCAAAAAAATTCCTTTGCCCATCTGCCAGTCTCTCAAAGTCCCTCCTTCACTTGGCATCCCGTCCATCATCTACGGGAGTACAGCCGGCTTGGAGAAAACGTGAGTGTCAAAATCAAATCTCAAGCCCATCTGAGGCAGTCATATCTATAAATATCCAGCAGCTTATGTCTCTCAGATCACAGCACCCGCTCCTAGTCTATCAATCCTGTAGACCAAGAAGGTATAAGAAGAGAAGAAATACGGTCAACAGCAGCTCAAATCAGTGCTTCCTCACTCCGAATCAGCAGAAACAGAAGTCAAGACCACCGTTCCGAAGGCATTTCAACTCCAGCTGATAGATAGATAGGAATATACCGCAATGCATCAGGATCAGGGGAGGAATACCTATGTCCAAATCGAATCTCAGTCAGAATATGAGCTTCCCAGCGAGTTGCAGGAGCCCCAAAATCCAAAGACTTGCTCGAGCAAGATGAACAACTTTTTTCAAGCTGCTCTATGGTGTTTGGCAGGTGGTACCTTGATTGGCTTTGCAGTGTCCGTCTTGTGGTGGGAACCAGTCTGCCAGAGTCCAACGAGCTCCGCTTCAAACTCAGTTCCACAAACCCCAGTCCTCAATTACAATAACACCCAATCGAGAGTTTATTCCTCAACACGAGTCTTCCTCAAAAAAGAAGAGGAATGTAACCCATTTCATGAAAAAGGTTTCCTGCATTACAATGCTAGTGAGCCCGGCGATAACACTTGGAGACCTTATGCCCCGGATTGTAAACCTTCCAACCTTTTTCAAAAATTGAAACAAGACCTTCATTCTACTCGAGAGACTTTTGGTGCAAGTGAGAAAGACGAATTTGCGTGGTTGAGGAATAGGACGGTGGTGTTGATTGGCGACTCAATCGATAGGTAGGTCTCAATCATAACTTCCTGGACTCATCTCTCATTGTTGCAGACTTCCAAAAAGATCCTAATGCTATTCAATCATTTCTTCGCTTACACAGATGGCATAACGTCGATTTCTGTAACGTGCTATCGTGGGAGCCAGGCTCAACAGAGCGAGACCCCATCATATCTGAAAATCGACCAACCAAGACCTACTACGTCGGTGCAGACTCTCCACTATCACCCCCTCCATGGCACTTTCATCCAGAAGATCCTTTGAAACCTCCTGAGGATTGGCCTGAGGATGAACACGAGCTCTTCAAATTTCAGACACCCATTTGGGATGCTGGACAAATCAACGCTAATACAACCAGACCTAGGGTTTGCGAAATTCCTAAATACGGATTCAGAGTCGTCAGTCTCTTTAGTTGGGGCCTGGATCCAAAGGAGGGCGGTAGACTTTATGCTAACATCTCTGGCTGTAAATTTCCACGACCTGAGTTTTTTTTTTTTTCTCAATGCTCCATCTTCTTAAAAACATTGAAGAAACTAACAAACTGTCGATCTCTGTTACTCCCCCCTTCTCTAAACCAATGAAATTGGTGGGAAAAAAAAGACTTTCCACCTGCTGAATACACGAGTCGAATCGACCACATCTTGAAGCCAATTTTAGAAAACCTTGCAACGCAATCCAACAACACGTTAGTCACGAAGCCCGACCTCATAGAGATGTCATCAGGCTTCTGGGATCTTCGACAATGGGCAGAAGAGGACAAGAAAATAATGGAGAAACGGATCGGGAAACCGATTGATTATCCCACTGAATATGGGATTGGTTTTAGCGATTTGGACCAGGATCGATTGAATTGGTGGAGCGAAAGACAGAAGAAAGCTATCCGATTCGTCTCCGACGCTTTTCCTCAATCCCAAACTCCTATCCTCTGGCGAAGCTTGCATCACACTCAGACCCATCATTGGGTCGGGTACGATCGAGTCAACCAGATCGATCAATTGGCTAGATATAATATCGAGATGTTGAAACTGGAAGATTCTAGTCTCGAGCCCCGCCTGAGGATTGATGAATGGGGTTGAGTCTTGTCTTCTCGTTCTATCATAAACGTTCCTGCTCAATTTCTTGAAAAAAAAAAACTGATGAGACCTTCTTCATGTAAATTCATTATCAAGGTGCTCTTATGCTTGGTCAAGAACACCATTTCAGGGACGTGATGCATGTCCGCGAACTGCCTGGTGGAGTCTTATGGGGAGACGTGATGCTTTGGGAGTTAGTATTTTCTTCCTCCGAATCAAGTAACCAAGAAAGAAGAAAAAAACCCCTCTCTTGAGATATCTGAGACTGATCTGTTATGCTGTTACTTTATCGATTAGACTTCGACGTGCAGTCAAGAAACGTGGATCAACTTATTACTCAGCGTGAATTACTCAACTTCTTTTCTTTTACTGCTCCTTTTCTTATTTCGTCGTGTGCTTCAAATAAAACAAAACACATGAAAAGAATGTCATATAGATTCATCACATACAAATAGTCTTGGGGAGATTAAGCTTCTTTATTTCACATTGAAAAAATCTTTTCATTTATCTTTGTAGTCCTTCCTTTTTTGTATAATTCCTCCCTTTGAAATCATTCTTTGAGGTGCATGATAAAAACTTCACTTGCAGTAAATTCTTTTTTTTATCTTATTTTTTGGGGGGGTTGTTTTATTCTGGAATTTTCTTACACGTCTTTTCTCTCTCTTATCTTTCCTTCTTCTCTAGACTTCAGCATACAAATCAAAACAAACAAATACATAACCAAAAAAAACCTACTCTTGAAATCATCTATCTTTCAATGTGACTGAAAAAAACAATGATACAAAAATGAAACAAAGGATTCCTTCCAGAGGCAAGAATATAAGGTGACTACAAAACAAAAAGTGACCAGCCATGTCAGCAGTACATGGAATCCTGACCAGGGCATGAACATTCATTCCAAACCAAGAAGTAGGTCTGTGACCCAAGAGGTACATAGATATCCACCAAGTCCCGATCATTGGACGTTATCCAGAACTTGGTTGAGGAAGGCCATAAATACAAGCACCAACCAGACCTCCTGGCTTCAACACAAGCTGCATCCCAAACTATGCACCTTACTTGCCACTTGAACCTTGTTCACATTTGACTCTCTCTTCTTCCTACATAACTACTACCACTTTCATTCATTTCTTCCCTAATCACTCCCCCCCCCCCTCCACTGCCAACATAATCGGCTAGGTTGAGAATATCCTTGTCAAACTGGGATTCACTCAACCAAGTTAAAATTGGCTGCATCTCAACCAACGAAATATGAATACAAGGTGGTACCTTGAATTTACATTTCATTGGTCGGAGTTCAACCAAGTTTAACTTGGCTGAGTGCATCCAAGCTAAACTGTAATACCCTCAACCCAGCCAATTATGTTGCCAGTGCTCTCCTTTTTTTTGACAAAAAACTGAGACAAAGGGTTTCCATAATCTTCAGAAACCTGATTGGCAGGCAAGAAGCAGACATAAAGGTATACACATGTATCAGTATTATCTGGGCAAAACTTTCTTTCTGAGTTGACCCACAGAAATCTTTCATGATTCCATTTCTTCTCATGTTAATCCTCTCCCCCCCCCCCCCAAAAAAGATAACTATTTTGGATGTTTTACTGCTGTGATGTATGACTATGCAAGAGCACCAATTTCCGATTTCCAATTTCAAAAAAAAAAAAAAAAAAAAAAAAAACCCTTCCAAAAACAAATAGAAATGAGAAAAAAGAGATCAAGTAGAAAGAAGCCAAGAGCAGACATCAAATCTTCCACATCTGATTAACAATATCATCCACCACAACTGGACTCTTTTTCGAACCCAAAGGGGCAGAAGTAGTTAAAGAAGAAGAAGAAGAAGCAGGTTCCTTGTAGGAGATAGAAAAGAGACTAAGCGCGGGAGGTTTCTTGATCATTCGAGTAAGTTCCGTATCGATCAACTAAGCGCCACCATAGCAACACCCCCCCCCCCCCCCAAAAAAAAAAAAAGTCAGTTTCCTCTGGATTGGTATATTCCCTCATAAAAAACACAAAGGACGTACGGTAGAATACGAATGATCAAGGAAATCCTCGAGGTCGTATTTCGGCTTATCGAACGACTCTTGGAAGACTTTAAATAGGGTGGAGATGCTGGCCAGATAATGGGATCGGAGGCCGACGAGCTCCCATGCCGAGCTAAAGATAGCATCCGTTTTGAGCGGATCCGGTTCGTCCAACTTGAATGGATCTACCCTCCCACCAAAGAAAAAAAAAAACCATCAGTGGATTGGAGAAGAAGAGGAAAGGGATGAAGAGTAGCTTGCCATTGATTGGGAGAGCTTTGAGACTCTTGGAGTTTGGGTCAGGGAGTCGATGAAGCAAGGCCATGACGGTGGGATGCAGCTTGATGAGATTGTAGCAGAATGGCACCACGGTGATAGTCGCGGCGGGGGGCGCAAACAGACTCAGCCGGGCGATCTTCTTGACAAATGAGGCCACTATGTTCACCGGTAAATGACTAAAACAAACAGCACACAAAAGGGAGGTAAGTGTTTTTTCTTTTTTTTTTTGGGGGGGGGATGAAGAGGGGTTGGGAAAGGGACGCACGTGGAGGACAGGAAGACTTCCAGCATTCGAAAGAACCGCGGCCGGTGCCGGGTGTGCATGATCGACGAATCCAGAAGGGCATACAATCTCGTATAAAAGTCAGGATAATCTCTGCATAGAAGAGAGTGAAAAAGAGTCAGTTTGAGGAGATCAGAGTGAGTGGGGTAATGAGAACGTACAGGTTGTGTTTAGAGATGAGAGTGAACAGAGCATTGAGAGACAAGACGGAGATCGAGCCGCCATAGTCGAGACAATCGACGAGGAAGTCCATGAGGATCTTAGGGTCGATCATGTGGGGGATGACTTGATCATGGAGGAGGTTGAGGATGCGTTTGATGTCGGATTCGGCAAGGTCCTGGCGACTTAAGAAGGCAATCCAGCAGTCGGAGAAGGCCTTCTGATGGGCTCGGAGCGAGAGCAATGGGTGCTGTTGGTTCTTGCCCAGTCCACGGGGCTCTTGGGCGAGCTCTAGCGCCTCCGGCCCCGATGCTTCCGAGTCGCTTGGGTCGTCAAAAATCCCCGTGCTCCCGTCGGCTGTCTTCTGAGTCTTCTTCTTCTGGCCCCCAGCGCCCTCCTTTCCCCCGCGGGTCCGTTTCCGCGTCCGCATGCTTCCTGCACTCGTCTCTTCGGGCTTCCCCGTCCAGAATTGGTCGAGCTCCTCCTCGCGCGTCGGCATCGTCGTCAGCGACTCTAAGTACATTAGTAGGTTCCGTGTTAATCCTTTGTTTTGGTCCGCATTGGAATTGTCTGTAGGCACTGTTGTTTTGGCTTTCTTCCTCTTCCGGCCTTGCTGTATTGATTCAGGGTTGGACGATTGGCAGAGAAACCTGTTTTTGCGGGGGGAAAGAGAAGGTTTTCTTAGTCAAATTTCAATCACAAGAAATGTAAGGTAAGGATGTGATGACTCACGTGGCGTCCTTGAGGAATCGGAAACGGAGATCATCACAGAAGTTAAGGTACCGGAGGATGAATTCAGCTCTGACGGATTGCGGGATTGGAGGGAGTTTGAGAGTAGGGATGAGGAGGGTTTTGACGAGTTTGAGGAAGGTAGCGGATTCGAAGCCAGCGGGGGGGAATTTGGCGGAGATTTCGGGTAGAGAGGGGTATTTGAGGGCCCTGATGATGTCGGATTCGGCGCGGACGAGGTTGATGAGGATGGTGAGAGCGTCGAGTTCGATCTGTGTGCCATGCTCCTCTTGGGTGGTAGACAGATGGAGCAGGACGAGTAAGCAGTCGATGTACTGGCTGTATTGAGTCTTGAGCCACTCTTTCACTAGCTTGATCGCCTCCTCCTCCGGCCCTTCTTGAGCCTTGGTTCGCGTGGGACTGCCATGGATCCGTCCCTGTCGGATCAACGATGAGAATATCCGATGGAGTGCGTAGATTAGTGCATGTGTCACTTGATGTGTTGTTGCTTGTTTCTTTGTCTTCTGGTTCTGTTCTTCTTCTTCTTCAGTTGCTGCTTTGACCTCCTTCTGGAGTCGTTCTAGTAGGTCTGCGATCGGATTGAGGTCTTGGTTGGTTGTTTGTTTGAGTTGTTGTTCGGTCTCTTTGATCTGTTTGAGTGTTTGTTTGATGGTTTTCTGGTGTTGTTTGTTGGTAGTGGTAGGCGTGCTGTTGGTTTTTGTTGGGATCGATTTGATTGCCATCGTCGTCGTTGCTGGTCATCAGCTTGCTTGGCTGTGAAGTCGATCGAGAACGAAAAAAAAAATCCACAAGATTTCACACTTGGGTTAGGGTTCCTCAGTGGGGCTTTGCGGGAAAAGGAAGAGGGGCCAATCTTAGCCCCCCCCCTGTCCACATCAACAGTTCAACTACATGCTGTTAGCTTCAACTTGAACTGCAAATAATACTTGATCTTGGCTTACTCACTTTTCATTCTCCACAAACCAAGGAATCACTCTACTAGGCTTCCATCGCACTGCTTTGTGCTAGATGTACTGGATGACAACCGACTTCAGGGGAAAAAAAGAGGTTGATCATCCAGCTAGGAAATTTTTTGGGGCCATTCAGTCTCACTCTCAGATATCAAACACACTCAAACCCAAGATTTTCTGTAATAGCGGGATTCACAATAAGCTTTTGGCTTCCTGAACCCCACTTAAACTCTTCCTGGATCTGGAAATTCTAAGCTCAATTTTAGCCTTGAATTAAGCTCAGGATTGCAACTCAGGAACTTCTAATGCTGCCTGAGCTCAGGAAGTTTCAAGGGTTTGGCTTAAACTTCACAAAATCTTTCCTCAATCCTGTAAGACCATCTCCACCGCGGCTGCTAAACCAATTCTAGCAGCGCAAACTCAATTTAGCAGCTCCACCAGGGCTGCTAAGAGCATCTCCACCGCGGGCCCTATATTGGGTCCCTATCCCACATACAGGGACTGCAAGGCCCAAAACCACAGCCACCATGGAACTTATGTGGGGCCCTATAATAGGGAAAATGGTCAAAAGTTCCTATCAAGCTGTATATATTTATACAGACTCAATAGGGCCTGGCTGATTGGCCCTATGCCAGGTGAGCCTTCCAACATTGGAAGGTTTCACACATCCTCAAGCACACCACAACTCCAACTGATCGGCTTTCACCGACTAGAGATTGTTCGTTTGGACCTAGGTACCTGTTCATTTTTTCAAGAAAATAGATACCATGTACCGCACCAGACACCTCCCGGGGGGTACCCAAGGTACCTGTTGCAGGTACCTCAGGTACCCCCCCTCGCTTTTTCACCTAGTTTCACTCCCAGAGTCCCAAGTCACTTTATTATTATTATTATTTCTTCATATTTATTGTAAAATATCACTCAAAAGTCACTTTTTTGGCATTTTTTTAATATCTGTTGTAATATATCTGCATCTAATCGGAAGAATCTTACTTTTCTATTTTTTCATATTTATTGTAGGGCCTTAATAAAAAAACCCGCATTTTCCGCGTTTTGACGCGGTTTCTGCTGCGCGCAGCACACGCGCATTCCGCGTTTAAACCCGCTTTTTTAATTAATTTTTTACCACTTATTTTTTGAGTTTTTTTGAATTTTTAAAATTGTTTCCTATGTTTTAAAGCGTGTAGAATTTAATGGTAAAAACCATTTTCAATAAAAATGAATTTTGATTATTAATGATTTTTTTTCACTCATTTCTCAATTAATTGTTTGCAAACATGTTTGTACCTTATTTTTTAGCCTTTTTTGAAATTTTAAAGTTATTTCCTAGGTTTCAATGTGCGTAGAATTTAATGGTGCAATCCAATTTTTTTAAAACTCTACGGTTCATTTTTAATACTGAAATTAGCCCCATTTTTTGACTTAATTTTTTACAGCTTAATTTTCATTATTTTTTGATATTTCAAATTTTCTTCCTACACTTTAAGACATGCAAAAAATTATGGTAACAACCATTTTTCCCCAAATTGAAAACTATACCTTGAATGCTGCATTTGACACCGTTTTTTTAATTAATTCATCACTTTTTCACTTAATTGTTTGCATACATGTGTGTACCTTATTTTTTATGCTTTTTTGAAGTTTTAAAGTTACTTCCTACATTTGAAAGTGTGTAGAATTTAATGGTAACATCCAATTTTCTTAAACTCAACGGTTCATTCTGAATACTGTAATTAGTCATATTTTTCAATTGATTTTTAAGAGCTTAATTTTCATAATTTTTTGGCATTTTAAATTTGTTTCCCACACTTTTAGACATGATTAAAATGATGTTAACTATCATTTTGCATAAAAACCAAAGAATGTCATTGAATACTGCGTTGGACATGTTTTTTTTGATGTTTTGTTAATTGCTTGTTACCGGCTGGTTTTTAATCATTTTTTTAAATTTTAAATTCATTTCCTCCATTTAAAAATGTGTAAAATTGAATGGTGAAGTCCAATTTCCCTAAAAATACAAGCTTCAATCTTAATACATGAGTGTACCCCGTTTCTTGCACAATTTGTAACGTATACAAATTTTATTTGAATAAAAAATGGATACAGCCAACAATTTTTAAACCTTTCAAAGTGTAGGAAATGAACTTGAAATTCCAAAAAATAAGGATAATTAAGTGTGTAAGAATTAATTAAGGAAACACGTCAAAGGCATTATTCAAGATACAGATTTTATTTTGATGCAAAATTATTTTTACCATCATTTTTAAAATGTCTCAAAGTGTGGGCAATGAATTTAAAATGTCAAAAAATAATGAAAATCAAGCTCTTAAAAATCAATTGAATTTTAAGACCAATTACAGTATTCAGAATGAACCGTTGATTTTTATGGAAATTGAATGTTACCATTAAATTCTAAACACTTTGAAAGGTAGGAAACAACTTTAAAATTTCAAAAAAGCATAAAATATAAGGTAAAAAAACTAATGCAAACAATTGAGTGAAAAAGTGAAGAATTAAATAAATAAAACGGTGTCAAATGCAGTATACAAGATGTAGTTCTCATTTTGGTGCAAAGTAATTTTTACCATAAATTTATACATTTCTGAAAGTGTAGGAAAAAAATTTAAAATGTCAAAAAAGAATGAAAATTAAGCTCTAAAAATTTAAGTAGAAAAATGGGTCTAATTTCAGTATTATAAATGAACCGTTGAGTTTTAAAAGAATTGGATTGCACCATTAAATTCTACGCACATTGAAACCTAGGAAATAAATTTAAAATTTCAAAAAAACATAAAAAATAAGGTACATACATGTATGCAAACAATTAATTGAGAAATGAGTGAAAAAAATAATTAATAATCAAAATTCATTTTTATTGAAAATGGTTTTTACCATTAAATTCTACACGCTTTAAAACATAGGAAACAATTTTAAAAATTCAAAAAAACTCAAAAAATAAGTGGTAAAAAATTAATTAAAAAAGCGGGTTTAAACGCGGAATGCGCGTGTGCTGCGCGCAGCAGAAACCGCGTCAAAACGCGGAAAATGCGGTTTTTTTTATTAAGGCCCTTATTGTAAAACATCAGTCCCAAGTAATTTTTTTCATTTGTTCATATTTAATAATTAATTGCAAAGTTTAAACTATCTACAACTTCTAATTGGAAGAATCTTCATTGTCATCCAAAACCATCACCTTCCTTTCTGATGTTTTGTTAGACTTCTTGTTATCCTTGAGTCCCTGTTTCCATGCAGCCAAGGTACCTTCTTGGATCTTGGAGTTCTTGGAGTAGAAGGCCACCATCATTTTGATTTTTGGTAGGGAAGTGAGGGGGTACCTGTAGAGGTACCTAGGTACCTGTTCAAATTTTCACAAAAATAGGTACCAAGTACCACACCTGGCACCTCCTGGCGGGTGCGGGGCGGGTGCAAGGGGTACCCCCCAGGAGGTACCAGGTACCTGAAAAAAGTACGGACAAACAATCCCTATCACCAACCTTTAAGGCCAATACACCCGCTAGCGGTGGGAAAAAACCCCAGCTTGGTTGCTATCCAATCTCCTTGGTTCCTATTTGAGGCATATAGGGCCTGCGGTGGAGATGCTCTAAACACTCAAAAATTTTAGCAACCTGCCTCTCAGCTGCTATCCCCATACCAAATATAGAATCAGGATAGCAGCTCAACCTTGCAAGTATCACAAGTTTTTCTTGTGATTCTCCTGCTTGCCATTCCCCACATCCCCAGACCCATGAGAGTGTACATACACTCTCAACAATCGGTAGTGATCACTAGAACATGTATGCTCTCAAAGACCGGTATTGGTCACAAGAGAATGTTGGCTCCCAAAGACCAGTAACAGTCATGAGAGAGTGTACACTCCCAAAGACTAACACCAGTCAAAAACAATTGTATATGTACACTACGGGGGTGCTTTTAAGGTTTTGCTTCGAAACGATGTCCGAAATGTATGGACTTGGTGATTTCGAAGCGGCTTTCGTAAAAAGCTCGAAACTTTTACAAAAGTTGCGAAAAAGATTTTGAAACTATTTCGAAGTCTTCCGCTTATGATTTTGATCCGGTGAAATTCTGGGTTTTATGCGGATATTGCCGGATCAGAACTCTAAAAAAACACTTTGGAAATTATTCCGGAAGTTTTTTGGCGGGAGGAGCCAATCTTTCGTAACGATTTCAAACCATGCTTCGGTATCTCCAACCAGTTCGAAACAAAGTCGGAAGTACTTCGAAGCTTTTTCGGTTGGAGAAACCAGACCAATGTGATTTTTTTTTTGGAGAAGATATTTAAAGCACTCGATTGTTGACCCAGGGGTCTCGGTCCCCTCTCGCTCCTTCATCTTGAATTATCCCCTCCTCTTCCCCTCTGACAGTTTCCTTGAGCTCTTTTCAACTCCTCTCATACGTCCTCTCCGTCCATCTTTCATTAACCTGGTACTATCGAAGGACAACCTGAGTTTTGGTTTCCACTACCCTCCAACAGAAGTGACCCAGCCGAGTAGCAAGCACACACCAGCAAGCGATCATCTTACTCATCATCACTTCAGCAATTCTTAGTCTTGCTTGCTCACCCCACTCACCTCACCAAGAACCAAAATACTCCCCATTGCTTGTTTTCTCCTGGTCATCCCCTCTGCTACCTTCACATAAGCACCCTCCAGTACTCCCGCCGTTTAATTGAGCTCATTCGGATATATGTTTATCTATATTACTGTTTTCTTATCCTTTATTTCATTCTGTTTTCTTTCCTTTCTTTCATTTCAATCCAATTGATCGATCAATCAAAGTGAAATGTTTTTTGTATTTTTTTCTCTTTTTCTTTTGTATGGAGTGGTTTTTTTTTCTCTATTATATACAGCAGAAATACAAAATCATGACATTGAAACTTAGAGATAAATGATTCAGAATCAACGATGAATACAACTGAAGATGGGGACAACCCTCATAAGAGACAACTGTGCCGATCTAAAAGCCATCCGACAGCCATTGCAGAACCCGAACAGTTCTGAAAAAGTTTCAAAACCTCCTGATTATTACGGAAGTCTTTCGAAACCATTCCGAAGTAGCCCTTCAGAGTCGATTTCGAAACCACGGGAGTTTCGTAAGTAATTCGAAAAGATTTCGAAAAGCTATCGGAAGGTCTTCGGAGGACCTTCGGAATCCCTTTCGCAACACGTTGCGAAATGTACCTGGACCAAGGTCCAGGACGTCCGCCCCTGCGGGCGCATATTTCGAAACATTTCCGAACGAACTTCGGAAATGTTTCGAACCCCAGCACCCGTAGTGTACTGTTAAGTACCAGTACCGGTCACAACAGTGCAACAGATATAAGACATGTATTTGTATTGGATTGTATTGTCTTTATTTTGAGACTTATACCGGTATCAGTATTGTCTTGGTTGGTGAAAAAAATTTATTGTCTCGGATTTGGATTTACAAATGGAAAATGTCTTTTTTTCTTTTCTTTTTTCTTCAATACAGCCAGATATATTGTGTATCAAATACGGTTTTGGTGGGATCAGTCATCTGAGACAACACAGAATACTTGTCTCAATTTTCAAAGACAATACATGTGTATTGTCTCAGGAAAGTGAGACAACACAAATCCGGTATTTTTGGGTATTCAAATTCTGAGACGATACAAATAAACGCCTGATACGGTCTCGTATTGCCCTGTTGCACCGTTGCAACGGTGCAACAGATATGAGACATGTATTTGTATTGGATTGTGTCGTCTTTATTTTGAGCCTGATACCGGTATCAGTATTTTCTTGGTTGGTGAAAAAAATTAATTGTCTCAGATTCGGATTTACGAATGAAAAAAATAATGTCTTCGTTTTTTAACATGATACATGTGTATTGTCTCAGGAAAGTGAGACAACACAAAAATTCTGAGACAATACAAATAAATGCCTGAAACGGTCTTGTATCCTCTCTGTTGCACCGTTGCCGGTCAGATGAGGTCTATATTCTTGAGATTCGAAGGTACTAGCTGATCACTAGAGAAGTGACCAGTACCAGTTGTGTACTGGTCACTTGCAAAAGAGGACCAATACCAGCCAATATAGAGTGCAGTCTTTGCCAACCCGGGTGGGGGACCTTTCACATTTCCCAGTTGCTATTATAGCAACCCGAGGTGCAAAACCATCTGGACGCAAGCTGCTAAAAACAAGCTGCAGTTGCCAAACTTTGAGCTTTGGCAGCTTGGATAGCAACTTGTGGTGGAGATGGTCTAAAAAGCTAGCTTAATCCAATCTAAAATTGGATCCTCCCACCAAGTGCTCAAAAAATAAAACAAAAAATAAAACATATTATGCAGTACTCAAAATAGAATAGGCTGTTCCTGGAAATGTCTAGTGCTGAAACATTGGATCAACCCAAAACATCTGATTTGGATTTCCACTTAATTAAGATATTTGAAAGGATATGAAAAAGTACCCTAAACACATCTTTGCCCACTATTCATATTCTCTCAACCCTCAAAATATCTTGAATGGTTGATTAACAACTGCTCAAAAATAATTAGTAACTCAGGTCCTGTACCATAGCACCCCAGCAATTCTTCAATTTTGTGTTTGAACGTCAATTTTTCAAAAACCAAAATTACAGTTTGAGTTAGCACCAAAAATCTGGAAATCAAGGATAATGGATGGTAACCCATTTCCATCAGATTCAATTTCCAAGTTGAAAATTGGAAATTGGCCTGGAAATTGGAAAACTGGGGGCTGTGGTACAGGCCTTCACAGCTTATATTGACACAAGTTGGGGAAGACACAAGATTCTGAATAACATCAGTATCATTTCCCACTATTGAAATAAAGAAAAAAAAACCATTTGAGAACAAAAAAGGATACAAGAGAGAAGAAAGAAACAAGTAGATTGAACAACTGATACACAGCTACACCAAATGGAAAGATCATAAGATTTGGTGGATGCTGAAAGATGCTAATGGTCTTCCTTTCCAAAAGGGTGTCACACCCATGTCACAATCTTAAAAGCCACAGACAATCAAGATTAGAGAGAAAGGTGAACTAGAACACAGAAAGAAACATGAGATTCACTATTTCAAAGAAGTACATACCTCAAAAATATAAAATAAATTTATACATCCAAGAAAACTTCAAAACATTCTTCAGGATAGCTACTGAAATACCTTGAGACTGCTTTATAAGTTGTCACTAAATTGGACCATGATGATCTCAAGGCAATCTTCAAATCATGCCTGGCTGTGTTGAACTGATCCTTGGAAGATTGATTGAATTCTTTGTTGAACCAGTCAACTATTTTCTCTTTTTCATCTTCTGGAATTTCCTTTGAAGCATTCAAGATCTCAATTTGTTCAGCAGTGATTTCCTTCTGACCCTTTTTCATTCTCATCTCTATTCCAAGATTCATCATTGTCAACAAATCAAAACCCTGGTCTTGCCAAATTAGAATGTGTCCCAAACTCCACCATGGGTTCCCTGAAAACTTAAACAATTTTTTGCTATCTACTGCTGAGATCAATCTTTTCTTGGGAGTTTGATATCTTTCTAAGTATCCTTTGAGGGTTCTTAATCTTTCTGTGTATAATTCTTCTTTTTTGGAATCCATGGTCAGCCAGGCTCTTTCAGGTGAAGCAAGCCAAGGTGTTCTATTAGATTTCTGTTGATTCCAAGCTTTTGAAAGCAATTCATAAGCATCTTCAGCGCAAACAGTTCCTAGCAAACATTCATTTGTCATATGTATTCTTCCAAACTGAAGGCAATCTCCAACCAAAATGATGAGTCTTAGATTTAAAGCTTGCTGATTGATAGTCATGACTTCATCTTCACTTAGCCACATATGAGGATTCCAGCGTGTTGTCAATGTGGTGATATTTCTCAGTCTTATTTCTATTTCTGGTTTGTCTACCACAGCTTGTATGAGTTTCTCCAATTTGGGATTCCGGGTAATGAGCAAATTCAATTGGAAAAGATCTGAAGGTCCTGAATTCAAGTATGTTGGCCAAGGATGACTTAATTGTAGAATTTCATCCAACTCAATCAGTGCAACTATATGTTGCCGATTTGCAGGAGCCTCAATCATCTTTCCCCAAGCCTCCAATAATTCTAGTTGTCTTATCTGTCTTTGGATTGCATTAAATCTTCTTCTTCCTTCTGGTAGTCCAATCTCATCTATCAACCATTCAACATGTTTTCTTAGCTCAGGGCGTTTACATTTGAGCACAGTCATCTGACCTCTCCGCTTTGTTTTGGTCAAGCCTTCAAGGTTTAGCCCAATTGAGAAATCAAAGTTTTTATTTTCTGCGTGCAATGTTTCACCCAGCAGTTGAAAGTTGGCAAGATTGACTGGACTCAAATTTGGCTCCACAGTGAGATACTTCTTCTCATAACCTGGAATTGAATGAATGGCTTGAACTTCATTCCTCTGACCTGGATTTGCTTTCTGCTCCTTTTTGCTTTTTGCCTTGCCTGGAGTTTCCAGGTGCTCATCTAGCATGTGGAAGTTTTTAGTATTTGACTTGGAGAAAGCGGGGTTTGAATCATCCAATAGAACCACTTCTTGAGTGTCTTTCCCTCTGGTCTGATCTTCATCCAGATGAGTAACTTTCTTGGTTGATTGAATTTGGCTGTCTTGAAGAACAGGTGTAGATGTTTTCTTGGAAGTTTTATTCAAAGGCTTGTCGTTTTTGGGTTGCTTTCTTGCAGAGTGGTCAAGAACCGGGATATCCAATTTGATGCCCCGAAGCTTCATCTCTTTGCTATCTTCCTCTAGAATATGGTTTCTGCTCAAACCCGCTTGGGTTTTGGATAGAAACCGGAGACCTTTCATTTTTGCCTCAGAGAAAATAAATTTCAACAATTCAACCGGTAAATTGAGAATCATACGCGTATCTATGTTGAACATATTCATCCGTGTGTAGTGATATTTTTCCCAAAGACGCAAAGGCTTAGTATGATCTTTGGTAAACGTTTCAGTTACAGATTCTGTCTCCACTCCTGCTGCAGGTAAATCTTGTTTAGCGTTTGTAAGGCTTGTTACCAATTGAGAGCTGAGCGATTTCCTTTTCCTGGCACCGGTACTTTCCTGGATAATTTCTATTAGAGGTCTCACCTGCGCAATGGTTTCCTCGGCATTGACATTTGACTTTTCAATCTCATTATGCATATGTGGTGAAATTCTTGAAGGGAAAACAAAAAAAAATCAAACAATTTTTCCAATCACATCAATAGATATGACATATTTTTGGTCACTTACAGCTCGAATTTATTATTATTTGGTGAGGTTGAGACCGGCTTGGAGCCCTTCACAGCCCCATGTTCTGCTTCATTATCAAAATCTTTGTCGGGTTTGTTGTTTTTCTTTTTTCTCTTAGCCTTGTGCTTCCGATCTTCTTTTGCAGACTCATCTTGGTGAGAGCTTGTAGGAACTTTATTATTCCCTTCCGCAATGCTGTCGGCTTTCCGATTATCCTGAGTGTTGTGATCTTCAATTTGCTTGTTTTGATCTGGGTGTGCTTCCAATTCATCTTCTGTAGTATCTCCACTCGAACTTCTCGATCTTTGCCGTTCAGGTTGAATTTTTTTCTGCTTTCCATGATTTTTCACTTCACATGATGTATCTGGTGATGTTTCTTTGAAGTAGATTTGATCTAGGGTATGGAAATCTAGCGACTTGGCCTTCTTCTGCCCTTGAATTGTTATCGGACTCCCCACTGAATGATTTCTCACCTTATTGGAAGTTCCCGTTTGACTTGCCGAGTCTATTTCACCTGGAGATTCAGCCTCACTTGAAGCATCTGTCCAGCTGGTGCTTATCCCGCTTGAACTTGGCGTTGGGCCCGATCTTCCTACCTCGCTTGAACTTTCCGGATCTATTATTGTATTCCTTGAAAAACTTGGCTTTGATTCTTCGGGAGGGGAAATTGGCAACTGGTTTTGAGATATCATAATTGATTCATATTTGGATCCTGACATGAGCTTCACTAATTCCTTTGACTGATGTGTTGACAAGCTCAGATGAGAATCTGCGCTTTCCCCAAAAAGGTCGTGCGGATTCCCAGCTCCCATCTCAGACACTTCTGCATGAGTTTTGTCTGCTTCGGATGTTGTTTTGACAGGGTTATAGAATTTCTTTGGGGATTTAGATGAAGAGCTCCCAGCTTGACCTTTGTCCACTGGTCTGTAATAAGAAAACAGATGCAATTCAACTAGCAAAATCAGTCAAAATTCAAGTATTGAAGCAAAAAACATGATTCATCTTACTTCCATTGCCGAGGAGATTTTTCGAGGCTAGCCCGATTGGCAAGGTTTGAAGAATTCGGTGGTTTGAAGGGCCCTTCTTTTCGAGACAATTTATTTGGAACTGAATTAGAATCGCCTCTTTCCGCAAAGTTACCGACATAATTTGTTGCTCTGTAAGGGTTTGCCGGGGGGAACCCTGCGATTGTTTGATATGGATGATTCGGCGCGCTTGTTCGATTCGGATCAATCGGGACAGGTACATAACCCCACTGAGTGACTGGTTGGTAGACGGCGGTGAGTTGGTAATAATTAAAAGGCTGTAATCTCCATTCAAATGGCTGCAGGTTCACTACCTCATGTGCGCTGTTTGTGCCGTACTTGTCAGTGTTCTCAATCCGCCCAAGCCGGTGAGTTTGGCTATGCCAGTCATAGCCGTAACCTGAAGAGTCGCTTGGTGTTCTCGTGTAATTGGGTTCGAGATTGGAAATACTTTCTTTTCCGTGTCGCGCAGACAGGGCGCCGGGGTGCGTACGCGTTTCCACGTGGTGAATGCTCGAGGCATGTTGTGGGGAATCAGAGGGAGACGGTTCGATGTTGGTTGCATCAGTTTTTGAGCGGATGCTTTTGGGCGGCTCGAACGAGGCCGTTCCCCTGCAGAGATTCAAGTACCGTCAGAGAGTGAGCGGGATTAGTTTGATATGGAAGCAGAAAATAGTAATTCGGCATACTTGAACTCCTGTGAATTTTCCTGGATGCTCTTATCATCCATAGGCTCCAAGGGTCTATCGGCAATGTGGCTGCTTCCTATACCAAAGTTTTCGCCTTCCTCTGCTCCGGTCTGGAATAACTTTCCTTCGGGGAAATGCTTGTTCTTTGACTCGGCGCCTGAAGCGATTCTATCAGGATTCTCCACTTGGACAAGCCTTTTGATTGATGGCGTTGCAGCGGCGCTTGCTCCATGTGACAATGGACTCCCCAAGTGATCCAATGTTGGACTCAACCAGAAAGTCAAAACATAGATCAAGACATGAATAGATGGCATGGTGTAGAAAGTTGGGTAGTACGCAGGTGCACGCTGTTAAGATGTGGCACAAACGAAGCGTAAAAGAGCATCGACCAGTCAACCTTCAGGAAAAAACTTCGCTCCTGCGAACCGCAACCAAGATAACACCGGTGAGGACTAGCAACCATCGGATCTGATACATAAATATGTACCTATTTATTTATGCGCATAGATAGATAAATGCCTGTACCATTACCCCTGGTAGTTTGACTGTGTTCAGAAACATGTTCCACGGTTGATGATAGACATGGCCAGAGGTCAATCAGTATTGAGTTAATGTATAACTGAAAATTTGAACTTAATCGCTTTCCAGTTGTGCCGTCACGCACGCAACCCTTGTGTTTCCTCTTCAGCGGAAAATTGGCCCCAAATACACATTTTACTCATCCCGGAACTGGTTGGCAATGCACCAATGATGGAAGTACTCACTTATCTGTCCGATCAGAAAATTGGACAGACTTCGTGGGTCAGACGCCAGATGGTGCCACACCCAGGACGCAGACTGATCGCACACAACCTACATTAACCGAGCGGACCAGTTTGTCCCACCAGAAAGTGCTGACAGAGGAGGCTTGGCCTGTCAGCTTCACCCGGCCAATAAAATGTCGGCCAGCTATTTCTCGAATTTTCAACCATGGCACGCTCGCCGCAGCAAGGAAACTCGAGGCATCTTCACCGTACAATTATACAAACGTTGTGACCTATGATGCTAAATCGCATCCAACAACGTACCCGATCCTTGAGGCTACCCACAAATTTGACGGCAATATTGAAAGCATGTTGTCCTTCATGAAACGGTTCCGATTTGTGTATATTTAAACGTTAGCTGAGTACATACAGATTATAAGGTTCCATCGCCTGCGGTCGACTCGGACCCACTCAGGGTAAGGTCCCACTTTCAATGGACGCCGAGAATTCGGCCGAAGGCTACATTTCCGGAGAAGTGTTTGTACATGGTTAGTTGAGCCTTGAGGAAGGAGATAAATTTGGAAATTGAAATGGATTTATATTAGTGCAAATCTGATGTAACGATAAGAGATTCGTCGCGGTCACACAGAGAATACTGAGTCTCCGGTCTTGAAACAATAAGGCCAGGAGAAGAGCCGCAGCCGGGCATGGACATCCCAGGGGGGGGTTCACATTAGCTTCTCGCCACAATATTTTTTAACACTCGAAAGTAACATCTGAACATGTTAGATCAAAATCCTTTACACCTCACGTCACGGAGGTATGAGTGAACGTTACAACACTTGTTCTAACTATGCTTTGATGTACTAACAACATCTCAGCAAGCTATAGTCAAAGTTAAGTTGAGTTGTTGAGGCACAATTTTACTTACTTTTAATATTTATGCTATAAATTAAAGCCAAGAAGGATTTTTTAGCCAGGCAAGAAGCAAACAATGCTACTGTGAAACCCCCTAATATGATGGCACAAGGTGATGCGGTGCACATTAGCCATGGTTGATTTTGGATGAACACAATGGTTATGCTCTAATTAGGGGGCTTCACGATAGCTTCTTGCAACAAGCAATTTCTTCTCCAGCAAGAAACTGAAGCACTGCTGTGGACTTAAAATTTGGTGCAAAAGTTTAAATTTTTGCTGACAAATTTGACATCAGCAAAGTGCAAGCAAGAAAAAAAAATAAGGGGGGTGAGAAGCAAAAGACACTATTGTGAACCCCGCTATTATGATTAATAAGCATGAACCATGAGTTGGTGTTCTTGGGACCTTGAACAGTAGTAGGATTGAATAGCAAGCTTAAACATGCCTCTTGTGGTGAGATTGCTGTGTGGAAGACCAGTCTCACCAGAGAGACTTAGAGCATCCCCACGGGAGTTGCTATGTTCTCACAATAGCAACCGGAATTCAAGGTTTGAAGACCCAAAGTGATGAGGCACACACCATGCATTGTTTAGTTATAATGAAATCGCTCGTTGGTGATGTGTGGTGGTTGGGTTTCAAAGAAGGAACACAGAATTTGCCAGTGATCTTCCTTGCATCAAGAGTTGCTATCAATTCTTCAAGTTTGAAGACTGGATAGGGATCAAGGAAGAAAATTGTAAAAAAGTGACCCAGATGGCAACTCTGGTGGGTCATCTTTCTCAAGTTTGGGTTGCTAAATGTGGGGTATCAACCCAATTTAGTGACCCCTGTGGAGATGCTCTTATATACTATCACTCAAAACTTGCACAAGGCAGGCATGATTTTTAGGCCTGTTTTTGTATTTTCACCTCTGGCTTCCATGAAATTATTGTTAAAATTCTATTGCAGCCTTTTTCTTTTTCTCTAGCATTTTTCTACAATCTTGTTGATCTTTCTTTATTTTTTTCAGTTGTATTTCCATGCCTATCTTTTTTTCAAAAAAAAAAAAAAAGAATTGTAATTCTCATTTTGCAGACACAAAATATGCTTAAACTGATATTACACTTGAGCCTCTCTGCCAAATTTGGAAAGCGGCTTGGTTAATTGAATCCCTAAAATTGGATTTCCAACTCCCAAACTTTAGGGAAATCCATAGGACTGTCTTGTGATATTTGGACGAGTTCTCTTTATTGAAAATCAATTTCAGACAGCCAGTAGTAGTAGACAGACTTAACAAGTGAAATAAAGAAACAATCAAATAGAACCAATAAGAAACCCCCACAAGAATGACTTAAAGAAGAAAAATTCAGTACCAACATTTGTAACTGATAATTAAGCGATGAAACTAAACAGTGCGATGAGATTCTATAAGACAAAAAACTTGAGAACAAACTAGACACAACGGTGCAACCATTACGATACACGTATTGTACTCGCATTACATTGTACTGTACTTTGTTTTGAGTACGTGTGTACTTGAGTACGTCGTATCACCCTAGTCCACAAGTACGATACAAGTACATTGTACTCGGCCGGCGAGTACACAATTTAAAATACGCCCGTATCGTCTCAGAATTTGGGACGATACGAGTACGGTATTCAGCGTACTCAGTGTATTTTCTCCCCGCTGCCTTAAATTGCATTTTTTGTTAAAATTAACAATGCATTTTGCAGACAGTTAGCAGAAAAAACTGACTTGGGCAGGATTTGAACCAGCAACCTTAGCTTGAAGCTAAGGCACTATACTAGAAGTGCTGCCTTTACCAACTAGGCCACCAAGTCCCTGCCTGATGTGCTGATATTTAGAACACACTTGATTACAGAATTTCAACATTTTTTAGTTTTGTATGATTATGGGGATGGGTTTCACCACTATTACTGCATTTCTCAATGCTTTTTTGTGTTTTTTTCTCATTTTTTTCTCATTTTTTTCTCATTTTTTTCTCATTTTTTTCTCATTTTTTTCATTTTTTTCTAATTTTTTTCTAATTTTTTTCTCATTTTTTCCTCATTTTTTTTTCTTTTTTTCAATTTTTTTCTTCTTTTTTCAATTTTTTTCTTCTTTTTTTTTCCAATTTTTTCTCATTTTTTCTCATTTTATTTTATTTTTTTTCATTCTCATTTTTTCACTTTTATTTTGGGTCAGGCTAAAGGCACTCCTAGTTTTTACTACATGCACTCCAAAAATGGATTGAACTAGAAGTGTAGTGTTTCATACTCCGAAGTCTAGGCCAAGTCAGTATTTTGAAGCATAATATGTGTGAAATCCATTCAATTTCTATCAAATTTTGCAAGTATTCCACACCTTATGCTGCTGTCTTGTGCTAACAAATGGGGTCCTAGTGTTTATTGGAGTGTTTAACCTTGAAATTCAATTTATTTAGAAATGTAAAAATGATGCACTCCAATCATTTGTGGAGTGCACAGGCAATTCACTCCAACAATGCTCCAGGAACAACTACATATGAACTGACATCCCATCCACTCCCAAGGTTTTGGAGTACACAGGGCCCAGGTGTTCACTTCAGAAATATAAGAGTGGATTAGCTAGAATTTAACTCATTTTGAATACACAAAAACTGTGGAGAAATGTTGTGAGAAGGGGAAATCTTTTTGGAGTGAACCTTCTGGGTGGGTCTGAACCTTGAAGATCCTGAAAATGCAAACTCAGTATCAACTGAGATAATTTTCATGGCTGGATTACATAATCAAAACATGTACATGTGGTAGAGAGAGTTAGAATTCTAACTTGGTTGATATTTCACAAGGTACGGTGAAATATTGCAAAGTCTTTGAAGGAGGAGAATATTGTAAAAGTGGGTAGTGGTTAATAATTTAAATGCAGCAGAGGAATCAACTTCTGAAGTCAGAATTAAATAAAAGATTAAGATGAAAAAGTTACAGTGTGAACTTGAGTGAAAAGGAGGGCTTAATTAAGCAGTCTTTTGGCCAGCTTGGCTTGCTCTAAGGCTGACAAAAACCTTGGAAGTGTTTGGTATTTGAATATTAATGGAGTGCATCATTTTTACACTCCAAAAAAATTGGAGTGCAAGGTTGAACACTCCAAAAAACACTAGGGCCCCATTTGTTTGCACAATGTAGCAGTGTACTGTAGCAGCATAATGTGTGAAATACCCACAAAATTTGATAGAATTTGAGTTGATTTCACACATAAAATGCTTCCATATGACACCAACAAACTTGGCCCAGATTTTGTAGTACAAAACACTTCATTCCAAATGGTTTGGAGTGAACCAGCTTGTTCGATCTCCTAGCCTGACCCAAAAAACAGGTGAGAACAGAATATTGAGAACAAAAAGGCGAGAAAAAAATTGAGAAAAAAAATTGAGAAAAAAAAATTGAGAAAAAAAAATCGGGAAAAAAATCGGGAAAAAAATCGGGAAAAAAATCGGGAAAAAAATTGGGAAAAAAATCGGGAAAAAAATTGGGAAAAAAATTTGGAAAAAAATTGGGAAAAAAATTAGAAAAAAAATTGAAAAAAATACAAAAAAAAAATGAAAAAATTAAACAAAAATGAAAAGGAGTACATGGAATTACAGCTAGTTACGTATCTGTATCAGTCACGTATCGTACTTTTCCCAAGTACATAATCTTACAAGTAAGGTGTATCGTATTATTGGGGAAGTACGCTTATGTAAAAATACATCGTATCGTACTCAAGAATGAGTACGATACGATTCCGTGTAATTGCGAACTTTGAAAGTACGATACGGGCCATTACGAGTACGTGTCTCGTAATGGTTGCACTGTTGCTAGACACCACAAAATGATTTACTTTATCATGAATCATAAATAGCAAGAACAATGAGAATGAAAGAAACAACAAACAAATAGCTCCTTGATTGATTGTCTTCTTCCTCCTCCTGAACTGGTGTAGTTTACTGTTTCTGGTCTGTGTAATGAATCAAGATCGACGATGAGTTTTTGAAGAAATTAGGACCGGAGAAGGGAAAATTTTTGAGGAGAAAAACTTTTGGCAACAAATTTGATTTTTGTTGGAACGGCTCAAAGGGTCGAAAAATGAAGGAGAGAACCGATGATGTTTTACTTAGAGGAGACTAGGCGTTAAGTAGTCTACATACAAGAGGTTAAACATGTGGGTGAGAATAAAATGAATATAGAAATGAATATAAATTTAACACATGCATGAAAAGAAGACAGGAGCAAATACTCAATGATAAAGACTAGACCCAGGTTCGAAGACTACGGGGATTGCAGCACTAGACAATGAGAAAAGGTGCCACTCAGACACTTACAAGACATGGTGAAATTAATAGTTTTCATCTAAACATTATTAAATCAGAAAGATGAGATAGATAAATTTTTTAGGGATGAGGAGAAGGAGACAAAATTCCAACACCCCCCGCTACTCAGACCTAAAAAACCTTAGAGTGAAATAGAATTGTTTGGTGATGAGTGAGAAAAGTGAGATTGATTTTTAACTAGAAGTATCGGACACCTTCATACTTCACTTCATCGATGTGATGAAGGACACCATCAGCTGTTCTGAAGAGAGAGAAGTCGGTTGGATCGCTGAGCTGATTGTAGTTTTCTTGAACAGTTAAGTGTGCTGAATGAGATTTGGGGGCTTTCTCAGGATACTTAGCCCAACAGTTGTTAACGCGATGTCCGGGTTTCTTACAGTGATCGCATAGCGTAGAATTCGCAGGGGCTTGATCGTTCGATCGAGTGAGGAGAGACTGTAGCGGAGTCGACGAGGTTGCTGGTGGTTTCTTATCAAGATCATTCTGAGCAACATAGCTCTCGAGTTTCTTGATGACCGATTCAAAGGATTCTGAACCGTAGTTCATCGAAACAATATCGCGAAATGAGCGATAGTCCGATGGTAACTTTTTCAACATTAAGATCGTTCGGACGCGATCGTCCAAGATGAGACCAGACATCGTTATTTTTTGATTGGCGGATCGAACGGATGGAATGAACTTCGCGATTGATGAGAAATCGAGGTGAAGGAACTGATCAAGTGCGGTCGTTTGAGATGTGAGGTCGTCGCCGGCATATTGAGATTTCAACAGTTTCCAAAGTCCACGGCCGTTGAAGCGAGGGGATGCAGGGAGAGCAGAACTGACAAAACCGAGCACTTCCTGACCAACATACGATATGATTTCGGCGTATGCATCATTGTTAGATTTAATCGATGCCGCTTCTTCTTTTTCAGTAACTTCAGCTTGAATTTCAACGATATCGAGGAGTTTCAGTTTGAAGAGTCTTGCTTCCATCGGTAACAACCAGAGAGTGTAGTTATGCGGAGTCAAAAGGACTTTGGTTTCTCGAACAACTTCTGTGGACATGGTGAGGCTCGAGCAGGAAAGGAAGAGAGTTGAGATCAAGCTTGCTATTAATAAGTCGAAGGGGTATGTTTCGACTGTTAATCGTGAAGAAATTAGGACCGGAGAAGGGAAAATTTTTGAGGAGAAAAACTTTTGGCAACAAATTTGATTTTTGTTGGAACGGCTCAAAGGGTTGAAAAATGAAGGAGAGAACCGATGATGTTTTACTTAGAGGAGACTAGGCGTTAAGTAGTCTACATACAAGAGGTTAAACATGTGGGTGAGAATAAAATGAATATAGAAATGAATATAAATTTAACACATGCATGAAAAGAAGACAGGAGCAAATACTCAATGATAAAGACTAGACCCAGGTTCGAAGACTACGGGGATTGCAGCACTAGACAATGAGAAAAGGTGCCACTCAGACACTTACAAGACATGGTGAAATTAATAGTTTTCATCTAAACATTATTAAATCAGAAAGATGAGATAGATAAATTTTTTAGGGATGAGGAGAAGGAGACAAAATTCCAACAGTTTTCTTCCTTAGTTATACTTGAACATGTGTTAGAATACCTTAATTTCTTCAACTGGTCTTGATCTTGATGGTGTCGACTCTTCATGAGATCTTCAATGATTAAGTGAAAGAAATTGAAAGCAAACGAAAACCAAAACCCACAGCGACTACAAGCGAAGCACCACTAAAAAACCCTGAATTTCCAATTCACCACATTTCACACGTGTGAACTTTTCCTTCAACCTTCTACATCTCGGCTACATAATTACTATCTCAACATGTCTGTGGAAGGTCCTCAGGAGTTGAGCCCCCTAATTGGGAGTTGGACATCCAAAACCCTTGATGGGGTTGGGAGTCAATCCCCAAAGAAAAAATAAAATAAAAAAACACTGGGAGATTTTTGGGATTCAATCCTTGATGAAAAACAGGTTTTATTACCGAAACTAGAACCAGAACTAAGAACAGATAAGACAAAGAAAAATTAGAATGATAACAATCAGAAGAAAAATAAGTAGATGACAATGAAGTATTCTTAAGAGAGATGTCAACCTACCACGATGAGAGTTGCTTTTGGACTCAGACAGAATAGAAAGACTAAAGTAGACAAGATCAAACAGGCAAAAATAGTAGACACTATATAGAAAGAATCAGGAAAGAAACAATGAGAACAAGAGGTCAATGAGGGAGCCTTTTTTGAAGAGAGATTTATGTGATCAGTTTCTCACCAAATTGGCAGAAGCCAAGTGAGCAGATCGAGAGAGAGTCGGCGCGAGAAGAACCGTTGAAGGTTGAATTGAGGATGAGAGGATTTGTAGTCGGCGTCGATGTGAGTGAGTGATGAGCGAGATGATGGATAAGAGAAAGAGAAAGAGAGAAAAGAAGAAACCGAGTCGGATGGCGAAGTGGAAGGGAATTGTGATGGTTGTCGAAGTGAGAGAGGAAGTGGAAGAAGAGAGGGAGTAGAGTCCGAGCAGTTGAAGACTGAGTTGTCAGAAGGGATGGTCGAGAGTTGTTGAAGGAGAGATTCGTCGGAGTTGGAGCTGCTGAGGGAAGGATGATTGAATGTGAGAGAGCAGTCGAGTTTTTATATTCGTTGATTGAAGGTTCAAGACGTGGTTGCTGCGGACTTGATAAGGAGACCGTTTGCGGAATGATACAGAGGTGGAGAGGTGTTGAGGTGGTCGAGTGATGGTTAGAAGAGTTGAGAATGTAAGAGAAAGAGAAGGAAAGGAAAAAATAGAAAAAGGGTCGAGGGAAAAGAGCGCGATAGGAGCGCGGAAAGCGGAGAGCGGAGATCGGAGAGCGGAGGAGAGAAGGAGATCTGAGAGCGCAGGTGGAATTCCAACAATCCTCTAATGGAAGTTGGGCCCAGAAAGCTCTCAGCAGCCAAGAGGTTTCTCCCAGCTGCTGAGTGTACAACTCTCAGTGAGCAGATGTTGAGTGAGACACAGGGATGAAGGCTAAAGTTCACAGACTGAAAAGTCTTGTGACACTTGTGAGTGAGAAAATATAGAGTTCTGATTCACTGAGGAAAAGGGAAAACTCCTAGAGCAACTTATATGGACTATATACAAGTTGTTAGTGTTATGGATTGAAGCATACTACAGATTGAATATAAGCATATTCCAACAGCAGAAGGGATTCATCTTGGCTGCTGAGAGTGTACAGCTCTCAGCAACCAAAAGGGATTCATCTTGGCTACTGAGAGTTGAACAATTCTTGCTGGAGAAGAGGAATCCTCCCAGTTTTTGGGAGAATAGGCTCTCAGGGGCTGGGAGAATCCCTCTCAGTTGCTGAGAGTTTAGAACCCTCAATGGCCAGGAGGAATCCCTCTCTGTCACTGAGAGTTGTACACTCTCAAAAGCTGGGAGGAATCCTCTTGGCTGGAAAGAATTGTACAACTCTCAGTGTCCACAAGGAATCCTCTTGGCTTCCAAGAGCGTGCATGGCCGGGAGGAAACAAGAAATTTCTTGCAGATTCCACAACTCCTGCTTGGGAATCACTATTGTGTGCCCCCCTTATTTGGTGCAATCACACTTATACACATACCTTTCCCAACATAAATTCTTGTAAATATTTTAATAGGCATGTGTGATTTTGAAACATCAACTGCACCAATGGGCCGCTACGCTAACCGTAGCGGTTAGTGGAGCGTAGCTTAGCAAAATTCTGCTAATGTTTAGTGTAGCGCAGTGGAGTTCTGCCATGAATGAGCTAATGCTACACATCTGGGCGGCAAAAAAGGGCCCACCACAGGACCCCGGCAATCCCCCCAATAGGGGGGTGTTGAAAAAGGTATGCCAAATTGTCAAAAATCCCAAAAACATACTATTGAAGAAGCTTGAAAAGGGTATGAATTATCATTTTGGGCCAAAAAGGTGCTCTTGAAATTGCACATTTTAGGTATGTGAAACTGGTAAAAACCAGTGAAATCTGGAATTTGACCCCCAAAACCAGAATTAATTTGGAGAATCTTGAAAGTGGTATGAATGTCCTGGAAAACAGGTATGAATTTTGCCAAAATCCAGAACTTTTCAACACCCCCCTATTAGGGGGCTTGCCAGGGTCCTCCCACCATGCTGCGCTAAAGCGCAATTTAATGGTTTTGGGGCCTTTCTTGCTGCTAAAAGCACTGTAGCACAGTGCAGCGTAGTAGCACTAACAGCACGCTAACACTACAGGTTTGGCCCACTGTTTGGAGGGCCTCTACGCTAATGTTAGTGGGCTGTTTGGTGTAGTGGCCCATTGTTGTCAACTCCACCTGAATAGTTGAGAAAATTTTCCTTTCTGTGCAATGACAAGTAACCCATGAAAGATTGTTGTATTGTCTCCAGGTCTGGGTCCCTGATTAGACAATTTTCTGAGGAGTAGTGGAAAGTTGAGGATTCTGCTCAGGATTATTTCCTGATGCCCAGACTTTGATTAGGGGAACAAGCCTTTAAAAACCCCCAGAAAGGGTTAGTTAACATAATCACCATCCTTTGGACAGATTTACACATGGCAAGGGTTCCACAATGTTATTGAAATGTAAACCAATAGTAATATGGTACATGGTGAAATCTTTTTCAAAGACTTCCTGTTCCCCAAATTTCTTGACTTAGAAGCAAGGTCTGCAGCTTATCTGCAGGTGATGATTGATTGATATTAATTCTTTGGCAGAAAACAACGTTTGAAACATCCTTTTCAATGTGTAGTTCTTTGCTTAATATTTAGATGTATAAATTCTGATCTATTTCATTGAACTTTCTTAGTAGAGATGATTCTTATCATTATCCTAAAACTTGATGTTTTGAGAAATTGAACAATACCAGATTGAGAGATGAGATGTATTTTCAATCTTCATCTGTTTTGAAACATTCTTACCTTCATTTAAATCAATAATATTCAATTGACTTAGAAAGGGATATTATTCACATCATGGCCAGACCAAGATGAATCAAATTTACATGTATGAAATTCAACACTAGATTCTTCTACTCTGAAAAGCTGTATGAACTGTGGCCGTCAGGAAATCTCAAGGCTGAATTGACATTCCAGATGGCCCTAAACATTTGGACAGGAGGGTGAGTTATAAATACTCAAAGACAGCGGGCCCGGCTCAGCCTATGAGCTTAAGAAGGGATTGCGAAATTGATAGATATTACAAGTCAATTTCTACAAAAGTTGGACCAGGAGGCACAACTCATGGCATTATGTTTTCTGGATCAGACATTGGGGTGGATTTTATTACCGGTACCGAAAATATGGGGAACGGTACATACCAAGGTTTGAAACATCATGTACATATAGGCCAGAGAGCTTGTCTATAGAAGAAAAAACAGATTGCTCCAGTTGAGTGGACTCAGTTATAGCCAAAGCATCTTTTGTCTGGGATTGTAGTACGTATAGAGGCGAAATTGAACTTGATGCTTCTCACATTACAGTTCGGTGCTTATCAGATTCACACGAGACTTCCTACCTCCATTCTGAGTGCGTTAGGACATACCTTCGGCATTTTTTTTTATCAATGGACTCACCAGGACCCGGAAGTTCTCAAAAAGGAAGAGCCCTGAAAATAAACTTTCAGGGGAAGCAAGCTTCCCAACTTAGATGGGGGGGTGCATGTGCCCTGCCGGCTACTTATGATTGATTTGGCCTTGACTTTGTCGCGGGGAAGTCAGAGGCAAGCCAAACTCACGAGTCGCGAGCAAGGAGAAGAAACATTATACAAAGTTTTTTGAAAAGGAAATGTCATTGTTAATAGTTTAAAGGGAATAGAAAAAATGTTCAAGCTACAAGATTCACAAAGAGGTTTTAGGGAAGGATAAAAATTTTAGTATTTATTTCCGATGCAAGTGACAATTCAAGCCGGATCCTTCGCACGAGAACTCGATGTCCGGGATGGAAACTGGCCTTGCGCATGCAACTTTGAAACGGGGGGAGTGCCATGGTTTTTCTGAGCGGCACCGTTATTTTGGGTCCGTAGCAGCCAAATCCTAGGGTGGCTGACGGTAGTTCCGAAGCCAAGATCCCTCGAGACCATTTCTTCCAAGGCGATGAATTTTGACTTGGTGTCCACATGAAGATCTTTGTTCGATTCCTCCTGGATTTGTTCGCGGTAGGGTCTGTACTTCAAGGCGCGCCCATGCTTTTCAAGCAAGTCTTCAAACATTAATGTAAAAAGTGATACTATCAGTAAAAGCTTCGATAGATTAGAAAGTTACTGCGATATCACTCACCAAGCGCTTGCGCAGTTTCAATCGGGAGGGTTTCGTCCATTGTGAGTTTTTCTTTTTGACTCCTTTTCCTTGTTCTACAGTGTGAGTATCAAGGGAAAGAGCCAGGAGGGTGAAATTCTGTTTGGAAAAAAGAGCTGCTGGATGTGGAGTAGGATAGAGAAACTGCTTTCTTACCTTTAGTTTATGGTGAGGTAGAGGGCAGGGGGCGGAAGATTGTGAGGGGAAAGCTCGGATAGTTTGTGGAATGCAGCGAACGAGGGAAAGACTCCGGCTTATTTATACTGTAGCCATTTGAAGCTGAGCATTATTGCTGCTTCCTGCTTTCTGTTGCCCGAGATTACTACTCCCCTTGTTCACTATCACTGCTGAATAGTACGCGCTGCACCTGCTGAGTCCCAACGAGACTTCCAGCTGAGCCTATCGCGCTGAAAGGGACTCTCAGCCACCGCTCGTATTTGAGAAGACAGTGATCTGCGCGTCATAATAACAGGCCGAGCCTCTATCAATGCTTCCACTTTCCTTCGACCGAAGCGACTCCTCCACTCTTCACCACTTCTACTTAAGGAGAAGTGCGGTAACTTCACAAAGCTACCACTGGCACCTTGGTTTTAATATCTACCCGCATTCAAGTTGCTGTAATCTTGTCTTTGGGATGAACCTAGGAAGCGTGTCGAACCGAGAGTAACTGACGAGCCAAAGTTACCTCCTACGCATCCACCCACCCTTGTTACCCGCCCCGGATTCCTCTGAAATTTCCCGGGTCGATTTTGAACCACTGGATACTCTCGCACTGTTGGAACCAGGAGCAAATTCTGGAACAGGAAATCTCGATCCCATTGAAGACCTTCTGATACCCATCGCTTTCAAAAGATTAATAGATTTTGCATGAGGCAATAGAACTCAACAGATGCACAATACCCACATGGTGACTTGAAATGAATGCGTGAGTAATTAGTCCACATTAAAAACATGATCTTAATTTATTTTAACATTTAGTCTGCATTCTTGTCCTAAGATCTGTTTACAATTTTTCTCTATTGCCGCCTGCATTTTTCAACTGAGGTTTCTGCTTCTTCTATTCAAATGGCTTCCCGAAGCTGATCAATGATCAGCTTCGGGAAGCCATTCAGAACACCTTGTCTAAACTCAATTGAGTGAGGGTTGGGAGTTGTAGACAGGAAGACAAGTCAATCAAACATTATACAGGGCGGCCATCAAACCAATTTATTGATGATGAATTTGGGAACAGAGATCACCAATCCGACCTCAACTATACTTTGGGTAATCCAGTTTCAGAACAAGAGTTACTTGACGGCGCCAGTATGCGCGCCCAAATTTCTGCGGGTGAGAAATAGCAAAATTTCTCATTTTGGCTGGGCGCGCCAAGGTGCGTGCACTGGCGCCGTCAACCAGCAGTGAAGAGAAGGTATCATAGTGTATCATGAAGAGTTAGAGAAGTTATACAAGATGATAATCAATAGTTTCTAATGAAGATAGTTACAATACAAAAAGGTGAAAATTTGAACTAAATCATGCTCAGGCTATATATCCTAGATCGCTACAAGCTGATATTCAAAATTTGACAGCACTGGAAGTTGGCCCTGTGCATCCGGGCGCGGAACGGGAAGAGTGCCAAGATTGTTAAAAGGAGCACTGCTACTTGAGAGTTGTTCCCTCAAGGCTAAGCTAAGTAAAGCACTTTCGCCTCGGTGTTGACGTAGCGAGCTTTTCTTTTTTTGCCTTAGAGACTGCAGGTAGCGCTTGTCAAGGAAGTATTCAAAAATTATAGGGGAAGTGACGCCGTCAGTCACAATATATGGCTACATCTTCGAAAAAAAAAACCCCTCAAGTTTACTCACCAACCGTCTGAGCCGCTTCCGTGCGGAGGGATTCCTCCATCGTGAGATTTGCTTAGTGGCCGGTTTAGCTAGTTGTGAAAGATGATTGGAAAGGCTGGCAGAGGAGGACAGAGAAATGGGAAAAAGTCTTACTCCTTGAGCTTGGGGTTAGATGGTAGGGTGCCATACAGCAAAGCTGGCGAAGACTCCGGCTTATCGCCATTTTGATGGTGAGCCTATCTGCTCCTCGCTGCTTTATGTTGACCGAAACTTCTCCTCTTTTCCTGATTGCTGAACAAGAATTGCTGTCACAGCTGAGTCTCAAAGATACTGGAAACAACGCGCCATAAGTGGAAATGCTCATGAGAGATGCAGGCAAGGAGAACGTGATGCGGAACCCCATCATCGGTACCTCCATTCTACAAATCAGCTTGTCATCCGCAACCTCTAATCATCAAGCTCCACAAAGTTGTTCATTGGGATCCTGTTTCGAAACTCTTAACTAGCATCTCAAGCCGAGGTTTTATATTAACTCATAATTCCGTGATCACTTTCGCGCTTATCAGGTCATCACAACGTCCCGAAACTCCTATTTGAGTGGTTTATTCTAGCACCACTGGCCACTTTCCCAGTGTGAGAAATAACGTTGGAATCCAAATTTTCGATTCCACTGAGGAAAGCGGTTTACATGGATCCATCTATACGCGGAATCAATCCCTTGTCTCACTTGTCAGACTATGAAGCCAAAGGTTTACACCGGCTTGCAACGTTATAAGTACCCAGTACAAGGGTTTAGGAAACGATTACACTATTGATTTTGATCTCACAATTTGACTGTTGCAGTAAGGCGCATCTGTTTTAAAGATGGGCATTCAAGGACATCTGGAAACTTAAATAACAGAATGTAGCCAGCTACACTTATATAGCAAAGGAGGACCACATGAGATAAATATGCAACAGTGTTTGCTGTCTGCTCCACTCTGAAGACAATGCTTGGGTTGATTAGCTGCGAATGAGGAGTAAAAGTGAGACAAAACTTTTGGCAGATTTGAAGCCTTGGTGTTACTTGGTAAGGTAGACTTGTGGAAGATGAATGGTCAACAACCATCAACTCCCTTGACAAGATCCAGGATTTAATAGATGTCTCACCATGAGTATTGGCTGCAAGAAAGGCTTATTGATGCATTCCAAATTCCCGCACAGGCTGCGTTTGAAATGTGGCTGCAAATGCACCTGGCAACACCCCTCCTGTTCTGTGGCACTGGGGGATTCGATACCATACCCATGAGGTATTGCTCCCAGTGGACGCGTCTCAAATCTGATCGATTGGCAGAGCTGAATCTACATACATCTTATATTTGTATGCCTCGCATGTCTCACTTAATTTTAAAGCTCGTGACTTTGGTACCTATGTAGAATCATTGAACCCTGTACCTACTTGAGTGCAACATCAAAGCTACCTCTGTTCCATCCACATTTCAATCCCAATGCGACTCCACAAATCCAACCCATGTTTTTTGATTGCTAAAGATCTCTAAAAACAAAACACAATTTCAAAGACGACACACCAAAGAAAAAAAAATAAAAAATAAAAACAAGTTGACTTGAAGAAACCATATGTAAGCTAAAAGAAAAACAGGGTGTTTTTGCGTATAATGTGACAAGATCTATGTATGATCATGAAAAGAATAGTCTATATGAAGTGAAAAAAGAAAGCAAGTAAAAACACATGCACGAAACACAGGAAGAAATATAAAGCAGTTTTGACAAAAGAGAGAGAGAGAGAGAGAAAAGTGTATACTATAAGGAAGAAAAAAAAAATGCGGATTGAATGTAAGGCCAGGTCTCAACTCTATAAATAATATGAAAATCTTCAAGCCTTCAAACAAAAAAAGGATCCATGTATTATGACCATCACCAAGAGTAATTGATTTACAAACAAAAAGAAAAGGATCCAAGAAGCGGGAGTTAATGAGTAGGCACTACAAAACCAAGCGGCAAAAAAAGCAAGTTAATTAATTGGGAACGTCGAGGAAGAGAAGAGAGAGAGAGCGAGAAAGGGACAAACGAATATGGCCATGAGAGTTGACTTTAGACGGTGTGAGAAGGTTGAGGATCCAGAAGCAAGCCAACCAAACGAGGGCTCTGAAAGGAAGCTGAGAGCGATAGAGGTTGCGGAGGGAGTCGATAGCCTGGAGGAAGATAGAGGGTTGCTGAGAGGAGCGAGGGGAATCGGAGAGGGACAGATGGACGTCTTTATCGATGTCGTTAGTGGAGAGGGGCAAGTAGCTATCGTGTTGGTTGACGGAGGACGAGCCGGGATGGGGCGGCTGCTGATGACTAGTCTCGGGCTTGGCCCGGGCCTCCTCCAACGAGGATCCCCCATCATTGGGCCCGACGCTCGTGCTCACGGACGGCTTCGGCTTGTAGCACAGCCAGCTGCTCAGCGTCCCCGACGCCTGCGCCACTTGGTGGCTCACAAAGATAAACACAACCGTCGACACAATCAGGTTCAGCAGCCTGTGGCCCCGGAACGGAAGCACCTTCAGGATCCCTTTCGTGTCTGCTCCTAACCAAAAATGAAACTGTCATCCAATCACATCCGTCAAATCAAACTCACTAATCTTGGTATGCTCTTCTAAACAAAAACAAACAAAAAAATCTGCCGACTGACCTGAATGATGAAAGTTTCCAAGGAGCATTGGCCGATAAAGACAAAAAACTTAGAGTTGGTGGCTCTCAAGAACTCGGTCGAGTTCCTCAGAATGATGAACGACGAGATCGGGATGATCGAGATATAAGGGTGGTAGAGGTTGTAGATCAACTTGTTTGGTCGGGAGATTTCGAACCAAAAGAACCAGACCAATCCGAGCGCGCTGATCCAAATCGCGATTTTGCGGAGCTGATCGAACCGATTGGAATGATCTCGTTCGAGCCACTTATGTTCTTTAACTTTAAGATAGATCAACGAGGTGAGCATTCCCCAATAGACGATGAACATATCCAGGGTCACTCTGAATCTCCATTCGTTGGCATTCCACTCGGTCCCAAAGACTAGATTGATAAATCCAAAGACCCATCCAAGTGGTTTGTCGGCCTTGAAGAACCAGACGATCAGGACCACCGAACAGGCCAGCTTGGGCAGCAAAAACACCATCCGATCGTTCCACTGATGTCCGATAAACATCGTTGCCCAGATGATCAAGAACCACATGCTAACCAAGGGCGAGAAGTAGTAGGACAGATAGTCCGTATCCATCACGTAAGCCAGCACCAAGGTCAGCAGGTTCAAGCGAACGAGCACGGAGAGGATCCGAGGGAAACTGAAGTCTTTCTTGAGATAGTAGTAGGTGAAGTGGCCATAGCCGGTCATGAAGAGATAACTGGCCACACAGATCCGGATCGGGTTGTAAATTCCGGAGACCTGGGAGGCCGCGAGATAATGGTAGATGAGGATGGCGATCTGCATCCAGCCCTTCCATTCGTCCGTCTGCTCCCGGTTCAGGAGGCCCATGTCGCCTTTCTCCGAAGTCACTGCACTCCAGATTCCCGCTACCAAGGCGAGCAGATTCAGGGTGCCAAATTGCAGTCGGTCGAATTGCTTCTGCTCTTTGTTGAACATCGAGGTGCGATCGCTCAGGAAAATCAGGACGATCGAGCCCCCAAAGATTGCCATGGAGTTCAATCGATCGTTTGAAGGGAACAAATAACTGTGGACGGCGAGCGGTGAATTAGGATAGTGATTAATGTAAATCCCAAGTGGTGCCCAAACCAACAGGAAGAGGAGAAGGATGATTTGGATCCAATTGGGCGGCGGATACTGAAAACAGCAGGTCTTGTCTAGAGGAAATTTTTTCAAGATTTGATCGTTGCAGTGTAGATTGAATAAGATCCTTGCCTGGATATCTGAGAGTTTGTTTGAGTAATGCAATCCGTCTTGAGTTTCTGAGGGAGCTTGTTGGGAGATCAAGTTCATGACTGTTGGGATGACGATGGGTGAGGAGGGGCTCGAGTTACTCTTTTTGAGGGTGTAGTCGTTCATTTTCTGAACTTGATCCGGATGCATCCTCTGCTTACGGTCCTGGTTGAGCTTCTCGAAGGCGGGATATTCGACTGGAAGGAGGACGATCTCGTCGGCGATGCGCGCCTGTTTGTGGGCCAGTCTGGGGGAGGTGATTTGGAACAGATGGTCGACTTTCTGCTTCCAGGTGTCGATGCCCGATGGCAGTCCTAGATACCAGAGCCCAGAGCCTACGACCAGAAGGGCCGGCCGGTTCTTGAGAGCGAGGTCTTCCTTGGAATTGCTTGTGGGCGAGGGCAGGGATGACAAGTAGTTTCCGGAGATGATTTCGGGCCAGGTGGTGGAGTTCAGGAAGGGGTCCCAGACGTACCGCCACTCGATGCCGCCGATTTTCAGGGTGCGATCGGAGTGCTTCGACTGGCCATCGGGAGTCACTGAAGGGTCCATCGTCCGTAGCGCGCCATAGAAGAGCACCCGGGTGATCGAGTCGCCAATGAAGACTACCGATCGGCCGGCCAGACATTGGCCGACGGATTTGGGCTTGTAGGTGTGGAGCATGCAGCCGGTCGGCTGCCAATTAGTATGTCGGGATCCATCCAGCCAGTCCCCGGTATGCAGAAGTGCTTGGCAGTGGTTCGGGTCCGACCAATCTACAGTTCATGAGCCAAATAGAAGAGAGTGTACGACGATGAATATCCCGATAATCATCCCAGACAGAGGTCGCGAGGAGCTTACCCTTGATGAACAGTCGATAGGTGGCCAATCCAAGAAGGGCCGCGATCAAGGAACAGTTGAGGTGGAACAGCGTCAGATTGGTGGATTGGCTGATCGATCGAAGAGTCGAGAGCATAGTATCAAGCTAATGCATCCAAGCTTCAAGTCGACCAATGAAAAACTTAATGAAAGGTTGGCATCAAGTTCAAGTTCAAGTTTGCCACTGCAATTGGCAATTTTAAATGGCGTCGGAGTCCATGGTCGACTATCCGCGGACACTGCAACTGCAGGCTGGCTCAACCACCAAAGCCTACCAAAACCGGACAACACACCCATCAAGTACTTAGTTACTCCCCACAAAGCAGATTGTACTGTGGCCACTTCATTGACAACCCTTGGTTGGCTGCCAATGCTGCCATCGGACAACTACCCCTCGGTGACCGGTTCAAGTTGTGCTAATAGTTTACACTCTTCCCGGCGGCGCAAATCCCTACGCATTCCGTGGCCAATCGCCTCAACACCTATCAGCCCAATCTTAATTAACTATGTATCATCACTTGTCCGCTCCACCTATCCACTTTCTAATTCCTTTCGAACAATTCCTGAAGCACGTGAATATTTCATTCGATCCATGCGATCTTAAGGACTCAAGCCAACTTTTCTTTCCTTGTTCTTCCGCGTTCTGGTCAGTTGATCTGGAAAGCTCAAGAACAATCTGACAGGCGTTTATGTACCGTACTACCACATTGAACCCAACAGCAACTGCTTCCCTTGTCATCCTTGTTGCGCATCAAGAGGGGTGTATCTGAAATCTCACAATGAAGGGAGATGTTTTGGGAGGCACACAAGACATCAAGGCCGGCGGGGGTCCGGCATACCAATGATTGTAAAAATAAGGAAGCCTGGTTGGTGCTCAAAAATGTCAAATGAGGGTGCTTAGGCTCAGTCGGCTTTCGAAATCAGTTTAAGGAGCAGAAAGCCAAACGTGACGAGAGCAAACAATGGCACAGTAACATCGGCCACGAGCATCTCATGAAGAGCCTTTAAGATAGGCAGTTTAGAAAGAATCATTGGAATTGTGATAGTACATACACTATTGATCTCCAAGATGCATAGTTCATTCTACATACAATGAGGAGGTTGATGACTAGAGAAGGTCCACAAAGATTTAATATAACACCTGCGGAGTCGGGTGGGGTGGAAGAAATATTGTCGCTCTTCTATCCAACCGTTTCGTCCACGGCAGGCCCGTTTTGCTGAGCTTGAGGGCTAATGCGATGGAGTGGTGAAGGGAGAGGGTGGAATCACGGGCACTCGCTTTCAGCAGTCGAAGGATCTTAAGCTGGCGAGCAGTCGGAACACGCTAGTAGTTGTGAGCACCCGTGTCAGTTTGTCAACGCTTAAATGATTTGACTATGAGCTTGCAGAAGACTCACTTGTCTGATAGTCGGTTGAACTTGCAGAATCTGTCGCGTAAGGACAAAAGATCCACTTGTCCGTCCCATCTATCTGGACCTCTACAGTTGCATGCAGCACATACCACTCAAAAGTAAGCAGATTGTTCGTGGAGTCTTCCATCCAAGTCAATGCTCTTCGAGACTCACCAACGTATTTACTTCGGCGAAAATATTGAGCTGGTTTTACTGCTTCAGGTGTGATCTGCCCGTTGTGGCTGCAAAACGTGTAGCGAACCAAGTCCCCTGGTACATCGATCAACACGAGCCATGAATGAGTGCGGCACACATGGAAAGTAAAGTGGGGTCGTCAATCTTCCAAAATCATAATATCACACTGCACAACCGCCATAACGTATCGCAGCTCACACTTTAATCCGTTGGCATCGTTTCTGCAGCTGTCGAGCACGCACAACATATCATCTTTATCGTTCTGCATGCAAGCTGGGGGTGTTCAAGGTTTCTCTAGAGTCAGGAATTTCTGTGAAACAGCTGTCTGGTATATTGGAGGTCTTGGTGCTTACACGCTCCTTTCCCCTTAGAGCTGGTGGGGGAGAAGTGGTAGCTGCATTGCTGTTTGGTCCCGGCTGCAACATGGCCGGAGTAAAGGGTAATGATGAGAGTGACAAGGACAAAGGCGACGGATCCTCTCTGGCAAACGTTCATCGTAGACATCGTTGGGTAATTCGGATAAGCTGGCAGTGATAATAGTCTTTCCGGACTTGAGGCGCGCGGACAGAGGTGCGTCTAGTTATGCGTGTCTCCAGCATGACTACGGTGGCCGCTTCTAGTCTCACTGCAGAGCCACATGCCAATATCGCCACGCAACACGATCCTGCGAAACGTTGAGGCTTGAGCCCTGGAAGCTGGCGGGCTTCCCTACCAGAACAGCCTTGTCTTGACTGCTGATGTATGGATAAATGTGAGTACTTGGCTTTGAAACCGGTTTTGGAGATGCCTTCTGATTGCTATGGTTCCAATCGATGAAGCCACGTTTTCCCCCCTGCGGCCTGCTCCATGCCGATCAACCTCAAAAGCGGCGACCAACCTTCGAGAAAGTCTTTACAAAAGAGTGCTCGGTATCTTAATTAGAGGCCGGAATGTATCGCTCGGGTTTCGACGGGCGGTCAAACCAGTTAAGAGTAGCCTTACACCGTCGTAGTTCGTAGTAAGTTTTCATGAATAGTTCGATGTGAAAAGAGCCGACAGGCAGCTGCCCAAACAAATATCAGGCATTGATCACGGATCACTCGTTAAACAAGGCAAGTTTTTTCCCAGGCAATGGTGCTAAGTAACAGGTCACACACAGCCAATGAGGAACATAGCGTAACAGACACACTCTCATGTTATACTATAGATTTGCAGGTGGCTCATAATGTGAGGACTTTCCTGTAGATCAAAAGCTATGAATTAATTACCTATGGGGGGTTGTCTGGCTAGGAAAGTAGGAGTGAATAAACTTTGTGGAATCCCCAATGAAGGGAAATCTAAACCTTTGTACTCACTCTTTTTTGATATTTCAGATTTAGATGATGAAAATTAGAAATAAAAAGTTTGATGATAAATGAGATACAGCCATGGTGTCTGTATTATGTATTGTTGACAAATGTTTAGATGGCAAGGTAAGCAGGCATGTTAAGGGGAATCACTGCTGTGTAAGACTTCAGATGAAATGTTCTTTCAAGTCCTTGCAATGAGTATTTGACACAGACAAGAAGATATGTCCACAAGTAGTGTAGAATGGTACTGGATAATTTCCCGTTGCAATCTACGGCCCTCCCAGAAGTCAATTTACACCCCTTAGATCTATTTTTTTTCATAAAGAAAATATTTTTTCTGAAGCCTTCCAGAAACAGCTCTCATGTGTCCTGTTGTTAATTTAGGACTGAGGGAGGTCTTAAAAGTATTATAAATTGCGACAGGAAGTTCTCCAATAGCTTGGTCACAAACAAACTGATCAAGTCCTCCTGTCTTGAGTGATAGACTTCAGTCAATATCTATCCATTTGTTAGCATCTGGCCCAAAGTCATTCTGGGTCCAGTGCTGACAGTGAAACTCTCCCAAGGGGAAATATGATTTCTAGAGTAGAGAGATAATAGATATTCAATGCATGACTTGATTGTTCAGGAAATCTTTATACATAATAGACTATGCAGATAAGATATTATCAATGGTGAGAAGTTATATTGTCTTCATAAAAAAATCAATGGTAGCATAACAACTTTTTGGTAAGATGTTGCATTTTCATCCACTTTCTATTTCCTTATTGTAATATCCACAAAAAAATATGCAAAAAAACAGGTTGAGCTCAAATAGTCAAACTAAATATTTGTTTTTTATGCAAAACAGATGATACCATAAAGTTCTTCACCTCTCAAAGTGCAGGAAAACATTCAAAATTTGGGAAAATAACAAAAACAAGCTGTAACTTAAATAAACACTTGCAAGCATGGGAAAACGTTTGCGCTGCTCCGCAGCAAACATGTCAAAACACAGAAAAATATTGTTTTTTTCACCAAGGCTCTAACAAAAAATTTGCAAAAGAGCAATTTCAATCTTTGGTTTTTCTTGTCCATGTTTCCCTAATTTGTTTCTTCCTATGGGGTTTTGAACACTTAAGTAAAGCTGAATTTGTTATTTATTGTCCGGTTTTTCTTTTTGTCTCTATGTGGATGGTACTATTCAAAATCCCCCATATTTTATCCATTTGGAAATTCTTGAAAACAACAACAGTGAGATTTCCAAAACAAAATTAAATTTGTTGAGGTGAACTGGAGCCAACAGTAATGTAAAGGATGGAGTTCAATTCAACATAGAGAAAAACAAGGAAAAGGAGAAAAGAAAAGACACTAACCTGGAGCCGACAGTAATGGAAAGGATGAAGAAAAAGGAATCCTTTCCAGCACTGTTGGCTCCAGTATAAGAGCAAATGAAAACAAGATACATGTCACATATTGTGACATGTGAGAGATGAAAAACAGGAAGAAGCATGACAACCAATGTAGCTATAGTGACAAAATGAAACTGGTGACATGTATAGCTCAACACCCCCCCTTGCTGATGACTGAGTTTTAACAAGAGAAGAAAAAAAAATAAAAAAGGAGAGAAAGAAAGAAGAATTAGAGTAGACCAAACATGAGACGATGTTTCTCAGGCAACACTCAAGGGAGAGGTTTGGTAAGCATATCAGCCAACATTTCATGAGTGGAGACATGTATGATTTGGAAGATGTCATCTTTCACACAGTCACAGAAAAAATGGTATCTTGCGTCGATGTGTTTGGTCCTGGAGTGGTGTTCTGGATTATTGGCCAGCGCTTCTGCCCCCTCGTTGTCAACGTGAAGTGGGAGTGCTGATTTGGGCCGAATACACAGTTCCGTGAGAATGTTGCAAAGCCATAGCCCTTCTTTGCATGAATCTGCTAAAGCTTTTTACTCCGCCTCAGTGCTGGAGAGAGAAACAGTGGCCTGCTTGCGGGACTTCCACGAGATTGCACCATCTCCAAAGCGGTAAGTGTAGGCCAATGTTGACCTACAATCTTGCCGATCTTCAGCCCAGTCAGCATCAGAGTATCCTGCACAAGTGAGGGATCCACCAAGGCGCAGACAAAGTTTTTTTGTTGAAGCCAGGTAGTTCAGAATTTTGACTGCAGCAGACCAGTGAGATGCGGAGGGATCACAGAGAGATTGAGAAAGTTTGTTTACAGCAAAAGACACATCGGGTTGCGTGCAATGGGCAATCCATAGAAAGGATCCAATGAGTTGATTGTAGGGACCGGGGGAGGACTCTTCTCCCAAGACGTGTTTGACAAGATCCTTAAAGTAAGAGGAGGTTGCAGTCCTAGTGGTGGTGTGTTTACCATCAAGAAACCGATTAACCATGTCATCAATGTAGTGAGACTGAGACATATAGGGAAGAAGTTTGTCCAGATCCTGTGTGAATTTGATGGACAGGAAATGGTGAAGTTCTTCATCAGCTCCAATTTTGAACTTGGTCCCAAGGTCGGAAATGATGGAGTCAACAAAAGAGGGTTCACCAACAACCACAAGGCCGTCGACATGGACAGTGATTGCTCCTTGAAGTTTCCCATCAGTAATCTTGAAGTACAGAGTAGGGTCGTATTTAGACTGAGAGAGACCAACACTAATAAGAGCTAGATGGAGCTCTTGATTCCATGCACAAGGGGCTTGTTTCAGTCCATAAATAGAGCGACGAACTTTGCAGACAAAATCTGGGTGGGCAGGATCCTCAAAACCGGGTGGCTGTTCCGGGAAAACAGGTTTGTCGAGATGACCATTGAGGAAAGCTGTTTTGAAATCAACCTGACAACCCTTCCAAGACTTGGCTGCCAGAAGGCTGCAAATCAGGCAGGGAGTTTCAAGACGGATAGTGGGGGCAAAAACTTCCTGGTAGTCAACTCCACGAACTTGAGAATAGTCTATAGCAACTAAACATGCTTTTAATTGGAGAATGGATTTGTCAGGACACCATTTAACTTTAAAGACCCATTTTGACTTGATTATCTTGCGTTTTAAAGGCCTGGAAACAAGGTGCCAGGTATCCATGCCAAGCAGGGAGGAGAATTCCTTGTCTGCAGCCTTGAGCCACTGAGCCTTATGTGGAGATTTCTGAAGTTGACACCATGTTTTAGGAGTATCAATGTTGTCCAACAGCACATTAGCCGACTTGGACCAATTTCCATAGCGTTCAGGTTCTTTGCAGACACGTCTGGAAGACCTGACTGGTGGGGACGGAGGGTGAGAAGCCAGAAGAGGAATTGACTTAGGGTTGGAAGGAACCTGAGGATTGGAAGAGGGAGGGGAGGATGGGCAAGTGATTGGAGACAGAGAGGGAGGTTGTGTTGTTGCCAGAGCAGGAAGAGTCAGAGGCAGAGGGATGGCCAAAAGAGAAGAGGCTGGAGGATGGAGAAAAGTCAAGGGAAGAGGGATTGGAGATGGGAGACCAGAATACTTACTACCAATACCATTATCGGAGTGGCTGGACACTGGGCAAACATGAATTGCTGGAGCAGGGTCCCTAAACCGGAAGAACGTTGGAAGGAGAGAAAGAGGAGCAGGAAGGGGGGAAATAGGTCCTGGAAGTGTGGGACGACAAGCAGGCAGAGTTGCCGGGGAAAGGGTAGTGGCAGTGTATTGTCTATATTCCATGTTTTTCAATTTCATAATTTTAATTTTTTTTTCAACCTCAATTTTTTACCGCAGCAAAGTCGGACTTTGCTTGATTGGGTAGTCACAATTGGTGGGTGCCATGCAGCACTTCACACTATTTGGGGGCAAAACCGGGGTCTTGGGGCCAAAGAATAGGGGGTTCATGATAGCTTCTTGCAATAATCAATCTCTTCTCACTGGAGAAACAGCAGAACTACTGGAGGACTTCCTGTCAACATCTGCGGGTCTCCCAGAGCCGGTTTAGAGCCGCAAAATTCAAATTTCTCTGCGAAAATTAAGAATTTTTGGGTCTAGATCAACTTCTGCAAGGGTCCTAGATCCCAAGGGAAGTCCTCCACCGCAGACTTACAATTTAGCACAGAACTTCAAATGTTTTCTGAGAAAATTAATTTCAGCAATGCGCAATCAAGAAAAAAAATAACGGGTGCAAGAAGCAAAAAACGCTATTGTGAACCCCGCCAATGAGTTCAACCAACAAGAAACCCAAAAATCACAACTTTCATGGGCAGTCAATGGATGACTCCCCCCAAAAAAGTTAGGGTTAGTGAGTGCTCGCCAACCCCACTTTTCAAGATTTTGGGCACCCCACGGGCGTGCGCGCGTGGCACCCGCGCATCGGCGCGCACCCAGGGAGCGCGCCATCAACCCTACACCACGAACTTCGACCCACCGCGGGGCAACGTGAAATTTCACGTGGAGCCAACCTCCCCGCTCCCGCCCAGCTGTTTTGGTGGGCTTCTTTGCGGGAGGTATCGGCAGCCGCAGTGGGTGCGACCTCCCACGCCGGCTTCACGTGTGTGCCCGCGGTCGGCATAGCCGCTGATGTCGGCCTTCTGTTGGTGCTGCCGTTGGGATAGCTCCCAACGTTGGACTGGCATTAGGGCCGCGGTCACATCCAAACAAAAAAACAGTGTCTCGAGGGCTTGAACCCATGTCTTCACATTGGGTCCCAGGTACCTACCCCACCAAACACCTCAGGGCTTAATCATTGGCCTTCCGGGCTACCACCAGGCCATATCACATTAGTTGGCTGCCCGTTCTGGAAGAATTGAAACCGAACGATCTCGAGTTTGTCAAGCTGTTTGAATTTTTTATTGTTTTGAAGTCGTTTTTTTTTTTTTTTTTTTTTTTTGCAATTCCCCATCTGCGTAGCCTTTCCTCTATGTGGAAGGAGGCCAGCGCACTTCTTTGGAAAGTGCGATTTGCTAAGAAAATGTTGGTTGGCTCGATGGGGGCTGAACTTGTTGACACCGTCGGGCCAACCATCAGTGCTAAACTGTGTCGGCTGGGTCATCTCAAGCCTGTCAACAAAACATGTTGGTAGGGTTGGGCCAACCGATGGATCGGGTGGGTTGGGCCGGCGCAGGCCTGTCCTATCCCCCACCACATCCCGACTGAGCTGTGATTCTCAGGGCAGACAGGTCGGTGCCAACCTGTCTGCGACTGCGCAGTCAAGCCAACGCGGTCGAATAAAAAATATCGACCTGTGGTGTACCCTCTGCTCCAACAGAGGGGCCAACCAAGCACTGGGCCGTTACATAGCCCATGGGGGCACATGAATGATGTCACATTTGAAATGCTAGAAATGAAAACCACAAGTCCATAAAAAAGTTGACTCCGGGCCAAGGTTTTCGGTAAAGACAATAAATATTTACATAGGAATCATTGGAATTGGAACAGTACACTATTGATCCACTTGATTTGGATACAATCAGTTTGATATGAATTAGAAAAGGACAACAAATATTTGATAAAGTAGAGTCAAAATTCAAGCTCTTCTATCCAACCGGGCCGGGCAAGGGAGGTCCACTATGGTGAGCTTGGGGGCTAATCCAATAAATAGAGGGGCGACAGGAGAGGCAGGAACAACGAGATGTCCTTTCAGCAGTGGAAGTATGAATCCTCACAAGCAGTCGTTGCAAACTACATTAACGAATTAATTTTGAGCACACGTGTCAGTTTGCTAAACGCTAACTAGTCGATAATTGTGAGCTGCATAGAAAACTCACTCATTAATTGACGATTAGATGCATACGAGTAAGGACAACGGAACCAATTGGGGGTACCAGCTTCCTGAACCTCTACAATACATACAACAAGTCAAAAGTAAGCGGATAATTCGACAAGATGTCTTATGGGATGACGATGTATAAATCAAATCAAATCAGGGCACGGAGACTCACCAGCATAGCTATCCCGACGAAAATATTGGGCTGGTTTTATGGATCGAAGCAATACCTCACCGTTGAATGGATGGCAAAACCAGAATTCGAGTTGGTCCCCTAGGATCAATCAACACCAGAGCCCGTGCGGTAAATAGAAAGTAAAGTGTTATCGTCAATCTTCCCGAGGTCAAATTATACATTGTACAACCACCATGTAATTCAAGCTCACACTTGAATCCGTCAATATCGCTCCTACAGCTCTCGGGCGCACATTGATTATCATGTTCGTTGTCCTGCATGCAAGCTGGGGTTGTTCTCAATTTTTTCACCAGGGTCAGTACTTTTATGAAACAGTCTAATTAGACTAGAGATATTTGAGGTATTGATGATGCTTACAAGCTCGCTTCTGCCTCGCGTCGGCAAAGAAAAAATGGTAGCCACATTGTTGTCTTCTCCCGCCTACAGCCTGGCCCGAGTGGATCCTGAGGGTAACGATAAGAGCTACGAGTGCAAGTTTGATGATGTATGCTCTCTGGCAAATGTTGATAAAAGACATCGTTGGATGATTTGGATTGTAAGCTGACAGTGATTGTTTTTTTTTGCCTTCCGGCCGGATGTTGGAGGAGGTGCGTTTATTTATGTGTGTGGGTGTCTCAATGGTGCGATACAAGCCAGCTGAACCTTGAGGCTTGAGCCACTCTAAGCCACCGGGCTTCTCTACCAGAACAACCATGTCCTGACGGCTGTGTATGGATGGATGGAGCCCAAGGGATGGACTCTAAATTATATTCCATCAAGGAGCAGACAAGTAGCTACATCCCGCAAATGCCAGGCATGAAGCCCGGATCGCTCAAGCGCCAAGTACAACAACGGGGGGGTAGACGAGTATGAAGATAAACCCGGCCGACACACCTTGTCTCACCTAAAGTTCGTTTGTGGTAATTCGGAGCGCGTATATCTGGTCGCCCAGCTAAGGAAGCTCGAGGATGATTTGCGTGAGTGGCACGCTCGCGACGCAGTTCTTTTAAAGGTCACATCACATGCCACCTCTGAAACCACTGACGGGAGGACGCCATTTTTTTGCAATAAAAAACATGTACATATTGTCTATATGGAAGTATGAATCCTCACAAGCAGTCGTTACAGACTACATTAACACATTAATTTTGAGCACGCGTGTCACTGTCAGTTTGCTAAACGCGTAGTTGATAATCGTGAGCTGCATAGAAAACTCACTCATCAATTGACGATTAGATGCATACGAGTAAGCACAACGGAACCAATTGGGGGTACCAGCTTCCTGAACCTCTACAATACATAAAATCAAAAGTAAGCGGGGAATTCAACAAGAAGTCTTATGGAATGACGATGTAGAAACACAATCAAATTAGGGCACGGAGACTCACCAGCGTAGCTATCTCGACGAAAATATTGGGCTGGTTTTATGGGTCGATGCAATACAAAACCGTCGACTGGATGGCAAAACCAGAATTCGAGCTGGTCCCCTGGGATCAGTCAACACCAGGCCCCGTAAGTAAAGTGTTATCGTCAATCTTCCCGAGGTCAAATTATACATTTTTGAACCACCATGTAATTCAAGCTCACACTTGAATCCGTCGATATCGCTCCTACAGCTCTCGGGCGCACATTGATTATCATGTTCGTTGTCCTGCCTGCAAGCTGGAGTTGTTCTCAAGTTTTTCACCAGGGTCAGTACTTTTATGAAACAGTCTAATTAGACTAGAAATATTTGAGGTATTGATGATGCTTACAAGCTCGCTTCTGCCTCGCGTCGGCCAAGAAGAAATGGTAGCCACATTGTTGTCTTCTCCCGCCTACAGCCTGGCCCGAGTGGATCCTGAGGGTAAGGATAAAAGCTACGAGTGCAAATTTGATGATGTATGCTCTCTGGGAAATGTTGATAAAAGACATCGTTGGAGGATTTGGATTGATAGTTTTTTTGCCTTCCGGCCGGATGTTGCAGGAGGTGCGTTTATTTATGTGCGTGGGTGTCTCAATGGCGCCATACAAGCCAGCTGAACCTTGAGGCTTGAGCCACTGTAAGCCACCGGGCTTCTCTACCAGAACAACCATGTCCTGACGCCAAGGGATGGATGAAAGAGTATATACTCTTTTATTCAGATTGTAAATCATACAGCTATAACGAGAATACTTGCGGGCTCCGAAGTCAGAAAATAAAAAAAAATAAAAAAATCTACCGACTACAGCTGGAAGTTTTGGAAGAATACAGGTTCATGTATGGGTACATCATGTTGGGTTGAATTTGCTATCTTTTTGATCTCTCATTTTCAGGTGATGAGAGTAACACCATCGGAATCCTGATGCAAAGTTCACTCCAACGGCCTTCCCTTACCCGCTGATGGCTGCTGCTGAGGCATCCCCCTGGGGGGCCGGTCAGGTCCCACCGGTGCTGCTAGCAGGTATACGGCAGCCTGTATTCTTGTCTGTTTATGCTAACACCCACTTTGTGGAACTCATAACCGGTAGAAAGGAGGACACTGAGTGCTCGGGTGCGAACAAGCGCTAGCTTCCCACCAGGTTTAGGCAATGTTAAAAGTGATAAGTTGATTTGCAGATTGCATGGGGGGGGGGGGGAAATGCACGGGATGATCTAGCAATTTACAGAGATTTTATTATTGAGCTAGAGTGTCTGAAGAACCTTAGAAGACACCGGCGCCTGAAAGGATGAAGCCAAAACAAAGCAGGCTCAGCGAAGCAATATCAATTGAGGATGAAGGATGTGTCGGTGAAAGGATTAGCTCACCTGCACCGACACCGACACCGACACCGGCACCGACACCACCTCCGTAAGGGTATCGGTAGCCATATCCGGGGTAGCCATAGCCGGGATAGCCATAGCCAGGGTAGCCATATCCAGGATAGCCGTAGCCGGGGTAGCTGCCGTAAGGGTAACCGCCGTAGGGATAGAATTGGCCAGATTGTTGCCCAGCGTGGGCGGCGTTGGCTGCTTGGCCGGCAGGTGCATGGGGAGCATTCTGAGCGTTGGGAGCATTCTGGGCGTTGGGAGCATTCTGGGCGTTGGGAGCATTCTGGGCGTTGGGGGCGGCTTTCGCATCTGGGGCTTGAGCAGCAGCACTAAAAAAACCCCGGAATCATGGACCTCAGTTTCCTGCTCGAACTGGTCATCATGAGCCAATTCTGGAAACACTTACCCTGTGTTCGCGTCGTTTTGCGCACCAAAGACTCCTGTAAAACCATCCAAGAGTTTTTTTGTCAGCATCCATCGAGGTGCAGGTTACTTTCGAACGGGAAGGGGGGAAAGATGATGAGACTTACCGCTGGCCAGGCCAAGGGCAGCAACAAGAACAGTGAACTTCATGGCGAGAAAGTTGGGAGGTTGTTGAGGAGTGGTAGGAGAGTTCGATAAGTTAGGCGGTGGTGATGCTGGATGGGGATTATTGTTATCTGATGGGGGGATGTAGGATGGAGCCCTGCCCTTCTGGGGCTGAGTTATATAGGCTGTTTTCCAGCTGCTTCAATCACAGCAGTCTCGCTACCAAGAGCTCTGTGTGATCTTCCCGACCACTTCGCCAGCAGATCGCTGGCGGTGAGCCTGGAGGATTAAGGCCGTGCAAATACGGCCTCCCTGCTCGAAGATGAGACAAAGAACACGGAGCTCTGGAACGGCGACTGCCCGATCACGTTCCTCGGCTGCACTAGGATGTGGGCGTGCAATTACGGCCTCATCAACATATACATGGGGTTCTCGGCACCGATTTCACGTCAGAACATCCCCTATAACCACCAGAATCAGTCACGGTCTGGATGGACCATCCGAATCTCGCTTCTGTCGGGGCCAGGCTGCGCTTGACCAACTCCTGGGCCAGAGACCACGGCGATTGCGAGGCCATACTTGCTTTGATTTTCAGGATTGAGCGAGTCGAATCTCCCTAGTTCTCTTTATGAGTGGATAGCTTTAGGTCATCGACGATTGCTCCAGTTTGGGCTCGGCTGAATGGAACGATTGCGGTGAAGTGTGACTGTGGTTGTCATAAGCTTTCATTCCCTCTCTCTCTCTCTCTCTCTCTCTCTCCCCTAGAGATTATCCAGGGTCCTCTCGGAGAGAAGTTCAACCGTGGCCAAAGCCAGTGCGATCGTACCCTTGAAGCGAAAGTAGCTTGGATAATGTCCTATGGAGCCCCGTCAATCGAATGCTTGGACCTTTCTTCATCAAGACAAGGCAGAAAATAAATGACTCGGTATTATTATGAGCTCCACAAGTGCTGCAAAATAAGTCTAGAAACCGTCGGTTGCATTATCTAGGACGGTGCGCAAAACCCTTGACCTCCAGAAAATCCACTACGGGAGGGCAAAGAGCCGTGTTGTCTGAGCGGAAAACTGAAGCTCATTGGACCTCACTGTATGTAGTTTGTTGTCAATGAATGAACGAAGTGGTAGTCGTCATGGGGGTCTGGAATAACTTAATTGAAGTACAAATGTGTACATGAGCGTTCCCATTGAAATTGTTATCAGAGTTACAGTGTTGTACATTTCCTTCCTCAAGAGTTAAGCTCAAGTGGTCTTGTTTCGATCGAAGAAAGAAGAACTTGGAAAAAAGAAATCTGAAACATTACCTGCACAAGATGACGACCGATGGGCCACTTTACCACTTTGCGTACTACTGTTCTGGTCATGGTGAGTCTCGGCACTCCTCAGATCTGATCAATGAGGATGAGGATTCGACTGACAGGGCGATACAAACAAATTTGTTTTTGATGGTGTATGCACCGGCAGGATTCGGACATGCCACCCGAGTGACGGCGATTACGGCTGGACTGCTATCGCGGAGACACCGAGTGTCGATCGTGTCGAGTGCACCCGAGTCCGTCTTCGAAGCTGTCTTGCACGGCTCCTCGGCCCAGGCCAGCTACCGGTTCGCCATCTTCGAGCCGACGGTCGTCCAGCCTAAAGCTTACGATGTCGATCGATTGGCAACCTTCAACAACTTGCACTCCTTCTTGACCCAGCAGAGGCATCCTGTCATCGATCAAGAACGTCAATGGCTCACCGATCATCGGGTTGATTGCGTTCTTATCGACGCCCCTTTTCTGCCTTGGTACGCCCGGAAGCATCTACTTGCTTATAAGTTTCCTTCTTTCTCCTTTTGTGTAATTGTTTGGCCGACTGTGTTTTTTAACTCATTTTTCAATCGCTTGGTGAACTCTCTTTTGAATGGACAGTGCTGCAGCAAGGAAAGCAAACATACCGTCGGTGATTATCAGCAACTTCACTTTTGATTCCTGTTACTCGTACTTGTCAGCATTCAATGAAGAGGCATCAGGAGAGCAGAGGATTGAAACAAAGAGATTGAACGAGCTGGTGGCGATTACGGTTCAGGACTATGCACAGGCGGAGCTACTACTTCGACTGCCTGGAGCGATCCCCATACCGGGGTTTGATGAAGACATCCCGTTACCGGCGACGACGTGGGTGGAGGATCGCACAGGATTTTTCACCGCTGAGATTGACGGCAAGCTGGCGAAGGGAAAAGACTCGAGGATGAGGCCGAGGAGGACGATCGACATGCCGCTGATCGTCCGGCCACTAACGAGATCGGCGTACGAGCCCAAGACAAAGCTGGCTCTCTTGGCCGCCCTCGGCGTACCCGCCGAGCTCCTCAAGTCCGAAACTAAGATCCTACTCGTCTCCTTCGGCGGCCAGGTCATCCCCTCGCCAAGCCCTCCGACTTCTACCGACCATGATCTCGACGATGGCTCATCGCCTAATCAGACCCGGCCTCACGACTCCCTCCTCCCACCCGGATGGATAGCCATCATCTGTGGCTTGCCTCCCAAGGCTCGTCCTCATCAGATACCCGATCGCTTCTTCTCAATCACCGACTCCAAATTCAATTATGTCCCCGATCTCACCGCTATCACTGATGTTGTCTTGGGAAAATTAGGCTACGGGACGTGCAGTGAAGTCATCGCTACAAGGACACCGTTCATCAGTGGTAAGACGACATACTTTTCTGTCTTTTGCAGATACATCAAGTCCGCTTCTGACGGGTTTTCTTCTTTTGTTATTTCGGCAACATTGGCTTCCAACAACAACAACAACAAATTCTACACTGATCATCAACGCTGGATAGTGCCGAGAAAGATGTTTGTAGAGGAGTATGGATTGAAACGATTGATGAAAGAGAGCTCGACAATCAACGTCGAGATGAGCATCAAAGAGTTTGAAGATGGCCGATGGGCGTCGTATATTCTCCGGGCCGACCGACTGAAACAGCAACAAGTTCAGAAAGACCACCCGACATCTTCAAACCACTATCAGCAGCATCCTCAACTCATCGTCAATGAGAGTCAGAATGGTCACGCTGTCGATATCGTCGTCGACCATCTCGAAGTCTTCATGTTCGAGAAAAAAACTGTCAAATAATTAGCAAGTTCTCGGATCTTAGGAACCATTTCTTTTTGATTAAGTTGGATGGCTTTTACTTGAACTAATATTCCCTCTTGCCTCTAGCAACCACCTTTTCTCATTGTTTGTTTGTATGTATGTGTTTTGTACCATTAGTATTTAGAACGGTCACTCACAAGCAAACGTATTGTGCAGGACTGTTATGGCTTTAGGATCACCAGTTGTATAGGAAATTGTAGATCAGGATGTGTCACTATGTAGAGTTTTTGTTTTTTACCTTCTTTGTTGTTGTTGTTGTTTTTATAGGTCTCATTGGGATTGTATTTTTGAATAATGATCGAATGTTCCTGGAAAGTGAAGCGTTTTCATTCAGCTCCAACCATCCAGAGCTACCGGGAGATGAACAAATTATTCATCTTTACAATGAAGCCACAAATAAACACGCGTATACTAGAGAGCAATCCTGATGATTGGATTGGGTTCTTCATGAACGACGTCCTTCGTTTTGGACCAATGACCAAGCGGAAATATCAACCAAACCATCAGTTCTCCACCCAAAGGATACGTAGGCAGGATGTAATAAATAAAAAGCTGTCGACAATTCAAGATCAAAAGGCTACAGTCAGAAAACGCAACAATCAAGAAAAAGTAAACAAATCCAGATCAAACAAGAACAGATGAAGAAAAAGATCAATCCATGCAAGCGAAAGGGATACAAGAGAAAGAAAGGGTCCAAATGGATTACAACAGATTTATTCAAAAAAGCCCCGTTGTGCTTGTACTTCAAGTCGTGTCTGCACTTGCCGAGCTGGGCTAATTCACGCTTGACTTCCTTATAACAGTCTCATAAGTATTATCACAAGTCCCTTTTGTTTCTTTCGGTATGGGAATAATGACGCTTCAGCGGAATAGAACATTCCTCTTGCAGGCGGGTCCTGACTCCTAAAACCAGCAGGGCTTGATGGGGGGCACGCGATGTCAGATGTGTAGCTAGGTAAACTCTAAACGGCGGCAAATACAATAGTTGGAGAACGACGAGCAACATGAAGCCGAGGCACACCCTCCTTTCGCCAGATCCTTTAAAATCAATCACGGTGGCTACTCTTAACTGTATGTGCCGCTCAACGAACCCTTAGTAGTCAGGACCCGACTGTTCTGGCAGGGAAGCCCGGTTGCAGTAGCTCAAGGTCCAGGGTTCGCCCGGATTGTTGCATGCGGCTATATCATGTGGCCCAGCGCAATCAGGAGACAAGAACACATAAATTGATGCACCTCTTTCGTCGTGCAAGGGTATCTACAGCAGCTTATCCCAATCACCTAACGATGTCTTATATGAACGTTTTCCAGAGAGGATATATCACCTTGGCATTCATCGCCTTTATCATTACCCTCCACTCAGTCTCGGGCCAGGTTCGAGCCTACAGGCTCACAAAACAACAATGCGGCTACCACTTCTCTCCCACCAGCAGTCTGCAAAAGGGGAGATCTTGTAAGGATCAATTTCCTCAAATTTCAGATTGTTTCCTAAAATCACTGAGCCTATAAAACTCGAATCACTGCAGCCTGCAAGCAGAACGACAAGGATGATCACTTATGCATGCCCAACAGCTGTTATACCGATAAAGGTGGAGCCAGATGTGAGCTTCAATCCTAGTGATCTTAGCAATACATTTCATACTATGATATCGGACATTGATGACTGCTTTATAATGCACACCACCAGGGGAAGCTGTTTTCTTCATCAAATGCTACAAAGACCAAATCGCAGGAGCCCAAATAAAAAGAGACACACTAAAGCCAGCTCAATATTTCCGCCGAGAGTCTTTTGCTGGTGAGTCTCTGCAACAATTGATTTGCTGGAAGACTTCATGAAACACCTGCTCAAACTCTTAGACCTGATTACTTTTTCCCTGTGCTTTAGAGGTTCAGGAAGTTGGTACTCAAATTTGGTTCACATGTCCCTACTCGTATGATCACAACGCTCAAATTATGAGTGAGTCTCCTTTAGCTAACAAACAAATCCGCATTCACCAACTGACACGCGTGCTATAAACTTAAGCCTGTGGCGGCTGCCGGGATGCTTAAAATTCTTCGACCCAGTGGAAGGTGTCTAGATAGCCATCTCAGGTTGGAAGATGACAAACGTGGATATCACATTGCAAAATACAGCACATATGACAGATAGCAACACGCAGGCTGTTTGCTTGACCCCTCTTTTTGTTTCTTGTTTCTCCTGTGTCCTTTTCCCCACCAGCCTGATTGAATGACTGTTCCCCTTCCGCAAATGTCGTCTTCACTGACTCCAGCTCAACAGGCCATGAGACCTAGTTGTTCCACACGTTTTGAAGCCTGTTAAAAATATATATATACTTGTACATTAAATGACAGTAGCTACCATCAAACATTTCTTTACCCACCAACAGACCTCACTTTCTAGCAATTCATAAAAACCGATGTTTCAGATCTCAGGCTCACTCTCTCCTGCAATGAAGCCAGTGATGCCCTTGTACTCCATTCAGCCTGGCCTCAAATTCATAGGCACCAATCAACTGGATAGACCTTGAAACTTCTAGAATTGAATTTGATGTTGAGCTTGCACTTGAAGGCAGCCTACCTTCTCAAGGTGATCAGTGAAACAGTTCAGTTTGGACAGAGAAGGAAAAATAATAATAATATGGGTGGCTAGTTTGTAGGATTGCTTGACTTTTGGTGTGGAAGGATGGCCAGATTTGGTGTAATTGGGTTTCTTTGGATTGAAATCACCCTTGTGATTCTCTGTCAGCCTAGCTAAACTAAGGCGCATGTTCAGGTTATTTCCTTCGTGTAAACAGAAAGTGCAGAGGTGAATTTTATGATTTCCATGTCAAAATTTATTTGCTCCAGTTTGCAAACGCGAAGAGCAAGAGTTATGGAAAAGACACTCTTCTTTGAGCATTGAAAGAATCCTTCGAGAAAAAACTTTGCCTTTGGTTGTGGGGAACAATACACGCATGATCAGTCGTCTAGTGTGTTGTATCTCACTCACCAAGCAAGTTCAGTGACATGCATATTCCCCCTCCCTGCTACTTAACCCTCAGGCCCAAGGGAAGATGAATTTTCTACTTTCTCCGGCCTGCTCTCGGCCTACAGCTCTGTAACCTCATTTGCTCTAATCATCGCGTTTCTGGGTCATCTTCCAGAGCTAAGACAAGTAGCCACTAAATAGTAACTCTGCCGATGATCAGACCTGAAGCGGCACAAGTGTTGAATTATTCGATATCACATCTCATTATGAATACGCAGCAAGAGTTTTCAATTCTCACTCGCATCTGAACATCACTAAATCAAACCTAACCGATTCTCCCCCGCAACCCCATCAAAAACAATTTCCCTCACCCCGATACCAGTCTTTTCCCCACACGCTTAATCAAGTTAAAAAGTGGAGAAGAGACTGGTAAGCAAAATTCTTCAACATTACTCAACAAAACTATCGCAACAATAACAACTGAAACCTTTTCTTTTCTTTATTCTTTCCTGTTGTTTTTCTCTCTTTTCCAGATCTAAAATCTCACGCGTGTCCTCCATCATTCACTATCCAAAACCTAAAAACAAAACACAAAAACTGCTTCATCGCAGGTATGATTAATCTTTCCTATTATCTCAATCATCTATATTTCTGCCGTAATTTCTTTTATATGAAAATGTTTTTCTAACATCTTATACTTTCTCATTCTCATTATTTCTATCTAATTAGGTGTGTCGAGTAGTCAGAGTTGAAGTCGTCGGAGTCGTTATTCTAACATATTTCACGTTGTTCAAAAAGGTTCGCTAAAACACAAATTGTTTTCTTCATTCTATGATTTCTTTTTCTCAGAAATAAAATACACACGCTTAATCAAGTTAAAAAGTGGAGAAGAGACTGATCTAAAATCTCACGCGTGTCCTCCATCATTCACTATCCAAAACCTAAAAACAAAACACAAAAACTGCTTCATCGCAGGTGTGTCGAGTAGTCAGAGTTGAAGTCGTCGGAGTCGTTATTCTAACATATTTCACGTTGTTCAAAAAGGTGTGTCGAGTAGTCAGAGTTGAAGTCGTCGGAGTCGTTATTCTAACATATTTCACGTTGTTCAAAAAGGCTTAATCGCAGGTGCACTTCGAATCCTAGTAAAAATCACAACAAGTAGTTGGTAAGTGATCTCGCGGAAAACGACCTCTTTCAAAGTTTTAGCCTTATCCTGACCGTATCATTTCACCCATTAATTTTTGAAGATCTACTTGACCGACACGACCGCGCCTGTAAAGACAAGGGCTACCTACGGTCCCTTAGGAAGAAATCGAACAAAGCTCGATTTGTGAACACCGAGGCAAAGGTCCTTAGCTCGAGGGAAGAGGGATCTCGGCTTCAACGTTACCGTCAACCACCCCAGACTTTGGTACCTACGGATCACCTATAGAAGTGCTCCTCTGAAAAACCTTGGCACCCCACCCGTTCCACAGCCCGATGGCCAAGGCCGATTTGCAGACAACGGGGATGGGGTCAGATTCCGACAGCTGATGCGTAATTTTGAACTTCCATTCAGGCCAGCTTGAATTGCTCATTTTAGATTAACATGATATTTTTCTCACTTATTTATTTAAACCTCTTGGATGGAACGTACAAGATGTCATTGACTTTCAAGATTCGCCATTTTGGATAGTATTTTCGCTTGAAGCGAAGAGTAATTTTGTATAACATCTGTACCTGTTTTGCAATGTCATCTTATACCTCCTCTTCTACCTGAGGCCGAACTTTTTGTGCCATTACCAAAGATTCACTAGAGCCCGGTTTGACGATATATGAAGTACTTCGCCACGCGCAGTTCTTAAGCGTGCCAAGTGGTCCATCAGGAGCCGTGAGACGTGTGCGGGCCATTCTGCCCGCTTATCGTGGCAAGGCACTTCCTGACACACGAGATACCCTATACAGTCCAACAGCTTTGAAGACTCATAGTTACTCGCATATTATATATGTGGAAAATGGGGGATCAAAATCATCACTTAATTGCGCGAGCAAGCAAAACATTTCAAGTAGTAATAACGACTCGTGGGTTGAAGATGTTGATTAGAATGATGTGACACGCTAGGATTCCAGGCCGCAGGCCGCCGAATACAAGGTGTTTACCATTGGTAGTATTGGTAACCTGTGAGATTGAAGATTTTGATGGCTATCTCAGCCGCTTGGATCTCCATCATTGAGATTCACAATGATAACAGCAAGAGTTACGGCTTACCGTAAGGGTAGCCGCCGTAAGGGTAACCACCGTAAGGGTAGTAGTTGTGACCTCCCCATCCGGGGTACGCGCCGTACGGGTAGCCCCAAGAACCGACACCAGCTCCAACGCCAACACCGACATGACCGCCGACGAAAAGGTCCTTCGTGGCGGTTGCGGCACCAGCAGCTTGAGCAGGGGAAGCAAAAGCACCTATGTTGAATACGAAAAGACGTAAATTAAACAACAAAATCGTTCGTCAGTCATACTTCGTCTCAAGACTACAACCTGCCAGAACCGGTCCCCAGAACAAGACGTACCGCTGGCAGCAATAAGGGCAGCAAAAAGCATGGTGATCTTCATCTTCGAGTGGTTTCGAAAGTTTAAAAAGGCGGGATAAGTTACTGTTATTTAAAGACTGAGCTCGGGTTTGTTGAAGAGTGATGATTAAAAGTTGTTGGGTTGAAAGTAGTAACGGTTTGTGTGATGGGGAAAGAAGGCTATCCCATCCCACCTGGCCGGCATTTATATAGACCATCTGTCTAGCCATCTCTATCAGTGATCCCGACAGAGGCAGCCACAATCACCAACACTATCAATACCTTTCGCGCGTAAGATGATGTTTCCCCAGGGAAAACCCGATGCTTAGTTCCCTTTCCGCGTGGATACGCCGGCCACTGGAGCTGATGATCATGGAAGAGCGTACTGCTCCGAGGGGTAGTGGGAATGGCCACCAAGCGAACGCACATACAATCGCGATATGGGGTGGATGAAAGGTCAGGTCAACCGAATGAATTTCCTGGATGGGAAAAGTCTTTTTCCAGCTGCCTGGATCTGTAGACAGAGGCTTCCGGTGTTGCTTGAACATAGGCCCTACTTCTGACTGGCCCAAGAAGGAGATGACAAGGCTTTCCTGTTAGGACAAAGAGGAAATTATTGGAACTTTGTAATGTCTCGAAGCGAGGGAGGGGTCTGCGCAAGACCCTAGCTCTAGCCCTCACTGACGGTCTGGTTCCCACTTGCTCGTGTGCTTGAACCTCGGTGAACCTTTACTTCGTGCCGATCACCACCCATCCAATCCATCCCAACTCTGCATACTTTTCCAGACGGGACGTCCACCATCTGTGGGTTAGCCCCCAGGTAGTTCGCCCTTAGACTCCTCTGTTCCTTTGATGTGCAGTGATTTCCAAATTGTTTGTTTTTGTGTCTTGGCGAAAGTCCTTTCCCAGCTACATGGGTCTGGAAACAGATGAGTCTAGTGCTACTTGTATATATGTCCAAACTTTTGACTGGCCCAGAAAGCAGAAGAAAAGGCTGCGATGACTTGACCTTCAATCTGTTAATGCAGCCAGTAGTAGTAATAATTTTTTCTAAAAAATAAAGAGTCAAACGAAAGTAAAGAATCACAAGATTGAATTAAAATGAGGAAGAAGAACTGAAAACAGAAAAAATCAAGAAAAGATAAACAAAAAAACAAGAACAGCAGTTTCGTAGGCTTTGAAGATAACTTATCTGACTAAACAGCAAGCAAACAAATATCTTCATGAGAGATAGTGAAATAAAACTGGGTCAAACCACAAGAATTGAGTTTTGATGATACAACTTACAAGAAAGCCAGAAAAAGTTATAAAACTATTTATAAGCAATTCTAAGAAACTGTGATGAGGAGCACAAGTCTTATGAGCGACGAAGAACCGGAAAGGAATAAAATATAATGATCTTTTAGGAGAGACAAACCTGTGATGAGGAGCACGAGTCTTATGAGCGACGAAGAACCGGAAAGGAATAAAAGAAAATGATCTTTTAGGAGAGACAACTGAGAGTCAACCGAATAGTGAGACAAGAATAATCTCGAATGAAGAAAAGAGAGAAAGAGAACGAAACAGAAAGACAACATGATGAATGAAAAATATCCCCATGAGTCATGCACCATTGCAATCCTTCCAATGATCCTTCAACCGTCCACAACGGTCCGATCTCCAATACCGTCATCATGACACCCCTCCATGTTCTCTAAAGTTATAACTCCTGCATCAATTTTATTTTTAAGAATAACCGGTCCAGGTTGAGACTTAGTGAGCAAATCAGCCAAGTTGTCCGCCGAACGACAAAAACTGAGACCAAATGATTTGCCGATATGATAACGAATCCAGTGCAATCGAATATTGATGTGTCGAGTTGCATGATGATAAAGAGGATTCTCCAAGAGAGCAATACCTCCCTTGTTATCATTCAAAAGTGTCGGTTCCCCCGACATATCCACCTTAAGAGAAGGGCCTATTTCGCCTAATAACGAACATAGCCATAAAATATCCTGACCCGATTCCAAACAAGCTCGATGCTCCACTTCAGTCATTGATAGAGATGGGCGCATTGAATCCGGATATCCGCGCGGATGCGGATATCCGCTCACGATTTCAGCAGAAACACACATCCGCATCCGCCAGCGGATACCCGCCCTCTGAATGGGCGGCAAGGCTCTTCCAGGAGTGTTTTTTTTTTAAAAAAAAAAGAAAAAAAAAACCAGCCCCCTCGGCCTAAAGGGGCAGAGGCCACACCGTCGGGAGGAACCCCTCCCGGCGAGCTAATTTCCTCCTGGCGAGCGTCTACACAATCCAGCTCGCCGGGAGGAACCCCTTCCGACAAGCTGGTACACAGACCAGCTTGTCGGGAGGAACCCCTCCTGGCAAGCTGGTTTAAAAACCAGCTCTCTGGGAGGAACCGCTCCCAGCGAGTTGGCCTGTAGACGCTCGCTGGGAGGAACCCCTCCCAACGAGCTGGTTTAAAAACCAGCTTGCCGGGAGGGATTCCTCCCGGAGGTGTGGCCTCTTGGCACCGGGTATCCCAAGGGATACCCGGATACCCGCCAGTATTTCAGGCGGAAGGGTGCATCCGCACCCGCTGGCGGGTATCCGCTGGCACTGGCGGGTATCCGCTGGCACTGGCGGGTATCCGCCAGAGGATAGCGGATATCCGCGGAGGATTATCCGCGACCATCTGATCTAGTCGTTGACAAACCCGTCACCGGCTGCTTTGAGCATTGCCAAGCCACCGGCCCCAAAAACGTGACCAAATTGCCCAAAAACAAACATCCATCGATGGAACCGCCCCAATCCGCATCCGCCCACGACATAATCCTGCTCTCTCCTTTTCCCAAAAGGATTCCGGTATCCGCCGTCCCTTTCAAATAATGTAAACAATGATGGAAACCTGCCACGGACTTCTTTGTTGGAGACAACAAGAATTGAGACAAGAAGCTGCTGGTAAACGCCAAGTCTGGACGCGTGCACTGAACCAAGTAATTGAGAAGTCCAACAGCACGTCAATAATCGATTGAGTCATCCGGAACATCTTCAAGTTCGTTTGGTTTGCCATTAATCTTCGGAATTAAAGGAGTCTTCGTTCTGTTACAGTCAGACATGCCAAATTTGGTTAGAATATTCTTGATGTATTGATCTTGGACCAAGAAAATTTGACGATTAGGCCGATTCCGAACAATCCTAATTCCAAGAACAAAACTAGCTTCTCCCAAATCCACCATTTCAAACCGCAAACTCAACAAGTCCTTCACCCAATCAATCGACTTTCCCCCAATGATAAGGTCGTCCACATGAACAAAGATAAAGGTTGATTCATCGTCTTTACAGAGAAATAAACACGGATCGGAAACCGTCGGATAAAAATTGATTTCGGCGAAGAAGCTAGAAAGAGCCTGATGCCACATACAAGGACTTTGCTTGAGGCCATAAAGAGACTGATTTAAGTAAAGACCTTCACCGGGTTTCAAATCAACACTTACACCTTCTGGAACTTGAATAAAGATGTCACAGTCGGGCTTTCCGTTCAAGAAAGCACACTTGATGTCCATTTGATGTAATTCTAGATCCAACAGAGTAGCAATTGCTAGAATAGTGCGTAACGTCTGAAGACGTCCAGTGGGGGAAAAGGTCGCAGTATAATCGATACCTTCTTTTTGAAGAAAACCCCAAACAACTAGATGAGCTTTGAATTTGTCAATTTTGCTAAACATGTTGAATTTAGTCTTGAAAACCCATTTGCAAGACAAAGGTTTACAACCAGGAATGAGCTTCCTGATTGACCAAACAACGTGACACTCCATATTTTGAAGCTCTTTATCAATTGCCGCCACCCAATCCAGAGCAGAAGAAGATGAAACAGCAGCCTTATAGGACAAAGGATCCGAAGCAGACGGTTCCATAACAATGTTATTGGCACGGCGTCGTGTCAGAATTATATTATCTTCAGATAAAGATGAAGTAATATCACGCGGGGCAACACCATAATATGGAACATTTGCATACCCCTTTTTTGATGAAGGTTGAACACCTTCATTTTGGTTTTGAGATGGATGAAGCAAAAGTTCAACTTGGGAATCATCAGAGTGTGATGCACTGTTGTGTGGGGGATCTTCCATGACCGACATAGTATCATGGAAACCTTCAGATTGTGAAGTACTACCCCCACCAATATCTCCCACAGTATCACCAGCTTGATCAACGTCGGCAACCCCATCAACAGTCGGCAAATTGAAAACCGTTGAATCGATCATTAAAGATTCAGATCCCAATTGAATACCTGGGAAATCTTCTTCCTTGAAACGAAGATTGTGGGTGAAAATAACAACCTTCTTTTTGCACCACCAGATCCTGTAATTCTTGTGGCCTTCTTGATAACCAAAGAAAACACCCTTTTTGCCAGAGGAAGACATCTTAGAAGGTCGATGAAGTTGCTCTTCATAATAGACAACTTCGCACCCAAACATCTTCAAGGGATCCAACCTAGGTTCATCATTATGCCAAATAAAGTATGGTGAATCCATGTTAATAGATGAATTAGGAGTCTGATTAATGAGATATACCGCCGTATTAACAGCTTCCACCCACCAAGTCAAATGAAGATTTTCCGTTTTCAAAAGACAACGAGCCTTTTCTATAACGACCCGATTGCTTCTTTCCGCAAACGGATTTTGCTGAGGAGTGTACGGAGCCGTACGAAGCAGTTCAATTCCCTTTTTGATGAAATAATTGGAAAACTTCTTGTTGACAAATTTCCCCCCATTATCCGACACAACCGCCTTAACCTTCCGACCCGTCTTCGTTTCCATGAAGTTAAAAAGCTCAACGATGATGTCGAAAGCTTCAGACTTCCGGACCAGGAAACGCACAAAACGAAAACGTGATTTACCGTCGACAAGAATAAGAAAGTAGGATGATTTGGATGGAGTCGGAGGAGAGATTGGTCCACATAAGTCAATGTGGACCACATCAAGAAGTCCTGTAGGTTCCGGAAAAGATCCCTTGAATGGTTGGCGAGTAGATTTTGAGACCAAATACGCATCACAGTTGATTGAAGAGAATGGGATACCAGGAAATGATTCTTTGAGAAATGAATCACTGGGATGACCCATTTGATTGTGCAAAGTGATCGGAGAAATGACAACGTTATTGGCGTCCAATCTTACTTCAGGAATCACCAAGACACTGGCGTTATACGTTCCTTGAAAGATAGTGGATCTGAGATGATTGACCACTTGATAACGGTTTGAATCCATAGGAACTACTGACATCTTCATTCTGAGTAGAGATGAAGCCGCAACCAACGACAAAGATAGCATTGGTGCAAAGATCGAGCTGCCCAAAAACAAAGGTCCCGAGGTAGTCGTAAGAACAGCATCCCCATACCCTTCAGCCTCTATTTTCTTCCCATCTGCCAAGAACAGCGTGATTGGTTTCTTCACAATTGAGTCGAAGAATGAGCTATTATTTAGCATCAAAACCGAGGCTCCACTATCCAAGATAACTTCTCCAGTAGAATTTGAAGAATTGACCGCAAACGTCTTCATATTATCCCAGGTCGGAGCGGATACATTCTTGGCTTGTTTGTTTTGAAAATAAGCCAAAGCACGCTTGGGATAAACGACAAAGCAATCAGGTTCTTTATGAGAAGCACAAGGATTATGAACACCGTTATCACAATTCTCCTTGACAAATTTCTTCTTTTCTTTTGCCGGCGATGAAGGATTCTTTGACGACGACCAAGAAACGGAAGGAGGAATTATCGGCGAAGCTGCCGGAAAAACCGGGCGCTGCAAAGTATTGATTGCCAACGCAAGATTGACTGCTTCCTTTTGAGATCGACGATTTTCGAAAAGATGAATTTCGTTAAAAACTTTCCTCAAAGAAAGATCCTCATTGCCAGCCGATTCTCGAAGTAAAATGGTAGCGATGAGATCGAATGAAGAAGGAAGTCGCCAAAGAATAATGTGTGCCCACACTGAATCCAAAGTAGGTCGGTGAAATTTAGGTTTTATCTCCATCAATAAGTTGAAATTGTTACGAAATTTTGTAACGCTCCTTTCCAAATCTCCCTCCAGCCACGTAGACGAGATCACTCGATCCCAGATAGAGGCTGCATTTTCAGAAGATTTCCCAAAATGGTACTGGACAATGTTGTCGAACAAAGTTTGAGGTTCAAAATCCCACAATTTGTGTCAATCAACAAAAACAGACTTGTTGTCTTTGTCCAGAGACATGCGGATCATAGTGGTCGCTATACGCTTCCGTTGAGCTATTGTATCAGTGACACCAGCTGGAGGGTCACCTCCCAACACCAAGTCCTCTAGATTCTTGAGAACAAGGTGATTGATGACAGAGGTTCGCCAAGAATCAAAAGTCTCTTCCGTGAGGACGACCAACCTTTTTGCTCCAGCTTTATCATCGATAGCAACGGTCGCTTTGTGTGAGTCCGTCATCACGTTCAGAGGTAAAGTTTGTTCAAAGGTAATTGAGATCTTTAGAGCGCTGGGCTCATAACCTAAGAAACTGTGATGAGGAGCACGAGTCTTATGAGCGACGAAGAACCGGAAAGTAATAAAAGATAATGATCTTTTAGGAGAGACAAACCTGTGATGAGGAGCACAAGTCTTATGAGCGACGAAAAACCGGAAAGGAATAAAAGATAATGATCTTTTAGGAGAGACAACTGAGAGTCGACCGAATAGTGAGACGAGAATAAGTTCGAATAATCATTAGAATAATCATGAAGAGAACACCAAACAATGATGACTACTTACACCTGTGATGAGGAGCACGAGTCTTATGAGCGACGAAGAACCGGAAAGGAATAAAAGATAATGATCTTTTAGGAGAGACAACTGAGAGTTGACCGAATAGTGAGACAAGAATAAGTTCAAATGAAGAAAAGAGAGAAAGAGAACGAAACAGAAAGACAACATGATGAATGAAAAATATCACCATGAGTCATGCACCATTTCAATCCTTCCAATGATCCTTCAACCGTCCACAACGGTCCAATCTCCAATACCGTCATCATGACAAATTCTCCTTCTGAATTTAATTGATCACGGCCTCCTACAGAATTGGATTTATGCCACATTTGATCACCAAACACAACAATAGGCTGCTGTGCTACCTGTTACACTCCAAGTAACTTATGTTTCAGGCTCTCACTGCAGTATCAGATTTTTCTTTTTGACTTTTTTGTGCCGGATTATGCTTCCAAAGATGCAAGTCATCTTAAATGTCTTATTGTTACACTACCAAAGTCAAGAAGGTAACAATTCTCATTAATGAAAAAAATGAGTCATATCGAGAAAATCAGGCTATTTTTTTCAGGGGAATACACTCTTCAAAACCTTTGTGGCCTCCCCAATTTCTCCAGAAAGAGAGGATTTGACACAAAGCCATGTAAGGAATCTGGCTACTAGTGCTAACCGAAGAAATTTTTACCAAAGACAAGGAGAATTTTTGGGCAACAAAAATTAGTTTTTGATGGAATGGCTCAAGGGTTGAAAAAAGAGGGAGAGAGCCAATGAGTTTTTTACTTAGAGCATCCGCATCAGCTTTGCTAAACCGCGCGCTATGCTACATATAGCAACAAACACGCCGCATTGGTTTGGCTATGATCCCAAATCTTGCCAGATTTCTGAGCTTTCATCGCCAACCCTCTCCAACCTTGGGAGTACTTGGCGATGATGCTAGGTCATCCTGCATATGCAAACTACACCTCGCAGCACCTTGTGGCTAGTGGAGGCTATACCTCATATCTGTACAACACCACTTCAATACGTTCAACATCTTGTCCAATCAACATCCTCAACACTCCACCCTCCGACTTGAATGGCACTCGGAACAAGATGACTCAGGTTGTAATATGCACAACTCACCTGGATTTAGCTTGACATGTTACCAAATCCGATGATCGATCACTATCTCTTGCTTCTTTGACACAAGATCCCCTCAATTCCAGCTCGGAACCTGATGAATACCAGGATAATGAAGATGTTGAAGATGTTGAAGATGAAAACAGGCCCATTGATTAGTTTGCTTATTTAAATATTGAATCAATGTTTTTCTCTTAATCAGTTTTGACCTCTTATCAAACTTTTCACTCATATCGATGCTCTCATTTTTCACATGTTTTTTTTCTGGTTTGTTGAGCAAATACATGTAATTGAAGTACAATTTACAAAGTACAGCCATTGAGAAAAATTGTTGGAGCAAGAAGCAAAAACTACACTGTTTGGAGTGATCGGAGCAAGCGAAAACTTTACTACTCAGATTGATTGGAGTAAGAAAAGAAACATTCCAATATTGATATGGAGTGATTGGATCAGAAGCACTACAGCACCCTGTAGTTATTCCGATGGGGTGCTTGGTTGCAGGTTGCTAGCGCAGTCGAGGGGTGGTTGGTCCTGAAAAAGCCTTGACTGATGTGGAATGTGTGGGATGGTTGCTATGTTGTGTGGCTAACCATTGCTATCCTTCCTAGCTTTAACCTGCACCGATGCGGATGCTCTTAGAGAAGACTTCGCGTTAAATAGTCTACATACAAGATGTCAAACATGTGGTTGAGAGAAAAATGAATATCATAATGAATATCAAAAAATAAACAAATTCTTGAATAGATGACTGGAGCAAATGACTATTGATAAAGACTAGACCGGGGTTCAAAGACTACAAGGATTGCAGCACTAGACAACAGGACAAGATACCACGCAGAAACTAACAAAAATTGTATAATAATTTGAATTCTATTATTTAATCATTATTAATTAAAAGACTAAACAGAACAGGATTTTTAGGGATGAGGAGAGAGAGAGATGAAATTCCAACACTAACAAAGGGCAACATTTTCGCTGCTGCAGGCCACCACACCAACTGCCCAAAATGAATTTAATCAACCGATGAGGAGGGGTGAAGATTAAACTCCAAATCAAACTGGAAAATGAAAATGCAAATCTTAATGGGGTTTTTTCCACTGTACAAGATTAGTTTCCGACACAATACAAATTTTGAAAAACCCAACGTCATCAGAGGTTTTTCTTTTCAGGCATCAAGCAAGTTATTAACTCACGTTGTATATTTATGTCACTGTTTCTATGTCCGCTTTCCTGTCTTCAGGTGCTACAATGGCATTTTTCGAGCGTCATGTGGTCCTAGTATTAATTGTAACCTCATTGACAATGCTGCCAAGCCTAGATGTAGAAAAAGAAAAAGGGAGGCACACTCGCTGTGAAGGAGAGCCAGAGGCTCAAGTAAGAGGTTTGGAGAAGTAGATTGCGGAGCGGGTCGACTGGGGTGATTCCACAATTGTACCTCCTGAGTGTCTGTTGCGGGTTTGACCGCTGCCGTCCACCCCAATCTTTACATTTCTACTCGCTCGTCAAGACGTAAAGGGACACACGAAAAGAATGAAACACATGTCCCGCAAGCATAGAAAGATGAAGCAGTATGACCCTTTAACGCGAGTGAGCAGTTACAATACCAGCTCTTGGGAATAGAAGTGGCAAACAATGGGATTTATCAAATGGGGTAGAGTGTGAGAACATTTCCAGCACGCTGACATCGGTCAAATTCGCAAGGCACTGCTGTGCTGGCAAAGGGCACTTTTCCAAACAGCTTCGGGGACTCAGGTTTCTCACACCAGTACAGAATTAGAGGATAAAAATCATCACTTAAATTGCGCGAGCAAGCATAATGTTTAAAGAAATAAAAATTGTTCGGGAGTTAAGGGTTTGATAATAAGAAGATGAGCCGGGCGAGGATTCTGGGCCGCAGGCCACAGAACACAAAGTGTTTACCATTGGTAGTATTGGTATCCTGTGAGATTTCAAGTTTCAAACAGTTATGTCAGGGGCTTGGAATGAGACGATAGGAAAAGAGGGAGGCCTCTGGCGTACCGTAAGGGTAGCCGCCGTAAGGGTAGCCACCGTAAGGGTAGTAGTTGTAACCTCCCCACCCGGGGTAGGCGCCGTACGGGTAGCCGTAAGAACCTACGCCAGCTCCAATACCGATACCAACACCTGCGCCGATAGAGAGATCCTTAGCGGCGGCGGCGGCTTGAGCAGGGGCCGCGAAGACACCTAGGATAAAAGTATCCAAAGGTAGAAGAAAGAACAGAATCGTTGGTCAGGCATACTTCGTCTCAAGAGCTGCAAACGTTGGAACGAGTGCTCAGGAGAAGACGTACCGCTGGCAGCAGAAAGGGCGGCAAAAAACATGGTGATCTTCATCTTCGATTAGTTTCGAAAGTTTAAAAGTTGGGATAAGTTACCGTTGTTGAAAGACTGAGCTCGAAGTTGTTGAAGGGTGATGATTAAAATTGGTTGGGTTGAAAATAGTAATTGTTGGGTGGGATGGGGAAAGAGACTATCCTTCCATCTGACCGGCACTTATATAGACCATCTGTCTGGCCAGCTCTGGTAGTGATCCCGACAGAGGCAGGCACACTCACCAAGACTCTCAGTACCTTTTGCGCCTAAGATGATGTTTCCCCAGGGAAAACCCGACGGCGAGCTCCCTCTCCGCGTGCATACGCCGGCCATAGGAGCTGATGATCAGGGAAGAACGTACTATCTGAGGGGTAAATCGCCACCAAGCGAGCGCACATTCGATAGCGAGATGGGGCGAACCGATCAAAATTCCCTGGATTCCGAGAGTTTCTCCGGAAAGCAGAAAGAAAGACGACGCGCACATACCCACGGGAAAACCAACAACTCGCTAGACGTTACTTGAAATTGCTCAGCAAGGCCAAAATAAGGAAGCAGAGTAAAGAATCGCGACCGCTTCTCGGCTTTTGAGGCCAATTACTGATTCCTGTGAAGCCAGGTGTTCACGGCAAAGCGCGAACCATAACCAGTGTTGATCTCAAGCCTTCACATAATCAATCTCAACAAGTCCAACTTCAGACACCCGGGCCGTGATGCTTTGAAGCACTAATTACACATTTCGAGGACTATTGTGTCCATGAGAATTTGCACTCATAGTCCCAAATCATCATCTTTGAGAGATAAGCTCGACACCAATGCAGCTTAAACTAGAGGCCTAAATTCCTTTGGCCGATGGGGAAAAACCCAGACCGGGTGGAAAACCCCAATTTCTAGACAAATTGGCTCCATGTTCGAACAATCTAGGCTTTTACAGGGAGATACTTAGCTATGAAGTACCTTTCCTCGAAATGAGGGATACGTACAGGTATGTACACGCGAGATTTTGATTGAGGATCACTTGTAAGAAATTGGTACCGAGTAACAACAGTCCTGCATACTATAGCCTTGACAGCAACATGAGGGTATAGCCTCCAACGCCTTCAAAAATGAAGACAGATGTATTTTCTGTACATATACGCCCTCGTAACCTTCACGTTTCCAGTTACCATAGTCGCCACACCGATGCGAGGCCCCAGATTATAAAACCCATGCTTCGGGGCACCATTGATGGGAAAACACCCCGGCATATTCCCGTGCTCAAGAGACGAACCTATCAACACCTCCAATTTACATCTGTTGCTCGTATTCCAACCAACGCAGTTGAGATGCGATTCTTGAACTATCTTGTATTCTCAGTGGGCGTGATGCCCTTGGTACATGCTTTTGATCCTCACATGCAAAAACCCAACTTTCCGTGCCCTGACCCCGAACATCCAACGAGAGTTAATGGATTTTGTATCAGGGAGCCCGATCCTCAGGAACTCGTAGACAAAAAGGTAAACCCTGACGAGTATTTCCGGTTCAGTAAGTCGTCTTCAATGAACTTCAGCATGGCAGACTTCTTTTCTCAGTGTAGAGCTCTAGGAAAAATTGAACACTGATTGAACGTACTCACAAATTTCTCCAGTGGTCAATGCTCCGACTACCGACTCGGGTTTCAACTGTAAAGATGTAAATATCTTGGGTAAACCAGCAAGTACAGGGCATTGCTGTGCGGCTAATATCCCTAAAGGTGTAGTGAGTACAGTGATACCTATCGTCATATTTATCTCTGAGTGCGTCAAAATACTAACATCATCTCCGCCACAGACCTGGTTGGTGCCCGTTGCATCTGTTGCAGATTATTGTACTTTGACAAGTATTATACCATAATCAAAGCCCTTTGAGCTTGTCAAATTTTCAGTTTTTAAATTTAAATTCCTTCTTTCTCTGTAAACCAAACTTTGCCTTCGATACTATTGTTCTGTAATTCTAATCTCACTAGTGTTCAGTCGAGCTTTGATACCGCACTTGCAGGCACCTTTGAGGCTAACTTAACAAAGTCCCTCTCTGAATTCGGAGGGGGGACCGTCCCAAAGGGACCCTCCGAAGGAGGGACTTAGGCCTTATGTTGAAATTCTCGCTCAAGCCTAAATCAGAATTATCGGGTTGGATTGAATTCACTGTAACTTGGTCAGTTTCCATGCTGGCAAGGAGTTTTTGCACAAGGAAAGAAGCGCACGCTTCCTCCCCACCTTTTGGCTGCTACCATATGATCAAAAGCCAGATGGTTTGTCTTTGAGGGCAACTTCCCTGTTTCCACATCAATTTTGCTCACTGTATCACTTTGCGGTATTGTATGTACTGTTTCGGACTAGACGTACCTGTATTAATCATACAGCGCAAAAAAACCCCTCACTTGGAATCCAGATAGGATCTCAGGGAGGGCTCAGGAAAGGACCCCGGCAAGCCCTGACCAAGCCTACTTATGTGAAACCAGGGAAAAATGGGTTTTGGATACGTGCAAAAATCAGTTTTTTTCTGAAAAAGTCCATTTTGCTACGGATTACATCAGTAACATTCTTTGCATAAAGACAAAAATTTGGTGGAAAAAAGTATCCCATTGGGGAATCGAACCCACAACCCCTCAAATCAGGGGTTTTTCTCACCTGAAAGAGCAAAAAGCTCGGTTTTTAGTTCAAAAATGCCCAAAAGGATACTTAGTTCATGAGTATGCTTGGTGAGAAAAAACTCCAATCCGCTACATATCCGGTCCATTACATAAGTATCATTTTCATAAAAAACCCTGTTTTGCTACGCGCCACATAAGTAGGCTTGGTCGGGGCTCGCCGGGGTCCTCTCAGGAAGCTATGAGACCTGGACATCCAGGAAGGCCCAGCGCATGCGGTCATGATGATATAAAGCTGTTCAGCATGGGACCTAGGGGCTCGAAGGAATCTGCATTTGGAAATTTTCCCCAGCAAAATCCGAAATAGGCTAGAGGGGGGATTCCAGTATAAGCCGTAAGTCCCTCCCTCCGGTCGGCGCAATGCGACCAGTGTCTCACCACTCCGTCATGTAGGAGGGAGGGACTCCTCCCTCCGGTCGGCGCAATGCGACCAGTGTCTCACCACTCCGTCATGTAGGAGGGAGGGACTTTTTTAAGTTAGCCTTTGAGGGCTCTCCACAGTTGACCCAGAAGAACCATCAGATCAGTAAACAAAATTAAATGGAAAATAGTTGTCTTTTGCGTCTCAGAAGGAAAGCTCCAAACATCTTGAAAAGAGATAGGGTGGGCCTGCGCTGCGGCGCCCGGTCTCCCTCGGGGCAGAGAAATCTAATTAGACCTTTCAAGGTAGTAAATAAAAAGAGGAGTAGAACAACGAAATAAGAAATTAATCTATTCTTGAATTCTTGAATGAAACATTCTGAGGTATGTATATGAATGAAAATATATGAGACAACGAGAATACTAGAGAACTCGCGGCGCACGCCGCGAGCCCTCTTTGAACTGGAACAGTTTTGAAAACTTTGAATTGAGGCAAAGAAATGTAGACGGGCGAACTTAACTTGTATTGTGTCAGAAATTGTCTGAATATAAATAATAATAATAATTAAATGATAGATCAGCGAATGAATGAGAAATAGGAATAAGAAACATGAGCAAATGAATGAATAAGAAATAAGATGTGAATTTGAGATACATGTTGGCAATGTCAACAACGTGAGGATGAGTGAATGTTAACAGTTGGTGAGGAAGGGAACTGATACATAAAGAATGAAGGTACATGTGGTGTGGCTGGAATTGAAAATTGAGTAAAAAGAGCTTCACTCTGGAAAGGGTGTTGTGATGAACCAGGTGCTTAATGCTGAAGCTACCGATGTCAATCAAAGAACAACTGAAAAAGTTTGTAAAGTTAGTCTCCAAGTGGTAATCCCAGTCAAGAAACAAAAAATGCCCACCTGCTGAACTGTGGCACTTCTTGAGTACATCAAGGTTAACTACATTGGTAGTGACAGATGGCCCATTTGGATCAGTGACCAATCCAATAGTGAGTCCCTTGACTGAAGTGACTCGGGACAAAGCAACATAGAGTTGTCCATGTCCAAACACTGGGTTGGGCAAGAAGACCGCCACACGTTGAAGAGACTGCCCTTGCGCCTTGTTGATTGTCAAAGCAAACGCGACAGAGATTGGAAACTGGTATCGTGAGAATGTAACACCATACACTTGATCGGCTTCATGAATCAACTTGATCTTCGGGATTGAGACATCAGCGCCGACACATCGTCCAGTCAAAATCCGGCACCTGAGTACATTTTGTTTGATGTCGGTGATGACCATGCGGGTGCCGTTGGAAAGACCGTTTTTGAGGTTCATGTTTCGAAGGAGGATGATTGGAATACCTACCTTGAGTCTGATGGTCGATTCCGGGAATCCTGGTAAGGAGAACGATTTGAGGACCTCCTCTGGTATGGATTCCTCACTGTCTTCGCCATCTTGTTCATTCATCATCTGATCAACAGACACTGAATCAAAGTGAGCACCTCGGAATCGACGGACACATGTTTCGTTCAAATCATCAACATCAGAATTCAGGGGTGTGAGTATGAGTCTAGAGCTGTAAAAAGAGCCGATTTGTTCGGTGTTTGCAGCTTGCATGAAAAGGTCGATGTTTTCGTAGATGGCATGGATAAGGTTGTTGCTAACAATGTTACGGGATTGGTTTCGAACAACCTTCCCATATTCTAGACCAACGGTTTCAGTGAATGAACTCTGTCCCGCACCATTTCCAATCTTAAGAAGCCATTGATAGAATTCTTGGCTGGTACGCTGACTGTTGGCATCATCACCGGCTACCAACCTGAGATTTTCAGTAAGTGGGTAGGTGGTTACGGTGTCCCACAATGCAGAGTCAAGAATACAAACTCGGGCTTGATCGAAGATGTTACCGAATTTGACGACGGGCAAGGTTTGTCTAAAATCGCCGCCAAAGATGACTAATTTTCCCCCAAAGGGACGATTGGTTCGGGTAAGATCGCGGAGTGTACGGTCGACTGCTTCAACAGCAAGCTTATTTTGCATGGAGATCTCGTCCCATATAATGGCTCGAGCATTGATTATGGTGGCAGTGAAAGAGGATCGGGGGTTTAAGCCACAAACTGAAGTGGTTTCAAGTTGAAGTGGTATCTTGAAGCGAGAATGGGCCGTCATGCCATCTATCAACATTAGAGAAGCAACACCGGACGAAGCTACCATGACAAATGGTACCTCCCAGTATTTCAAATAAACAGCAACGGTGTTTAAAAGGTAGGTTTTACCACAACCACCTGGTCCATCGATGTACATCAGTCCTCCCTCGAATCTGTCAAGCTTTTGGATGACAGTGCTGAGTATCGCCTCTTGATCTGAGTTCAACTTTTGACGCCTGGAATCGAAGTTGCTACCGAGTGATTCAAAGGTTTCTTCAGTGGGATCAGGTGTGTTTTCGAATCGCGTCCAGAGGCTGATATCGGCCACATTGATTCCCACATCGCTTAAGTGTTTTCCAGATTCTGAGAGCAATCGATCCATGTAGAACAAACATAGGGATAGTCGATCGCTTGTGGAAGGATTCCTGAAGCGGTATATATTCTTGAGTCGATATAAGAGATCATCAGATAATTCTTCAAAGAAAGTTTCAAAAAGATGTTGTGGATTGCTAGGGGGGCTGTGTAAAAGGAGTATGACAAATGTTAATCTAAGCCCCGTTCCCGTCATCCAAAGAGAAGCATCGGCAAGACATGAATGATAGTGTCGGTCTGAAACCAACAGTCCAAGTTCATTCGCAGCCTGTCGGAATGAGTCGTAGGTTATGCCTCTGACAGTGCGCAAGTCTTCGAAGCTGGTCGATCCTTTTCGGTTCAGGAGGAGAAGTCTTAAGAAATAGCGCTCGCCTTCGTTTATGGACGCATAGTATATACGGCCGACCGTCTCTGATATTTGCTTTCTTCCAGTAAATCGGTTATGTGCCCAAGTGAAATACTTTGGGAAATCCTGATATAATAAGGTGCGCGCCGGCATCCCGAAACCAATTGCGTTGAGGCGATTCAATCTAAAAAATTCTGTGAGAGTTGTTACGGCTGCTGATCCACTTGCCATCCTGGCCCGCAAGTCTTCTTGATTGCTGAAAAAAACTGCATTGCTGTGAGGGAGATGGAGGGCAAGTCGTTGGATTGCTGGGAACCGATCACTTGTAGGGAATTGGAATAGTCTCCAAGCGGCTGTGGATGTGGTAGCTATGTGTCAGCAGTCAACTTCATTTATTATTTATGAGGAGAATCTTGAAAAAAATACAGAAAAAGAAATAAAACAACAACAAACCTTCGGATGGTCCAATGTAGCGACCATTGATAAACTTTTTGGTCTCGTCACCGTCAGACATGCTCATATGAGATCTGTCGACACCTTTGGTGATGTATTTGAACAAATATTTCAACGCTGTGATACCATAAGGTATCTCGACGTTGATATGGCAATCGTAGCGAAGAGACAGATATTTGTTGTATGGGACAACATGGCCGTTGTTGAAAACCGTCCTTCCCTTGATGAAAACTCGGCCGTTGTCCCGGCGTCGGTAATTCGGATAGGCGTTATCAGCAAAAGTGGTTGTCGCTTGGAAGGGTTTAGGAAACCCCTTACTGCACCCATTGTCTTTCCAGCACATGCTACCGGGGTGACAGGGACCGTGAAGCATGCATCGAGTAACGATTCGATGCAACTCAGGTTCTGTTTGCTTGTCCGGAATCTCGGCAGTCACCAACGAATCAATGTCTTCAGTCGTATGAGGAACACTGCCAGGTGCGAGGATGACGATGATGTGCGCATGGGGAAGGCCCCGCTTCTGGAATTCGATGGTGTACACAAAAGCGGCAACTGTCCCAAGTCTTCGATTTTTGACCAAATCTTTGATTAGCGAGTTGAGTTTCATATGGAAAACTCGTGAGACCAAATCGGGTCGGTCACTGGGTACATGATGAGGGGCTAAGGCGCGTATGATTTCGATCCATCTTGGGTTGGCCGTCATGGTGATGAAAAGGGATGGAGGACCGAATTGTCGAACGCAGGCCATGGAGTCTTGATATAGCTGAATCATGTTTCTGGGAGACCCAGTGAAAGAGGATGGGAGTATCACCCGTCTACCTTGAACATCGAGTTCGTTCCTCAGCGATTCCTCAACACCACTATATATGTCGGCTCGGATGAGGTCTTGATTAAATCGATAAAAGTTGAGCCGAGAGCGCTCAACACATATGTAGAGATCGACCAACAGTTCCTGGAATAGATTTTTTCCATGGAGGATTGCAGAGAACTGTTCGCGGTGATCAAAGAGCATCGCAGCATACCACTCGCATTGCGAAATAGTATTTCCTGTTGAGCGCTGTCAGTATTGATTCAAAAATAACCAATAGGTGTGACAGGTAGATAACTTACTTTGGTTTGATGGACTTGGCCATCCACGGATCCATCCTTGTTCGCCAAATGGGAAGAAAATGGGGTACCGAAGAGGGAGATAACCAGTATGATCATCCGTGATGCGCAACAATCTACCGCTATGCTTTCTCAAAAGGATATTGCGAGGGGAGATTTCGTCTGGATTATTGTGGTCGATAACCATTGCGATTTCTTCTACACGTGGTCTGTTGTAAACTCGCAGATCCAACCCAGGCCGTTCGATGCTTCGCAGGACAAAGTTGCTTGCCGGATTGGCATCGAGGTGGTTTCTGACTGAGCGATAGAATTGTGCGTAAGAGTTGTTTTGGTTCATAAATAGTTGGAGTCGAAACAATAAGCCTTCATTCAATGTGCTCCTGGCTTGGTTGATTCTAACAGAGGCTTCTTGTTGATCGTTTCCGCCAACGACATAGATCTGGGAAAATGAGGGTAGGTTTTGACCATCGGGCAAGACAGATCCAATGTCGTGGAACAACGCCCCACCAACTCGGAAAGTGTAGATTCCGTTTTGACCCTGAACCGATCGATCTACCGAGGCCCCGCAAGACGCAAAAGACAATGCGTTGTTGTATCCTCTGATTTGGTGTTGAAAGTCAGCGGAAACTGTAATTACATGTCAGTCATACTGTATATAGATATAGATAGATAAAGCAAATCAAAATCAAATAAACCAACAAACCTGGATCGTCTGCTGAAAGCAACCGTCTGAGCAAATCAGGATAATCTATGCCATTGTATCGAACTGGCGGGGTTGCCGAGCCTTTTTGACAACAGGCCGAGTAGCTGACTTTGACCTTTCGAGAATCGCCTTGGGTTCTTTTGAGTTTCCAGTGGAGGGCACCGCAAGATTGACACGGGTCATTCATTTCGCCAATGTTGAAAGGGATCTCGCTGCCGAATCTCCGAACAATCTCGGCTTCGGTGTTACTGGCTGGGTTGGTTGCAACAACTCGATCGATGCTAGGCAAGACCATTTTGATACTGTCAACATACAGAAGATACAGAAGAAGAGAAGGGATTGGTTAGTTTTCAAATCATTAATTATTATTAATTATTATGTTATGAGGAACAGAACTGACCTGATTTTTTAAACTAAAAAAATTGAGTTCAGAGCTAAGCGGCTGGATGAATTGATCAATCAATCGATTGATGGTTGAGTAGAGCTCGGGAAGTAACAATAGAAATCTGAGGTGATGTCAGTTACGTATATTGGAAGAAATCATGTTGACGACCCACCTTAGGAAAAACTCTGAAATCTGGTTTGTGCAACAAATGGTAGCAAGGAAAATGATGTTGATTGGATTAAAGACGAAATCGGTGCGATTGATTGAGATCGAGATCGTTGAAATGAAAATCTGCAGAAACATGAGGTCGTTGAGAATTGAGAATGGTACACGGAAATCATCAAATGATCATAAAGAATCATAAAGAATAAAGAATATATATAAAGAATAAAGAAATATGATAATGATGACGCACCTTAGGATATAGCTATTGCTATTTTTGAATTTTTGAAGTGATGGCTAATGGCCAAGATTGAGCGGTTCGAGACTTATATTTTTTTTTTTTATTTTTTTTTTCTGAATTTTTTAGAGCTAAAGAAACTAAACCTTATGTTGGGTAGTTGAAGGATTTGACGCGAGAAAAGTCAGTCAAGTATCAAGTATCATCAAGTCAAGTATTAGATATTCAGGCTTTCTTACTGTTAGGTTGATTTTTCTGTTTTTCTATCGATCGATCTATTCTATCTGGATTCTGGATTCTGGATTCTGGACTGGATTCTAATTCTAATTCTCATGAGATTTCTGCTTGATGCTAGGTGTGTTTTAATGTTGTAATTTTGGTGGCGGTAGGTAAGTCACAGATGGGGAGAAATGGCATCACCTTTTAAAGGTTTGGGCAAAATCTTTTCGTCTCAATAGGTCAAAATCCATCTTGTGGAAATCAAATCCGAGATCCGAGCGATGGTGGTTGGAAGTCAGATGAATGAATATTGGGCTGGAGAATATTCGATGAATTTCTTTCAGTACTATTGCTTAGTTACAAAAAAAAGGAAGCGATGTTCTGTTTCATATATTATCTGCAAATCTGCAAATTTCTGTAATAAAGATATTGAAAATGATGATGAATCACGTGCTGTTTTCAAGGCATTGCTAATGTGTCGATCTGAACTATTTTTATTTTTAAAAACTCTTCATGATGGACTTTTCGATGTCGGCAGTCTTTGTTGGTTGACTTACAAACCTTTCATGCGCTTCTTTGCGTCGGCGATCATCCCCTTTGAAGTTTGCCTCTTTTGAAAAGTATTCACAAATTGAGGTTCAGGGGCAGCTTCAGTAACTTCGCCATCTTCATACTCGGGTATGACCGGAAGAGTCCCACTGCCCGAAGGTCCAGCACCGGCAGGAGATTGGTAGTTGCTGACGTTAGCCGCATCGGCAAGGCTACCATTGTTGGCGGGTTGTTCAGTTGGAGTCGGATTGTTTTGTTCGGTGCCAAGCTGTATCCTGATTAATTAGTTGCAATCAGGGAATCATTATCATTAGATTATTAGATTATCTTGAACGATAAGACAACCGTCATGAATGGAGATTGACTGGTGATTACTTACAATCCGGGTCTACGGTGGGTGTTTCCTGAGCGAGCACCGCGTTGAGGCACCACCACTGTCGCTGCTTGATCGCCAGAAGTTGGAGCGACTGCAGTCACCTGAATGGTTTTGTGAGATAAGTCAGCAAGAATTTTTGAAAATACAGCGTGGATAGCAAAGGATTAGCTGATTAGCTGATTAGGATTAGGATGATGATGAACGATTTACTTTAACTTCCCACATCTTATCTTTGGGAATATAGCCACTGATATAACCGGAGATGGCGGTTTCGCGACCAAGGCGAAATAATCCAAAAGTCTTACCGAGTATTTTGTTGCCAGGTACAATGTACAGAATTTCGAATTCGACTTTGGAGCGAGACTGTTATTATCAACAGATGATATCCAAATTGAAACATTGAAACAATGAGGTAAGCGAAAGGTATACAAAACGTCTATTTGTGAATGGTTTCTGAAAAAATGGGTACTCACCATGTTATCGTAATCAGTGTGACGAAGTACAACATGGAGGTTGGTTTGAGCAACGTTGCCAACCCCGAAGCCAGGTACTTCTTCGCGTTTGACAACTATACCGAACCCTTCGATCACCACCTTGTTGGCTAACGCGGACATGTAAGTGGAGCTATCACCAATGTTGAGGGTGACATCTTGCTCGCAGAAGAGAATTGGTGGCGCATCTTCGTTGCGAGCAACCAATCTACCGTGAAGGACATAAACCTTGTCCGCTTGGAGTGCAGTTGGAGCCGAGCCATAGCAGTTTGCCTTGATCATGATGTTGATTTCTTCGCCACGGGTAGGGTCCGTAAAGCCGATGGTAGTGTCGTATTGGAATTGACCATAGGTCGTATCCCCACCTCCAATTTGACCAAGCTGTGGGAGATAGAGAGAATGAAGATAATTATGATCAGTCTTTGAACCGAGTTACATGAAATAAATTAGACCTGTTGACATACACTGGCGATTATATCAAAAGGTCCGTGGAGTGTTGCTGGGTGACATATACGTCGGAACGCCACGCTGTTATTGCTTTTGGTCTGCATCTATCTATGTGATCTAGGCTACCTGTGCTTGAATGGTGAATTGCAAAATGTTAATGTGACTTGTTCTGTTTGACAATGGTGTGTGCTGATTAAAAAACTGAATCGAGGACTTACTTTTATGTGCCAGGACCAAGACCGCAATTGGTAGGATACCAAGGATAAGACTGAAATCCCTGCATGATTCGATGGAGTCAATTGGAAAGTTCCAATACATACGATATCGATTAGCTGGAACTTCAATGTCGTGTATGTCGTGTAAATGAGTCAGGCCTGACAATCTGCGACCCTAAGCTCTCGGCCGTGTAAGTAATGGACGAACTAAACCTGATAGAGAAATTGAATGAAGATGGATGTCAGCCATGAATGATGAATGAAGTGGGTGATGGGATTGCTACTTTCGGATTGATAAATTGATAAAGAGAATAATAAGGGGTCCAAGCGCCAAATGAGCCAGTGGAGGAGACACGTACCTGTAGGGGATAAGGGAGGAATGTGTCAATCCATGAAAATTTAAATTTAAATGAAGAACTTATCTGCTCACCTGAGAATTACGCGGCAAAGATAACTAATCGAGGAAGCTGCGATGTGGTATGTGAAGATGTAAAGAGACGAAAAGGCAATCGACAAACTGTGCCGGGTAAGTGGCACGGGATGTCTCATAGGTCCCCACGCGATATAATCCTTAAATCCTTATGAATCGGCTTGGATAAGCTTGCGATTGCCGAGTTGCCGAGTTGCCAAGCCGACGATCTTCGAATCCAAGGTTTGAGCATGCATGAATGATCTGTGAGTAAAGAACGGACACGGCTGATGTCCTCAATCCCTATAAAGGTCATGCATCATGCATGGCATGGGCTCATGGACTCATGAACAATGTTGGGCCTGAGCTGAGGCCCGCCCACTTGGCCGGATAGCCTCAGGGCCCAGGGAGAACTGCTGCCCGATTTTTGGAGGGAAACTGACACTTCAGGGTTTGTAATCAAGTAGTTGATAGGATAAGATGACTAAAGATGGAAAGTAAAAGACACGATTAGACAGCGAGACGACCAACGAATATGGGGTCGGGAAAAATTTGCGATGAATTAGGTTGAATGATTTCCAATGAATGATTATAGACAACACAAGAATGAAGAAGAAAAAAAGGGTAGCATGTTGAGAAAACAACAACTGAAGATTGCACGACGAATCATCAGCTGCTCAGATCAGAGAGACTTGAGCTTCGATCTTGTTGGAAGGGATCTTCGTCCTCATCATCCTGGTCTTCGCCATCTTCCGAGCTCTCCTCCTCCTCTTCCTCTTCATCATCATCATCATCGACATCTTCTTTGAAGAAATCTTCCTCCTCTGCCGCCTGTCCTTCCTCATCGTCACCTTCGAGTCCACCCTCGCCCTCCGACCGCTTCTCTTCCGTCGGCTGGTCGTCGATCTCCATCCGATTGCTCGTTGAGGCGCCGGCTCGAGCTTTCGGTCCCCGAGAGCCGCTAGGATCGGGCTGCTGACACGATCATGTATGTAGAAAAGGAAGGTAGTCAGTAAGGCGTGGACCACAATAGCAGGTCACTTGAGAAGAGTAAATCAGACAAACATTCCGGCCCCCACGGCCGCTAGGTTCGGTAAACGCAACTCGTTTACCCACCGCTTTGGCCCTCACCCTTTGCCGTTCACGGCGGAGCTTCAGCAGTGGATTGGGATGACGCGGCTTCGAATTGGCCGGTTTCCGGCGCCGGGAAGAGGGGGATTGGGCGTCGGTCGACTCGGGATCTGGATCAACCGACTCTGGATCCACTTGAGAGTCCTTGTTCTGTTGACGAGATTCTTTAGATTTTTTACTATGAGCGGAGCCAGACTTCTTCAACAGATCAACAGCGTCTTGACTGATATCAATGTCCAACAAATCGACACATTCGACATCTTTGACGACTCGTTGTTCGTCTAATAAGGCGTGAAATTTCCGGCGAAGGATCGACCGGATCTGTTCGATCGCATTCGATGTGAACCAGCCTGTTCGTACATCACATTTCGGTAAGACTCCCTTGGTCGAGTTGATTAATGAGACCAATAATGGGTCGGTTATGTCGCATAGCTGATAAGTTCCCACACTTTGATGTAATTCTAATCCGTCGAAAATGTGGTCACGTCTTGAAGAATCATGGTTTTTATCGTTGCGCCGACCCAGTTAACGTTAGTAGTAATCAGTTAGCAAGCATATATATGAATATCTTTGGGCAGTAAATAAAGACGAACAGAGCATCCGAAGTTGCATTCTCCGCAGTGTCCGATCTGGTAATGGGCTTCTTCATCAACTTGAGAGTAAGCTTATCCTTTGCTTCTTTACGATCAACATTCCTCAAAGACATTCGCTGGAAGCTTTTTTTTGATATTTAAAAAAAGAAGAATGCAAGAAAAAGGCCTAGAGGTAAGTTATTGATTTGCCCGATTGAAGAAACAGCTACCATAGAGTACTCAACAATCTAGCCTCAGGAATCAGTCGCGGATCATATCCAAACCTGATCAAAAGCTCTCGAAATGGTCCGTCAGAAAACAAATAACAATAATGGGCGAGGATGACCTTATTCCTGAGAAGTCAAACAAATGGTCAGAATTTCAAGCATATTTTGAGACACCAAGCAGTGTATTAATCTCGGGGGGGGGGACTTACTGACGAATATAACGTAAATCAACGGGTGTAAGATGATGTTGAAAAGCCATCCGAGACCATATCGGTCGTTGTTCAAACAACTGTTGAAATTTGGCAATGATCAGAAAAGAAATAGAACAGATCATCAAATCAATTAAGGGACAATCTGTCCGAAAAGGAAAGGAGATCAAAAATCGAGTTTAACTTACCGACGCAAGTTTCTGAAACAGAGCTTGGTTCTCTGGTTTCTTTTGTTCCAGGTCCCTTGCTAAGGCACTTTGCGGGACCTAAACATGAAAGAACTATGGTCAGACTAGTGTAAAAAGAATGAATCAGGAGAAAGAAAATCTAGACGGACATCAGGTTGGTCATAGGTGATCGTCTGTGGACCCATAGGCACATATCTCGTCCGATTAATCAACCGCTGTGAGCCGTCTGAAGTCTGCGTGACCACTGTAGGAATGTTCTGTCGATAGCTGATATAAAACACATAGGTCAGCACCAGTTTTACCGAAAATGCGAAAAAAAAGAAGAAGAAAAAAACTCAACTGATACAGCTGAGGGACGAGGTATCGGCTGAATAACGGAGGCGGGAATAATCCGATTTTGGAGCTCGAATAATCCTCAGTTTCGGCCTCGAATCCAAACTTCAGAATCCCCTCGACTATCCATCCAATGATGCGAAAAATATTGGGTTAAGAAACCAAGTTACGGGATTAGTCGGATGAAGGGACTGACAATTCAAAGACCTCATGTCCCGAGCCAAGACGTTGATGGGATGTTTAAGCTCAGGCGTGTACTGGTAATCTGCCAAAGCTGAGAGAGGATTCCTATTCAGCATATCCCGAAGAGAGGGGGAAAAGAAATAAAACAAAATACCTCGGAACCTGACTGTTGTAGGAATCACCCCGACCGGTTCGATCTTGTAGAGACGGGTGATGGGCTGGATAGCATCACCGATGGGAGTAGGACTGGTATCGTTCGTTCCGGCAGGATGTTTTTTGAGCTTCCGGGTACGTTTGATGACTTTGATGAGGATGTTGGAAGTTTGGACCCATTCGCCGGGGACGGGCCGGACGAAGTCATTGGCCGAGCACTTGATGAGGGTGAGTTCGACGGGCCGATTAGGATCCCTTCCGGCGAGCTGATCGGACAACTGACTCGGCCCACCCAGCCGGGCGATCAAGCCATCGTACAATGATGATCCCGGCCCGGTTCGTCCCCGTTGGCCGTCGCCGCCGTTCTGTTCGGCCTTCAATCGGACCGGACACTCTATCGCCACCAGCTCCGGACCACTCAGATCCTGGCTCGTCCTCTCTGCAGCCATCAGACGTAATTCTCGTGTTCAGTCGTCCGGGAGCTCTGGGGAATATGTATAAGTAGTACGAGAAGAGGATTCGAACACGGTGTCGCTTCGATAGAACCTGAACAGCGGCCTGGACTAGAATTATCCGCAGCCTGCTCGGATTTTATCATTCGGGGAAGAAAAGTAGAAGATGGGTCATCCATCTCCATAGGTACAGGTTTAATACGCACAACTAGTGGGCAAGCTTTAGACAGCGATCCCTCAAAGTTAATTAAAACAGTAATTAAACAAAGTTAATCAAAACAGTCAAACAGCTCAGCTAGGACAGAGAAGCAAATCATACTAAAATCAAAATTTGATCAAATGAACAAGATGTATCAAGCTCCTTAGCAGCCCCCCCTGATTGTGTGGACAGAAAACAACCTGCTATAACTTACAATACTCATTCTGTAACCTGAACCCTCCCCAAATCTAGTTGAACTCATCATGGAACAACATCACAAGTTCATCAGACTTTTTACTTCTCACTGGTGACTTTTGCATCTGTTTTCTCCCAGGTAGTTTGTTTCTTAATTTTGGCATACATGTTTTTGTAATCTCTATTTCTGCTGTTTACACTTGCAACTATTGTGTTAACCTGGAAAAATGAGTTACAGCAAGCAAATAAAGGCTTCTCAGAACCCTCATGGATTTTCATTCATCAAGAAATATCCAACATCTTGTCATAAAAATTCACCACAAAATAGCTGGATTGATGTCAGTGTTGAACTAAAATTTTCTTTTGTCTATGTAAGTTTCTTAATTGCTTCAACTAAGAAAACAAGTGTCAATCTGAAACCTCATCCCACAGGTTTCACATACAAATCACGGAAAAACTCAATTAGACAACTACTTCATCACACATCACCCCACTCCCCCTCCTAGCTCAGCAGAGACTTTGACTTTTATTTCCTTACTGTCTGCTGAGCTAGGTAAGACTACCATTTCTCTTTTCTTTCTCTTTAATCTTTCTCTTTTCCATCATTTGTCTTGTACTTAACTAACAGAGAGACTTCAACTATTATTTCCTTGCTGTCTGCTGAGCTAGAATAAAAATACATCACCTTGGTTCTTGAAAGTCTCCCTCAGCGCCCCACCTTCAGGTTCAATTCCATAAGAATTCAGTTAAGGGATTTATCCCTTACAGTCAATCCCAAAAAAATATGGCATTTTATCTTGCAAATAGATATGCTTCAAACATTCTTGTCATAGAAGGCCAGCATTCAGGCAACATTCCAGATCTCCAACGTTAGGGTGATGATAATTTCTAGTACTAAAACTATGGATAGACTAACATAAAGCATGCATGGAAATCACATGAGGGAAAAATACATGAGGTGGAAAGAAGGGTAATTGAATGTACAACATGTAGGTACAACAGCAAAGCACCATGGCTGGATAAATCATGGCTATGGGCAATGTATGTCTTAAACAGTAATGAGTGATGAAAAATAATGTAACCTAGAGATAAATTTTCTGTGTATACAGGTGCTCTTGGAAACTCCAAAGACATCAACTCTCAAAAATCTCCCAACTAGCACTCCTACTGTGCTGGTAAAGACGGGCAATGCCTGCCCTCCCTTAAACAGGATGGCTTAGATCCCTTGAAGGCATGGACACACCAAAGGATCCCCAAACAAATATGACAGAAACACAAATGCAATGATGCTGCTCATGCTTCAGTCCCAGGAAAAGGCAGCCACTTGGACAACCAAGGAGCGTAAAGGTGTTGAGCAAACCCGGCTGGACACCCGCTGGGAAGACCTGGAGGCTTGTTTCCCATTCAAAGATGATTCAATGCAAGAAAAATTCAGGCAACTGTGTGTAGTTGACATGTGATATTACAAAGGCACTGCAGTGATTGGAGGGAGGATTTCCGCAAGGTGGAGGCACAGGAGGCTGATAAAGAGCAGGTCCATAATGAGACCTTGCCTCAAGCTAAACCAGAACACACAGCCACCTTGGCATGGATTGAATTGGAACAAGAGATTGCTGAAGTGAAAGAGAGACAGCGGGAGGCCAATTGGAAGTTGGGGAGTGAGGAGGAAGCCATCAGGAGGGCCAATGTGGACAAAAGGTACAAAGGAAATGAAGGACACCTAGAAAAGGCACACCAAACTCACAAATCAGAATTTTTGGCCCTCATGAGCAAGATGGCTTCAAAATGAGCAATCTGACTCATACGGGACTTCCCCATCAGGCAGGCCTGCCCTGGCATATGTCAAACCCTGGGTGCCCATGATAAGTTTGATTTTCCCTCTGCTCTTGATATGCATGTCACTCTGCTGTTGATTTTTTCATGTAAATAGACTGTGCCTGTTACCCAAAGAGTCATGTTTGCCTTACCTCTGGTCTTGGTTCTTTCAAAAGAGCCTTGGAAAAAAATATCCTTTGCGGACAAAAATACATAAGATCGCTTGCATTGCACAGCTTCCAGTTCCATTTTTCCTACTCATAAGGAGAAAACCGCAAGGGCATTGATGGACTGGTGGGATCCTTTTACAACCGGTGCTTGCCCTCATGCCGCCTGCCTGTTTGTATATGCAACAGGCAGAATGCCTGTAAATGCCTGTATATACAGACCTAACTGTATATAAAGCCTCCCACAAAACATATTTGCTACTGCTTGATCATCACCCAAGCCAATATCTGACATCCAAAGAGCTCCAACAACAAGCCCCAATGTCAACCCCTCCTGTTTCATCCTCCTCAGTCAATCAGATGACCCATCTAAAGCCCACATCCCGCATTACTTGTCTGACAAGGTCTTTTGCAGTTACATCTCCATCCTGGTGTCAGCTTGCTAATATGGCAGGAACAAACTGTAATAGCAAATAAATAAGATAAATTACATAAAAATCTAGGTATAAAGTAAAAATATTACATACGTAAAAGAGACATTATTACTTATGTAAATAAGATAAAAAACACACGGAATAACTCAATAAGTTAAAAAGTATAAACAAAACCCTAATTTACATTGCAGATTATCAATTCACATGCAATTTAACCTAGGGTACCTCAGTCAAAATTCAAATGTACCCCTATTTCTAACTCCTTCACCTTGCAAATTACCCATTGACAATTAACAAGTACCCTTAGATCACAAGCACTGTGGCAATTATGCATTACACATAACAAAATGCATATACTCCAATTTCAGCCACAAAATCAGAGTGTTTTGGATAGTTTAGAGTTTAGAGGAGTGTGGCTTGAACTGCCTCCAAGCCCGTGTGCCGCATAGTCATGCTGCACACTATTGATAGGCGCTGTGGTATGTCCATACCTTTCCATGTATCCTCATTTTTCACATCATTTCTACAAATATTCTTCCCAGTATTATTTCATATTCAGATTTTACACATCATTTCACCCCTAGTCACCTCTTACAGCTTTTCAGTAGCTCTTATAGTTCTCTAGTTATCATCTCTTCAGTATATTCATAGTTACAGAACAGTACATTACTTTGTACATACAGTACATATACATTACACATTATCTAGTTACAGTATCTATGTAGCATCACTCTTTCATCATAGTACATCATCTTAACTACACTACATCATATACATATTTCTCTTCACACAGCTTTGACTTTCCATATCTGATTAGCACTTGTATACACAGAACATCTATCTCTAGGTTACTTTATTTCCCATCACTCATTAATGCTTTAAGATTTACATTACCCATAGCCAGGATTTCCCCAGCCATGGTGCTTTGCTGGTGTATGTACATGTTGTACACATATATACTCTTCCTTCCTCCTCATGTATTTTTCCCGGAGGTGATTTTCATGCATGCTTTATTTTAGTCTATCCATAGTTTTAGTACTAGAAATTATCATCACCCTTATATCTTTACCAGATATCATTCACCCTTATATCTTTACCAGATATCATTGCCAGTTATATTTGCCAGCTATACTTTGCCAGTCATAAACCCCCTTGCCAGTTATAAATCCTCATTTGCCAGATTATCATCCTTTGCCAGTGCCATTCCTCATTGCCAGTGTTACACCCTTGCCAGTATTATCCCATCACACCTCATTGCTTCTCCTCCTCACACCTCAGTAGGTACTACTTACACAAGCTCATCAGTAATAGTAGTCTAATATAAAGCAGAAATCAGCCACACCTTTATTCTTCTTTTTCTTAGTGTTACACTCTTCCCATCAGCATTGTACAGGAGGGCAGCCTCATCAGCACCTGTAGTATCAACTTACATTAGTACTAGTGTAGTTGTCTATATCCCCTCCAAGCTCTATCTCCCTGGTTTAGTAGTTCCACAGCGCTCCTGGCTACAGTTGAGCCAAGTAAATAAGCCCCCACACTTTCTAGATATGCATAATTGCCCTGGTTACATGCATAACCCCTGCCTGGGTTACCAGTATCCAAGGAATGGGCCACAAAGCCCCAGAAATCCACATTGCATGCATCAACAAAGCCACCACACGTGTAATAAAAATATAAACACACTAGAATATCCATTAAAATACTACATTAACTCAGAATATTCCATATTTCAAGCGTTAACACATGTATCAAGCCCCAGAAACCAGCTCTGGCATATTCTGTGGCCCATTTCCAAGGAAATAGCTCCACGTAACAAACTAGCCCCTACCCACAGGCTTGCAGGGGATATTCTTAGTTCAAATAATTTTTAATGACCCCTTTGAGATTCTAGAATATTATCCGCAAGGTTTCAGCCCTTGTTGTGTCACTAGGTGGGCCAAAATGGGCCCAAAAGCACTCCCAAGTCCTACTAAGCTCCCCTGTGCAACCCCTGAGACCTGCTACAGGTATTTAAAGGGCCTTCTGACCGCCCAAATAATGATCCCCCAGCTTTACAATACCATATAGAAACATACTTACCATTTACAAGTCCCCTACACTTGTAATTAGCCTACTTATCACTATTCTTGCTGTTATTAAGCCTCAAAATTCCTCAAGCAACTCCCAAGTTATCAACCAGCACCCAAAATCAACCTTTCTGAGCGCCCCCAAATTTCCATTTTCTACTCTGAAGATCCTGAAGACCTTACAGGATTATTACTAGTGAGTAATGATCCTTTTCTTGAGATTTTACCCTCAAATTCTTCCTGGGTTTAAACCACGCCTGCCACAGGCCCCAGTGTACCAGTTAACTAAATCCTCTGAATTTTGCATGATACCTTAGAGGGATTAAACCACCCCTGATTTATCAGGCCACTCTGGTTTTTATTCTATTGAATTTAGGGTCTTAGCTAATTGACTCCCAAATATTGGAGGATCGACTCCCAAAAGTAGGGGACATCCTGAGGACAGCCTGCGGACCTTCCTGGGACTTCCAAATCCCCTAATTTTTTTCCCCCGAATGTTTGGGAGTCGATCCTCCAAAACCGTCGGTTTTTTTGGGAGTCGACTATACAATAAAAATATTTAAAAAAATAAAAATATATCAGGGGTTTGGGAGTCAAACCTCCAAACCCCCCCGGTTGTTTGGGATTTGGAGACCCAAATCCAACTCCAGTGGGCAAGAAACAGGAATCATTCCCTGGCTGTTCCTCACTTCTGATTCTATGTTTCAGGTTTGGTAGGCCCAGAAGATCAAGATTAGGGGGTATCAAATATAGAAAATCCACCATTAGAAACCAGTCACTTTTCCCAAAAAAAAAAATTTGCATCAATGGGCCCCAAAAGGGGTCAAATGAGTAACCAAAATGTTTTAAAAAGCGTGGATTTTTTCAAACCAGTCAATTAAATAATGGTGGATTTGGTTATATTTGATACCCCCTATTATAGACAGATTTAAATCCTAGCTTGATTCAAGCCGTTCTTTTGCAAGCGAGCGAGTTGTAGCTGAGTTAAGAAAGTGTACATGGACTGGATCCAAGCAAGTTTGACGCCAGCACGAGCGGCAATTCGGATTGGAAATCCCAGAATGGCCTTGATCTTGAGCGGCCTCCCGAGTTCCCAGTCAACCAACATTGAGGGTTTGATTGTTGACTGTTTGCCTGCTCTCTCGGTTGACTCTAAGATCCGCTGGATGCTTGCAAATTTTGCTGGGAATCTCTTGATCTTGAAGATCTTTGTCGCCGCCTTGAATATCTCTTCCATGCATCCCTTGAGATGTGAGCGCAGCTGCGGGCTCTTCACCATCTCTGGTTGAGGATCCATTTGAGGATGGGGATGTTCCAGGTAAGATGAGAAATTCAGATAGGGGCCTATACTGATCCAAGTCCAGTGATTCTGCCTGACCAAGCTGGGTTTGAGTTGTTCTGCATTGACAATGGTGACAACGCTGAGGATGGGTACCTTGGGATGTCTCTGACAATGATGATCCTTGAAGCCTATCCCTTTCTGAATCAGCTCTAAAGTTGGTGGAGGCCGGTCATCATGGTCGGCTACTGCAAGGAGGGGCGAGAGTAATGCTGAGCTGTCCACTCGGTCTGGAAAGACTTTTGTACAGAGGATCACGTAGTCCCACCACCTCCTGTTTCCTGATGCTTCGAGTTCGGCAGCTTCATCGATTGACTTGAATACTTGCTCAGGTCAGATCCTGTACCTTTCAAACGTTCTACTTTTGATCTTCATGCCATTTGCCTTGACCTCTTTGTAGTTTGAACGACAGATAAATGAGACCTTGACACCTTGATCCGGCTGATGTAATTGAGATCCATATGATGCTCCAACTATATATTTGTGTGGGTCAATCAATCAATTAGCCGTCGCCCAGATTGTTCTGTTCCATGAACTGGGTCTCCAACTCCCAAACAGCCGCGGGGGTTTGGAGGTTTGACTCCCAAACCCCCAATATATTTTCATTTTTTTAAATATTTTTATTGTATAGTCGACTCCCAAAAAAAACGACGGTTTTTGAGGATTGACTCCCAAACATTCGGGGGAAAAAAATTAGGGGATTCGGACGTCCCAGGACAGTCCGCAAACGGTCCTCAGGACGTCCCCAACGTTTGGGAGTTGATCCTCCAATATTTGGGAGTCAATTAGCTAAGACCCTAAATTTATTATTCTATTAAATTCATTTAATAGAATTAACCATTAATTCTTTGAATTTTCTCCACAAATTCCACGTAATTCTTTTGAATTATCTTCACCAGTTTTTATCCCAGAATTTTTACCATAAAAACTCTTGTTTTTGCACCTTTTGTAGCTAGAGACACTTGTCTTGGCATCACATAGGCTGACATGTACATTGATATGTGGGCACACACACCAATTTTCTTTGGCGCGCAGGCCTGCATGCCAATATTCAGAAGCTAAATGCATATACATATGTGTTTAGCTCATGGGCTATCCCTTGGGACCCAGGCCTGGGTCCTTTGGGATTATGGATGATAACGGGACACCCGAACCCAACCAGGTTTGGGCCAAGCTTTTGATGGGATTTTTTACTTAGGCCCGGCCCAAGATGACCCAAATAAAGGTCAGGTCTACTTGGTCTGCCCGTTGGGCACCCATTGGGCTGGTGCAGTGGGGAGCCTTGTTGGGGGGTCCTGGAGCTTGGTCAGGTCCCACTTGGGACAAGTTAGCATTGGATCAATAGTGATACAGTATACTCCTTATCCCAAAGTTTGAACCAACCCAAGTTCCAACTGAGACCCCGCCGCCGTTGTGGAACTTCTGAACAACCAGAAACAGAGCTTAGAGGGGAAATAGACAACTAAACTACTAGTAATGCAAGTTGAGGCTATGAGTGCTGATGAGGCTGCCCTCTGAGACTAATGCTGAGGAGAGAGGGTTACACTAAGAAAATAAGAAAGAGGTGTGGCTAATTTCTAACTGATTCTTAGGCTACTATAACTAATGAGTTTGTTCCTTATCAGTCCCACAGGGGAAGAAGTGAGAATATGAGAGTTGTAAATAAAGCAGAGCTCTAAGGACACTGTGTGTAAAGGTATTTATAGGGGCAAAACACCAATCAGGCAAGGTCACTAATATGAGTTCTGAAAGTAAAAGTAGATTTTATTTGAGGGGCACAATAATATCTGTAGGGTAGAAAGTGCATAGGAAGTGTACAAATGATAAGAAGACTGTATATATACTCTAAGGTACAAATGAGCACAGGTTACAGTTATTCTGGCTATGGGAGAAAAATGTACATATGTAGCACAAGAGATGTGAAAAGTAAACAATCAAAAAGGAGGATGAGTAAAGAAAAACAATCTCAAAAGATAAAGACTGTGAATGAGTGTACTACTGTTATCCTGAAGGCATATGAGAAAGTATAATTGTAAGGAGTGTGTCTGAGAAAATATATGTAGTATGTGATGTGAAAAGAAATACTTGTAAAGGAGTGTGGCTAATGTAATGAGAAAAGATATATGTAAAAGATTGCACTTGAGAAATATGTGATGTATGTACTAATCTGTAAATATGTACTGTATGTAGTTAATGTGTAATGTCAATGTAAAGAATAATATCTGTAAAAACTAAAACTGCAAATAACTAGTGAACCAATAAAAAATGAGATATGGCTTGAGTGAGTGACTATAGGTAAAAGAGGGTGTAGAATCTGAATAAGCTGTAATATTATAACAAATCCCAGTGAATGTACAGTGAAATAATAGATGATATGGGTAGGTATGGGTTAACAAACCGTGAGTGCTAGCTTGCCAGAATCTCAGAGTCTCACCAAACAAACCAGCCAATTTTCTGGAGACTGGAATTAACTTAGGCACCCTGGACAAGCCCGCAGGCAACCCACAAACAGCCCGGAAGCCCATCTAGAGGGCGGCCTGTGGGCAGCCCAATTGATAAATGGGTTCAGGTTGGGCTGCTGATTTCCTGAATGCCACCCGGCCCGACCCGCCCAACAATGTTCTGGCCCAAGACCACCCAATTATCATCCTTATATTTGCCTGATGTTTTTTTTTTTTTTTTTTTCAAAAAAAAAACGCTTGAGGCTGGGAGGAACCCCTCCCAGCCCCAAAAATCTACAGTCTCAAGTCCAAGAGGTAACCCTCTTGGGTTTGGGACGTATGTGTCTCAAGGTTGGAGGAATGCCTTTGACCCCAAGGCGGAGGTCACACCGTGTAATGCATAGTCCCCCAATGAATTTTGATTTATTCCAACCCCTATAACAAATTGAACAATGCTCAAATCTTCCATAGCCCATCTCTCTTTGATTCGATCCTTTATGTGTTTAATATCATCACTGGTGATAATCATATTGTCTATGTGTAAATAAATTATACTTCTTTTTCCTTGAGCATTCCTGAAAAATACACATGAATCAGTGTTAGTTCTGATGAAACCAACATTCTTGAGATGTTTTTCAGCTTTGATATGCCATAAACAAGCAGATTAGGGGGCATAATAAATAGACTTGTGAAGTTTCCAAACCTTCCCCTTGCCTCCAGTTTCAAAACCTTTGGGTTGTTCTGTACAGAAAGCCCTGTGAGCCAGACATAAGCATGGTGACAATTTGAGAACATGTTTCCTGCCCTCAAGTGCTGTCAGCCCGCGTCTCAAAATTAAGGGGTTTCAAATTAGTAGAATTTCCTGGTTCCCAGGAGGCTTTACAGGTACTTTTTCCAGGAAAAAACTCTCCACAAATGACAAAAGTCCTGGAACCTGGATCTTGAAGCCATCCAAAAATCAATATCTGGGTGGCCATGCGGCATAGCCCTACACTGGATGATCTCTGGGGTCAAGCAAACATCTATTTATCACCGATTGTCTGTGTGGGGCGCATTGTCGATTGATTTGACTGTACCACTGTGTAGATTAATTGCTTGGACCTGTCCGTAAACAGCTCGGACAGGCTGTTCCGAGGACTTGTCGGACCAGGTCCGAGCAGTCAATGTACGCAGTGTACGGATTTGAGGGTGAAGAAATACTCACTCAAACCGAGACACCGGAGCAACGATGATGAATGCAAGTTTTGCTCACATTTGGTGATCTCATACCTACCGTCACGGAATCAGTGAAGTAAACTGCGACAAATCGGAACAACGGGGGGCTAGCAACTCAAGCAAAGCAACAAGCGTGCAGTTTTGGGGGTTTTGAGGAACTATAATGGAGTGGTGAGTGCACATAGATGACAGAACAACTGCTTGGAATGGAAGGAAACCTCAAAGACTGAAAATGTGGTACCGGACTGGATGGCATGTGTTGCTAATACTTATTGAGATCACAAAACCCAGTCGGCATGAAGACGTTGATTTTTATTGTTAGATTTGAAGCTGAGAATCCCAAGCTTAATAAAATCTGTGATGTTCATCTTGAAAAAAGAATTATGGTTTGAAACGTCGTTTGACTGGAAGGGGTCTTTTCCATATGTACAAGTTGAAAACACCCATTTGACAGTAAGGAGTATTATCTTGTGATTTTCCTCTGCCATTGGTCTTCTCTCCTCAAGATCGCCAAGATGATCCAGATCCAACATGCTTTGGTCTGATTTTATCTATTGCCCCTCTCAAAGCAATCATCTTCTCATCATTTTCTGTTTCGCACCATGATTTGTGTCGATCATCTTGAGTCTTGATGACACTTTCGTAATACTGTTGGGCTGGCAGATGTTCAAGGTGACCTTCAATCAAATCAAGTTCTTCTAATGTCGGTATCGGTTTTTGTAGGCGTCCATCATTCCGTAGAGGAAAACCTTCGTGCAAGTACCTCGATATTTGTTCTAATTCTACGACAGCTTTGGCTCTGGCAGAAACTAATTTGATTCTATTTCTTAAAGGATCTTTGAAAATTGCACGTAGTGTTGATATAGTCGGATTTGATAATTCAGTCTGAAGATAGGTTTTGTCAATAAATTCTAGAGTTTGAGCACTAAGTCTCATGCCTTCACTGTTTCCCCATTCTTTATCAAAAATTAGATCGTCCAAGTGAACATCAATCATCTTCTGAATGTGCTGTTGGTTTGCTTGTCCAAGTGAGCGGCCATCTTCTAAAGCTGAGAGGAGTGAATTGTGTTCGAAAAGATGCTTGAGAGATTTGACCAGGTGCTTCTCGACCAGACCATCATGGCGACCGCTGATGTAATCCAAGGCATCCGATTTGAGGATTTCATGTAAAAACTTCCTCTTTCCTGGAGGATCGATAACTATGATGAATAATGATGCCGAGTAATGCGAGAAAAAAAATCAGATTACCGAGTGACACACAAAGGATGAGTCGTAACGATTTCGAACATACCATTTAGCATATTCACAAAAGGTGAGGAATACCAGAGGTCCAATAGAATGTCACCGTTTCTGTACAGGGGGTTCTTGTAGTCTTTTGTGGAATGAGTGAAGTGCAAGAACATGGAACGAGCAGCAGTAGTTACGTAATGCGTTTGTTTCACATAATTTTCCAAGTCTTTTAATTCTAACAGGTTAAATTTGTAGGCTTGATCAACCGTTTGGATGAAAATTCTGTGAAGGGCCCAGAAGTGTTGGTCTTCGTTGGGACGCAGGTTGTGGGAGTTGCTGAGGATAGACAGGTCCGAAAAGGCTTTTTGGAGACGATCTTTGGGAAATATGACCTGGATAGTTTCTGGTTCAAGTGTCAAGTCTTTTGATTTCTGGCCGGCTGATATTTTTCTTCGGAAGGAAAACATCAATGTTTCAGTATAGATGGCAATTTGACTTGCGTCAAGCGATCCGTTTGGAGAAAAAGAAAAACAGAGGCGTACTTCATCAGTGCGAGAATTTTGTCACCAAAAATGCTAGGTTTTGGCACATCATTCGTGGCCGCCCAACGCTTCAACCAACCGTCGAGGTACTTTAGCAAACTTTTTTGGACAGCTTGCAAATCTTGAACAACTTCCGTAAGTCGGGCCTTCGTAATTTTGTGACCCTCCTTTGTGGATGAGTGATCTTTGCCTCCACGGAATTTTCGTTTTGCAATGTCTTTGCCAAGCTTATAAAGATCTTCAAACATTGTTTCAAAGTCTTCCGCCAGATAGTTTATATGGACGGCTGACCAGTAGGGGTTGATTGAACCCCTTACATCGTTCAAGTCTATGGTGTGGAGAGAGAAATTTTCAGTCGGACGGAAGTTTGTTATGTACATGGATCTGAACTGATAGCTCACAGTCTGTTGACAACCCAGGACTCGGCTTTGTGAGTTCTCTTATAGACTTAAAATATTGCTCAGTATCGCCTGGGGAGACTTTAGGCTTATTCAATGCTTGATCCCCTCGGAACACCTGTCCCTTTTGAGGTTTGGCGAAATCCGCAAAAGATATCGGTACGGCTGCTGGGGCAACAATTTTTTTTTGTTGGGGGGTGGTAAGGACATCTATGGCCGAGGAAAACAAAAAGTTCCAGTGGATCTCAGAAAAACTTAGGAAAGGGACCTACGTGATTTTCCCAAGTCTTCGGTGCTTTTTTTGGCTATTAGGGGTGTATTCATGCATTGGGTGACCCGTAGACAGAAAACAGCAAGTATGATCATTTTGGCCCATTGGTAGCCTACGGGTAGTGCCATCTTTAGCCCTGAATACGGAATACGATGAGTGACAGCGAGATTGCGGAGGGGGGGGGGGGGCATCGACCAGTGCCATACGGAGAATCAGCCTCTCTTATGCCACAGATGCTCGGCAGAGACTCTGTGTCTCTGAAACGTTAAGAGAGCTCTGAAGGCCGTTTGTTTTGGGGGAACGCTTCTCAAGGATGCGTGCAAGCATATCGCATCGGCCGATGTTTCAACATACACGCCTACCTATCAACCCCTCGCTCTGTAGAAACGCACATCGATTGTCTGGTTGCAATTTGTTCGAGTCCTCCTTCGCGGGCGGGCCAGTTGACTTCTGTTGCATCACACTGCAAGTTCGGGTCCAACAAGGGTTGGGTAGAAGACGGTCAGGGTGCCCTCCTGAAACGTATAGCAGCACAATCCAGGGCGCGGGCCAAACCAAGCAGTGAGTACCCCTTCCGACTCGAGGCCCACTCGACGTGGGTTTTTGTTGGATGCCCACGTCGGAGTCCATGCCGAACTGCTGCAGTGACTGCAGACCGGCGGCCGCGGCGGCAAAATCTCCAACGTCACGTCCCAAACCTTGTCAAACCACCACTTGACACAAGTCTCCTGCTTTGGAGGGTGGCGGTGGGACAGGGTGACGAAAACTGCCGAGCGTGGAGCGCGCCTTCTCCGAGTCGGTCCGAAACATCTTCCAACGTGTGATTGTTCCTAGAAAGCGAGGGCGGCCAGTTCATGATTGGGCACAAATGAGCCGGGACACATTTCATCAGGTGTACTATATGTTGACACACCGGCCGGGAATAGCACATGTATCTCCTGCCTTGCGTCCTTCAAAGTCTTCCCACAAAACCCCCCTATTAGAGGTGGCCTTGCTCGTCTGATGTTTGGGATCATATATCACAGTGTATGTCTAAAATTGGGAATATAAGAGGAGCCCGGTGTTCAGTGCAGTTTCGCCACCTCGTGCCAGAAGGAACACTGTCAAACATCGTATTCAGATTCCAAGCCTTCGATTCAAGATGACAGTCCCCCCGGGGTACAAGAGCGTTACAAAAATTGTGCTTGCTCTTCTCTTCTTGAAGTCAATTCGATGCATGAACGGTAGAACGCTACTGGCGGGTCAAAGCGCCGAGGACGCAGGAAAAGCGCGTAGGTCCTTTTTCTGAGTTTTCCTGAACTCCCCTTGAACCTTTCGTTCCACTCAGCCATAGGTGTTCCTACCCCGAAAATTTAACCCCACCAGCAGCCACATCGGTCTATCTCGACGATGTCGTCAAGCATGAACGGGGGTTCCAAGGGGATGTATTCATGAAGAAGCCTTCAGTCTCACAAGCCGACAATCAGCAATACTTCAAGTTCATGAGTCAGACCACAAAGCCCCATCCTGGATTGTCATTACAACGTGAGCCTTCAACTTGGATCTATGCAAAAATCTTTCGTGCATCTCACATTCCCTCTTCCTTGCACAATAGATTTGGACCGCATAATGGGAAAAGCCGAGATTGAAGCGCAAGGTTCCTCGCATGGAGACTCAGTTAACCCCTACTGGCCAACCCTCCACATGAAATTCCTTGCCGAGGACATGGATAAAATTACCGAAGACCTTGATAAGCTTGCAACGGCCATTGGCAAACGAAAAGTGATTGGATACAGTGCAGATTCATATGAAGGTGGTGGTCAACAAAAAGACACGGCCAAACTAGCCGAAAGTGCTCGAGAATTGCAAGAGGCTAACGAACACTTGGAACAGTACATCGAACGTCAGTTTGGCCATTGGGCGCATGAACATGACATACGAATACTTGACACCTTCTTCGAAAAAAATCTCTCACGGAAGCGGTATGTCCACTTTTCCTCTTCATGTGGACTACTCGATGCAAGGGAATTCACATCTTCATCCTCAAATCTCAATCACTCCCTTCCACAGAAAAACTTCAGCCAGTCAGGAAATAGAATTGAAAGCCGATTCAGACACTATTAAGAAGCTGTTTTCCAGTACTTCTAGTTTGAAACAAGTTTATGAAACCTTGTCTGGCGAATTCAGATATCTCAAGCCCGACACAGATCAAGATTTCTGGGCTCTCCATAGGAGTTATATCCAAACGCTCGATCAAGCTTACAAACACAATCTGATTAAATCCAAAGACTTCAAAGAACTTGTGAAAAAACGGGGCTACGCAACTGCTGCTGCTCGTTACATGTTCTTGCATTTCACTCATTCCGAAAAGGGATACAAGAACCCCCTGTACAGAAACAGTGACATTCTTCTGGAACTCTCGTATGCATCGCCTTTTGTGAACATGTTAAATGGTATGTTTGGGATTAGAAGCACTCATCTTCCTCCGTGAAGCTCAGATATCTGACATCTTTTTCAAAACAAATCGAAATGTCTTTTTGGATTCCGGAAGTTATTAATCGCGGAGAAAAAACGAAATTTCTTCACGAAATTCTCAGATTGGATGCCATGGAGTACGCCAAGATAGTCTACGAAGGCTTAGCAGAGCGATCCTTGGCCGACTCTTTCAAGTACCTTTTTGGATCCGAAGCACTCCTCCAGGCTTTAGAAGGTACGACCTCGCAGGCCTCACAAGTCGAAACACATCTTAAGGGGATAATCAAGATCTTCAAGGATGAATCAATTTGGCAAACCGAATGGAGGGACAGTGAAGCTATGAGGCTCATGGCCCAGACCCTGAAATTTGTCGACCAAAATTTTCTTCAAGAGGAATCCCCACGCTTACGTATACCATCACTACTTGAACTGTTCAACGGTCCTCTAAGGAATAAACTAGACTTATTTTCTGCTAGAGCTCAAGCGATCGTAGAACTAGAAAAACTCTCCAAACACTTGCAGGGCAGTTTTCCTCTTCGAAGCGAAGGACACCCACCAAAACCGATATCGGCACTAGAAGAACTTGAGTTGATTGATCGTAAACTCGAATATCTACCAGCACAAGAGGCTTACCAAAGTAGGATGGCCAGCACTCTAAAAGGCGAATCCCAAACATCGTGCGAAAAGGAAATATATGGTAAAATAGATGCTTTGAGAGACCAAATAGAGAAGCTCAGAAAACAGCAATCGGGCGCATCTTGGCTTACTTCTCTTTTCAACCAGAAATTTGCAAAAACCACCTGAAGATAGTTCACATTTTTAAACGAATATTTTTCACTTGTAGATATCGAAAGAACCTCTTCCAGTTAAACTACGTGCCACACCATAATTTTTTTTTTCCAGCATCAAGATCACAGTTTTTTTTTTTCGCTTGGGCAAAACGTCATCAGTTCTAAGCGTAAAATACATCTTGCTCATGTCGACTCATTTGTATGATCCTGTCATCCCGAATGATCGATGGCAAATTTCCAGTTCAAATGCTCTTGCTATCTTATCATGTCTAGCTTTTCAAGAATTGTTCGTCGCCCTTGCTCCGGAGCCGCCCTTGCTTTAACATGTCTTGACCTCATGCGTTGTCGACCAAACAGTCAATCAGCGGGAAGTTATTGTTGGAACGCAGTGATGTCCGGATGTAGGGCTGTGCTGTATGAAGCCATAGATATTTCATGTTTGACGGATCCATTGTGAGATGCCCTATATACACTCAGACAATCGTCTTCGGCCATCTTAATTTTGGCAAACCAGCACAGCGCCGAGCTCAACAAAGCCCCCGAGCCCCTAAAGTAAAGGCTACAGTACCACACGCTTCAGCGCGTAAAGAGACGTGAACTTTGTCAAGTTGAGACCTCTGTAAGGAGCAAGACGAGGACTCAGGAGTTTGACTTCACGTACAATAGGAGGAGAGCGGTTTGAATTCAAGCAGCACGCGATATGCTGATTATTCGTTGGATGGTGGTGCTGCCATTCTGGTATACTAACCAAAGGAGGAGCTTGTTTTAATCCATAAGTGTGTCAAGACATGTGATCTTGTGGTGTGTCGTCGAAATATAATACGATCAAAAGCTCTGGTTATTATTTTCCCTTTCCTCTTTTTCTCTGATTCACCTCGTACTACAGCTAACACAGGAAAGCTTGCGGGCTCCGAAGTCAGAAATAAAAAGTAAAAAATAAAAATCTACTGACAACAGCTGGAAGGTTTAGAAGAATACAGGTACATGCATGTATGGATCACCTCCAATCAAATCGGCTATCTTTTTTGTCACTCACTTTCAGGTGATGAGAGTAGCACCATCAGAATCCTGGTGAAAAGTTCAGCCCAATAACCCTCTACCATGAGGCCCTGCTGTAGCAGAGCTTCCCCCCACAGGGGCCGGTTGGGTCCAATCGGTGCCACTGGCCTGGCTGTACGTCCGAAGAATCAGAAGCTTTGGAAGATGTACAGGACCCTGCATGAGGTCGTAATTTTTTTGGGTCGTAATTTTCAAGCTTGCGAACCCGCAAGCTTTCCTGTGTTAGCTGTACCTTGTACAAATCTTTTACCCTCTGTGAATCTGTATGCTACTCTCATAGCTTCCTGTTCTCGATACTGCATATTCAGGACTTCTTTGTGTCCTTTATCTCCTCTGTTGATCTCTTTCATGAACTGTCGATCTCTTTTCATTTACAGCTAAACCGAAAAAGCTTGCGGGCTGTCGAGTCGGAATATCCAAAAAAAAAAAAAAAAAAAAACTGCAATTGGAATGTTAGGAAGAATACAGACAAGAATACAGGCTGCCGTATACCTGCCAGCAGCACCGGTGGGACCTGACCGGCCCCCCAGGGGGATGCCTCAGCAGCAGCCATCAGCGGGTAAGGGAAGGCCGTTGGAGTGAACTTTGCATCAGGATTCCGATGGTGTTACTCTCATCACCTGAAAATGAGAGAACAAAAAGATAGCAAATTCAACCCAACATGATGCATCCATACATGAACCTGTATTCTTCCAAAACTTCCAGCTGTAGTCGGTAGATTTTTTTATTTTTTTTTATTTTCTGACTTCGGAGCCCGCAAGCTTTCTCGTTATACAGCCATTTCGAGAAAGGTTGCGGTTCGCGAGCCAGACTTTTTTTTATTTTTTTTATTTTTTTTATTTTTTTATTTTTTAGGGGCTGAATACAGCCCTGTATATGAGCTGGATTACTTCCAATTCTTCGTTTACAGAGGAAAACGAAGGATTGGAAGACATACAGCCGACATACAGGGCTGTATCAGACTCTAAAAAATAAAAAAATAAAAAAATAAAATAAAAAAATAAAAAAGTCCGACTCCCAAGCAGCAAGCTTTCTCGAAACGGCTGTAGCTGTAATGTAAATGAGTATGACATTCTTATCAACCGCCACTGGTCCAATTTTGTTTTTAATTAAGAAAATCGAAAACCAGTAAAGGTCTAACCTACATTTCAAAAGTCCTTTATTTTGAAAAATCACAGACTACATACAACAAATCGCAAAAGAAAATGGATGAGACAGAAAGATACACAAGACGGCAGCGCTCAGCTGGGGTAGCTTGGAAGGTCATGAGAAAGGATGATTGATTTTTAGATTGAAAAACAAGGAAGGCTATGGCTCAAACTCAGATCCTATCACGCGGGAATCCCATTGTTAGGCATAAGCCTCGCTTGCACCTCACGCCTGCGGGTGCTCGCGGGCTTTGTTACGCTCGGGAGAAGGGAAGCTTGAGTTGTTCTAGCAAATGCAACAGAAAGATGGGGGAAGAGGGAAAAGAGAAACTTGGGAATGTTGTCGGGACCATCAGTCTGTCAGACGTAGGTATGTGCGCTTCACGACGGAGAGGAGCCAGGAGTTTTCTCGCAGCCGGAACAGTCTTGGTTTGAAGCACACTTGTCAGTTGGAAAATCCATATTTGGTTGGTAGGTGGAAGAGACTCACTCATAATTTGGTCATTACGGTTGTCCCTGTCCCCGTAAGGACATGTGAACCAGGTCCCAGTATCAGCTTCCTGAACCCCTACAGCACAGATCAAACGCAACAAGATCTCGTGTCTTAGGAAGGCATTTCAAGAAGTCTCGCACAAGATGAATTGTCACGGAAACTCACTAGCATTGTCGCCGTAACGGTAATATTGAGCTGGTTTCAGATACTGTGATTTGGTATCGGTTTTTGGCACGTAACAATCGACGAAGAATACATCCTCCCCTAGGGTCAGTGAGCACGATCCCGTGTGGTAAGAAAGTAAACTGTTATCATCGATATCCGGTATCTTTTTGATAACTAGAATTGAAACTCACACCTGCCTCCGCCTTTGCTGGTACTACAGCTATTGTACCAGCATAGGTGATCAGCGTCGTCGGTCTGCTTACAGGCTGGAGTTGTTCAAGTTTGCCAGAGTCAGGACGTCTCTATGAGACAACATGAGATTGAGGGATTTATGCTTACAAGATTTGCCCTGCGTACTGCTGGTGGGGGAGAAGTGCCAGCTGCATTGTTGCCAATTCGGTTGAAATTCTTCGGTTACAACCTGGCCCGAGTGGAAGGTTACGATGAGAGCAATGAATGCCAAGGTGAAGTATCCCCTCTGAAGAACGTTAACAAAAGACATGGTTAGGTGATTTGGTTAAACTGACACTCTGATTGAGTAAGATCAACCCGAAGCCTAGAGAGGTGCGTCTATTTATGTATGAGTCTCCTGATTGCAATGGTGCCCGACCGCTTCTCTGGTTGCTGAGCCACATGACAAGAAGCCGTCCGAACCTTGAAGCTGTCAGAAACGGCAGGCCACCGGGCTTCCCTTCCCTACCAGAACAGCCTTGTTCGGAGCTGTGCTACATAACAGGCGGCAATCTTAAACGGGCTGTTTTTTTGGAATATTTTCTTGATTTTTTTTTGGACGATTTTCATCGCTTTTCTTGACTTATTTTGTGAACAGGCGATTTGAGAAGCTTTTCATAGAACCTCTAGGAGGTTGGATCACTTGTTTTCCAGGTAACGGCGCCAAATACAACAGATGGCAATCAGCAAGAGGCAACGAGGTCTCCAAGTGCATTTTAATTCTTAAGATCAAGAGTGTGTGGATGGATGTTAAAATCTCTTGAAGACCCATGATCCTTGGCCTGGTCTAATACCAGCTGCTCGACTTGCTGTTGGGCCTTCCTTTTGGTCGGTCGTTCTTCCTCAGCTCTTGGCAACGTCAATATAGATCCTGAGCCTCACTAGGCTCTTCCGGCTACTTAATATTTTGGATGTTGATTCAAAGCCTCACATTTCGGACTCCAGCCTTGCATGGTTCAAATGAGTTCATATGATCATAAATTTGTATCAGGGGGCAATCAGACCCTTCGATCAGGAGCTGTGTACGTTGACGTGCACCCACTGAGGACAAGACAAAAAAAGATGAGGGCGAAAAAAAAAAAAAAAAAAAAAAAAACTCCGACTGTTAACTGGCGAGGCTATGTCCCATGTGTTAGTTCTCCACCTCGTCATATGATTTTCTGATTTGGAAGCTCGTTAACAAGCCAACTCCTGGAGGAAAGTCCTCATCGTTCTCGCAAGATGGACATTGTCCAAAGGAAGCGAGACAATGGATTTGTAGAGCCGAAACGAAACCACACAAAAAAAAAAGTAACAGAAGGATGAGAAAAGGAATAGCCAGACACGGGGAATGGAAAGTAACGATCTGATCTCACCTGGTTTGTTTATTATTTACGTCCTCAACTCGACTCCTGAGTGAGGAGTAACATACTTTTTATACTCGACAACACCACTATCCGCCCTCGATCGCGTATCTAAATCCACCAAAGCTATGTATGCATACATAAAAAACTGGTTCTTTTTGGGGCTGGGGTTTTTCTTTTTCTTTTTTTTAATCCAAGTGAATGGATCAGCTTGTAAATTCGATGTGACGATTTGATTATCAGCACATGTCCGACAGAATGAACTGCTAGCATAATCCCACTTCCTAAAGAGCATTGATCAAGCTGGGAGCTTACATATTATATTTGATCTCTAGAAGAGCCAGGAAGTTGGGAACAGAATCAGACTCTTACTTATCTACTCTTACATGAGCTTCAACTTGAAAAGAAACGGGCTCCTCCGAGCACGAGTCTTGTTAGACAAACAAATGAGACAAGAAAATTGATGAACTACTGGAAGCCTTTAGGGCTAGCGAAGGTTTGAACCTTCTGAGCTTCATTGTTTTGCCTAACAGTAAATAAGTAGTGGCGGTGCTTCGAACATCCCCGTTGAGCGAGCAAGTCTCCTAATTACTAGAGAAAAAAAAAAAAGAGGCAAGCGTACATCTGCCAGTTGACCGAGCCGACCATGTAGCAAGCTGCATAGCCGCCGTTGTCGATCGACAAGGTCCAAAAATTTCGTTCTACTTTCATCGAGATATGTTGTAAGAAGGTTGACCGTCAAGAAAATTTTACACTTTCTTTCTTGACATGGTTAGTACCTGAGAGGGTCTCGTAGATCATCAATTTGCACCCAGTAGTATCCTCTTCTCCTCGATTGCTCTGGTTGTGTGGTTGGGTCCTCTATCCTCCACTGAAAAAGGGGAGGTGGAGAAGAAGAAAAAAAAGGTGAATCTTAATGATAAACTCAGGCTATTTGTTCCGACAAAATAACTCAAGTGTTCCTCGCTTCGTTCAGACACTTTTCGGAGTTTCTATCTTAAGAGCACACTACCCTTCGTCGGAGATTTTTTTTTTTCCCTTCTCTATTTATAACTGATACTCCTATTCCTCCAACTCCGCCCCTCTGCTCTCACAATCTACCCGAGAAAGCTGTCAGTCCTGGACTATTAACCCACGTCTTTGCTCCTTGATTTCGCGGATTTCATTGATGTCTTCTCCAAGCTCTCAAGATTGCGATTCCGACTTGCTTCTTTTCAATACGGATGAGGCCAATTTTCTACCCCATCCTTTATCAGACACTACCCCCCTTCACCACAACGACGAAATGTCACTGGAGGACTTTGATGATTTTAGTCCTGAGCGCCAATTGCTTCACTCTGAAAGACCGGAAGATGATTTCTGTGCGATCCTAAGCAGTACGAAGCGAAAGGTCGGCCCGGAAGTGATGAGTGAACAACAACGCGATCGTTTGAAACCGAGTTGCTCAACTGAGCAGACAGAAGAAGATGCAGTAGACGGCCTACTGGCGGATCTCCAACGTTCACACACTCCAACCCGAGTACCTTCTTCACAAGCATCGAGCGACGAAAGCTCACTTGAACCACTGTCGGAAGCCTTTGAAGTACCTACGCCATTATCCCCCCCTCTGCCCCGTAGGGAGCTTCCAAGCCAGCGAGATTCAAGGAGACACAGTCATACGTTTTCCAAGCCAGTTTTAGAGAGTGAATTGTTCCAGCGTTTGAGGCCAAATTCTCAGATGGTCACCCCACATCATTCGGATCGCTCCCATAAACGGGCCAAGTCAGAAACACCTTCCACTGTCAATAGTCCCACAGAAGAGCGCAAACATTGGACCACTGAAGATGATGGGTTTCCCGGACACTTCTCTCACTTTCATCTCGAGGGTCCCTGTCGACCTCACCTGCCAGTTTCAGTCCCTCCTTCTCCAATGCGGGCACCAATCAACCTCAGTTCCCCACTGATTGCCGATGTTAATGTGGCCAAAAGCAGGTCAGGATTTATATCTTTTGGATAGAGGTTTTGTTTTTGTATCTCTCATTCATGCATGCATCAATTTCTGTGTTGTGCAAGTGCTGACAAAAATGTAACCTTGTTCATCTTCTTCATTGAACAAATTGCCACAAAAAAACCTAAAATCAAACTCAGGGTATTGGTAACAAAGACGCATTGTTTTTATCCCGAGAAATCGAGTTTGATACCATTTTCAAGCTGTTTATTAGGTATAGTATAATTTTTTCATAGCTGAAGCCAAGTGCAACATCATCAGAAAAAAAAAACCCACAAGCTTGCCTTGCCTCGTTAAACTATTATAAAGAGAACTGAGATTTGGATGATATCTTTGAAAAAAAAAAAACACTAACAATGTTGTGTGTATAAGGTTTCCAGCTGGTTTTCCATTCGTCAGACCCGAAAGCAAGGATCAAGCATTCCCAAATCAAGTTAACAATCCTTTCATCAGAGGGAAGTCCCTCCGGCGACACTCCTGTCATCAAAGTTGAGCGATCCCGCCTCGGTCATTCTACATCTACATCTCCATCATTCTGAAGCTGACTGAGTTAATGTGTGTGTTCGGGCAAAAGGCGATTTATCCATCTCAAGGAACGATTCACAAAACTGGGGATAAGACGTTGGTTCGTCGGACGGATGAAAACTCGATAGGGGTCAAATTAGGCGTAGACCCGGCAAGTTTTTCTTTCTTCCTGCCGTCCTTAATTTTAGTTCCATGGACAGACAATCATGAAAGAGGTGATTATTTTTTTGGATGTGGGGTTAATTGATACATACGGTTTGAATATTGTTTGATCATCCGTTTTAGTACGGGGCTATGATCCTCAGCCATACCCAATCTCGCACACAAGAGCGCTATACCGCCCCATATCTGCTAGGTTCCGGGATTGAAACCAACAAGCTTTTGATCACCATGAATGAAGATAGTTCCCTCCATGCAGGAGTACCGTGAGCATTAGTTTTTTTTTCTTTTTTCTTTCACTTCCGCACATAAATTGGATGATTCAACACGTTTTGAGGCTGATTTTTGATTATCTTCTTCCACCGATAACCTTTTATGTTTCCACCGAATGATAGACCCTCCCTAGCTTTTGCTATCTTGCTGTATCTGCCGAGCGATTCTACCAAGGCATTCCAAGCCGATTTGACGATCGAAACTAGCGTGAGGAATGAGATCGGAGCCTCGATTCGCAAGATGTGGGCCAGTCCCAAGTGAGCAGCATTCCGTCTTCCACTTTTTCTGCTTCTCCCGGATGATCATCCTTCGTTGATCACTCTCAACCTTCCAAAATAATAAAAATGTTTTACTGACTCATTTGATTATATGTTTGGACATCCGTTTGTTTGCCATGTTGAAAAAATAGAGTGTGGAGATTGAACTATGACGGCAAAACCGAGTTGGGCTGTTTGAAGATGCACTTATAACTTTTAATCCAAAGACTCACAACAAAAATCCAACACGGTACAAAATTGTTGTTTCTTTTTTACAATTCCGTCGGTGTTTCTCATCACTACAACCAAAAAACCTGATCAGCACATTTGACCTCAAACAATTGAAAAATATTAAAAAATATTCAGTAGGGGTTTTTTTTTGTTGTGCTCTATTTGCTATTCCTCATCTTCCAAAAAAAAAAAAATCATCACTTATATGAGTTGATAAGAAAATCTCAAAAAAAAGAAGAAAAAACAGACACATGAAAACACCAAAAAAAATGCACAGTAAAGGACAATTTGCAGTATTTATCAACTTTATTTTCTTTATTCTATCTCTGACACAACCACATACATTCTATTTACACCTGATCCAAGAATCATTCCATCATTCCTTCAAAAAGAAATCAATCTATAAATGTACAATATGAGTTTTTCACACAAAAAAAAACCTTGTTCACCTAAATAACCAGATTACTCAAGATAAAATAATAAGAATAAATTAAGAAGGACAATTATACATAAAAAAATTGAAATTTTGAATGTAGAGATATAGCCAATTGAATTGTAGTTCCAAAGAGTCCTTCCCAAATGAAAACCTTCTTACAGATAGACAGTAGCTGTACTGACCAATTATATATCCTAGAAAACTACCTTGATCCAAGTTTTTGACTTGAAAAAGACACCATCAATGATCATACCCATCATTCTCCAATGGCATTTAACAGTACTCATTTTCACTCCAAGAGCTAAGCAGTGAAAAATATATATATAAAGAAACACAAGAGAGTGTGTAAAATCCAGCTGGGTTAGTTTGATCCTTCCAAGTCATTGAAAGAACAAAAAGGGAAATTAGAGGAGAGATACATGTAACATAATAACCACTGTCTCTCTCCCATTTTTTAGTTGGTTCACTTTTTTAGTTTGTTTGGGAAGACTGGATCATTATATATAGCTCAAGGATACATATTTGGGGTGAATTCAGCAGAAGGTGATAAGGAACAACCAGGAATCTCAATCAAAACGGGGTCTTTTTTCTGATGCATGAGTCTGAGAAAAATCGGATTATGAGGATTTATCTAAGACACAGGGATTGAGCAATCTTTACTGATGTGACCCGATTGGCCACACTGCATCCAAGCCACACACAATTATTGTTTTTTGTAGAGATGATGGGTTTGGAGTAAGAAGGAGGAGTCAATAAGGACGATCCAACTCAAGACAAAAAAATAAGAGGGAGAAATTTGAAAAGAAGGAGACTGACAGCGTAACAGTTCTTAGCCTGAGGACGCGAGCAGTCTCTGCTCACATGGCCCACCTCGCCGCAATTGAAGCACTTCTGGTCTCCGACACAGTCTCTAGATAAGTGGCCTACGCCTCCACAAGTCTGCATCATCGGTTTCCAAAAAAAGAGACTTATTTGAATTTCTGATGTTGAGAGAGACATAAAAGAGGAGGTGAGGTTAAGGATGAAGAGGAGGTGTACATACGTAGCAGTTTCGTGAGCCGCCGCCGCCGCCGCCTCGTCCGCGTCCACCCGAATACGATTGGTAGCCTTGGTCTCCTCCTCCTCCGGCTTGGGGACAATCACGAGAGTAATGGCCTTCCTCTCCACTACAACAACATAAGCGAACAATCAAAGCGGGAACAATGTCAGAATATGTGATCCTTTTTTCAAACGCAGCAAGAGAGACGATTGATTTTGGTGAAGGCTTTTTGGGTGGTGCTTGGATGATATTCGTTTACCATTTGAAACAGTTCGTCTTTTGTTGTGAACAGTCTCGACTCTTTATAATGTCGATAAAAACAACACGTCCGAACCATCATCAATAAATCAAGAAAAAGGACGAAGTGAACCGCGTTTTGGATATTCAGGGTTTTGATCGAGATCTATGATCCAATAAATAAGAAATCAGGCGGAAAGAAAAGAATGACTCAACTATGTGACCTGAGTCGCCGCAAGTGTAGCAGCTTTTCGGGGCGGTAGGATTAGAACAATCTTTTGAAATGTGACCTTCACCACCACACTGAGTAACTCGGAATAAAATAATACATGTGTCAAGAAATAGAGGGAATCAAGTCAGTGTTGGAATACTTAATATGGGGATCGTAATTTGATAGAATAGTGTGTGCGTGTAGAGAAAACCTGTACACTGACGTTGTAGCAACTCGGGGTTCCTGATTTGGGGCATGCGGCGGCCAAATGACCACCTGCGAGAAGACACGAAGGAATACGATCGGATCAGAAAATCCAACTAGAAACGATTTTGGGCAGAAAGGTATTCTAATGTTTGAGGAGGTGACAACTTTTAATGAACACTTACCTCCACCACAGTTGTAGCAGCCTCGATTCATGATGAGAGTTCCGATGAAAAATCAAAGTTTTATTTTTCTGAGGAAGAGGGAAAAAGGAAAAGAAAGGGGAATCAAGCAGATGTCCGGATAAGTTTTGGGACAAATCGCACGCGGTGATACTAGATGATGAGGATGAGAGGGTAGGTAAGCAGACGTACTATGGGCTTGAGTTGTTAGTCGGTTGCGAATGATATGGTTGAGTTGATATGTGGGAATATCTTCTGGTCAACAGGAAAAGGACAATCGCGCAAAATGTTAGGATGTGTCACCCCCGGGGGGCCGGGATTGGGCATGACAGCGGCGCATGAAACTCCGCAGTCCGGTCCAGACATGCTTCGGGATGGAAAGGTTTGGGCAATTTGAATTTCGGCAACTTGACACAACCCGCCAGGCTATGTGGTTCCGGTCAAACTACATTACCAAAAGCTTAATTTTGGGCTCACACCCGCTAAGTGCAGCGACCGCCAACCTGGCAGGTTGAGCCCATTTTACACTGTATGTACTTCTCGGGTTATGGGGTTAAAAAATCAACCCTGCCAATGTGGCTGCTCCCTGAGGTCAGCCAACCTGTCCACTTAACCCAGGCTTAACTAAGAGCATCTCCACGGGGGTCGCTAAATTGGGTCGCTATCCCACATTTAGCGACCCAAACTTGAAAAAGATGACCCACCGGAGTCGCCATCCGGGTCACTTTTTTACAATTTTCTGCCTCGATCCCTATCCAGTCTTCAAACTTGAAGACTCGATAGCGACTCTGGATGCAAGGAGGATCACAGGCTACTCCTGTGTTCCTTCTGTGAAACCCAAACACCACACATCACCACCTCGCCCAATCATCAGATAGCGACTCCCTCATAACGATGCCAGGTGTGTGCCTCAGCACTTCGGGTCTTCAAACCTTGAATTCTGGTCGCTATCGTGAGAACATAGCGACCCGAAATTAGCGACTCCCGTGGAGATGCTCTAACACGAAAATCCAGCACCAACTGTGAATGCTCTTAGCCAGCTTCAGGATTGGTTTCCATAGGGGTATGATCAGAGATGGGCGCTCCGCATCCGGATATCCGCTCACATTTTCAGCGGAATTGCGCATCCACATCCGCATCCGCATCCGCTGGCGGATACCCGCTGGCGCTGGCGGGTATCCGCGCGGATATCCGCGGATATCCGCCCCCTTTTAAGGGTGGATAGTGTTTTTTTTTTTCAAAAAAAAAAAGAAAAAAAAAAACTGGTTTTTGAACACAGCTTGTCGGGAGGAATCCCTCCCGGCAAGCTGCACCTCTATTCGGCTCTCGTCGGGAGGGATCCCTCCCGACGA